TTTGGAAGTTTTTTTATCCATTAGTGTATTTTTATGAATTAATGTCAATAAACTCTGCATATATGTATGTGATGGTTTATGCTTAACGATGCTTCTTTTTAGCCTACTTGGTTAGGACTTAGTACCTTCTTCTGGGAATATGAAGGAATCTACACACTAGTAGCTATCACCATCTGGGCGACCTACCCCAATTAAGACGAGTTTATGATTTGATATTATATTTTTCTAGTGTAAAATTTGGCATGTTTTATCTTGCGTATATGATGTGACAATATTTTGACTAGAAATTTTAATTTCTTCTGGTACTTTAAAAAACAGTAAAATTTTGCACGCATATTCAATTCTAATTCAGATAACTTAGCTACTGTATGCATATATGACGCGTAGGAATAAAAAACTGAACTTAATCATTCGTGAGATCTATCTTTATATATGCGGCGACGTTGTGATATACTTTTCTTGAGAAAGACTTGACCAAATGCAGAAGCCATTGTCCAACGCGATTAGATTGAAATTAGAGATATCTATCTATCTATCTATCTATCTATCTATCTATCTATCTATCTATCTATCTATATATATATATATATATATATATATATATATATATATATATATATATATATATATATATATATATATATATATATATCGTTTCACAGTATAGTAATTAACCAGTACAGTATCTCACAAGATAGTAACTAACCAGTACAGTATTTTAGGGCCTGTTTAGGGAGCTTCTAACTGCTACAGCTTCTCCCATAATCAGAAGCTCCCTTAAACAGTCTATCTTTTGGTACAGATTCCGAGAAACTGTTATTTTAGAATCTATAAAATGAACTGAAACCAGAAACTGTGAAACCAAATTTTTTCAGATTCTCATAAACTGGTTACCAACCAGCTGCTTCTTAGAATCTTAACCTGGAATTGAGACCAAGTACGTAGTGGACACGGCCGGCCTGGCTAAATAATTATCAAAATTAACTTGATTTGACACAAGCTACTGAAACCGCCGTGTTTCTATTAAAGAAAGTTCGTACTGTCTAGCTTAATTAGATGCTTTCAGAATCGCTACGTTACAATGAAAAGAAAGCCACATTCACGTGATCAAATTGAATATATCCTGACATCGCTACATATCGTTTTCCAGCTCGTTGCGTATAAACATCTGAATTAATTTTGCTCCAAGACAGTAATGTATGTCTACAGATGAACTTGACTATTTAGCAATAGTAGCTACCAGTAGTAATTAATTTTGTGGCCCGGAAAAATGGACTAGGCAATAAAGAGCGAATAGGTAATCGTCATTATTATGTTTTTTCATTAGGTCATTAATTGTCTTATGTTGACCAATAGTATATTATGCCGGCTGAGTGATATATCCTCTCTCTCTCTCTCTCTCTCTCTCTCTCTCTCTCTCTCTCTCTCTCTCTATAAAAATACTAGTAACTTGAATTATGCAGAATATATATATATATATATATATATATATATATATATATATATATATATATATATGAGATACTCTAGGGCTATTTGGGGAGCTTCTAATTGCTGCAGCTTCTCCAGAATTAGAATCTCCCCCAAACAGTACAGCTTTTAATCCAGATTCTAAGAAGCTGTAGTTGTAGAATCCAGGAAATAAACTAGAAGCCAGAAGCTGGGAAACCCAGCTTTTCTAGATTCTGAGGAGCTGGCTACCAATCAGCTGTTTCTTACAATCTTAAGCTCCCCTAAATAAGAAAGACAAGAGAGAAAAAAAAGATCATTAATATTTCAGCAATCAAGATCCAACTATCCAGCCATACGTGCATGCATAAATATTACTACATCTGTCCCAAAATATAACAACCTTTCAACAAATGTTTAGATTCGTATTATTATGATGTGTCCCATCCGTTTAAAGGTTATTATATTTTGAGACGGATGAAGTAACTGATATAGTCCTCATTAAGTTGCAATTTTATCTTGGTTAGTAGACGATGCATTAAAACCTTTTTGGGTGTATTTGTAAATTTGCCACCGGTTTTTTCAATTTTGTAAGGATGCCATTTGAATGACAGTTCCAGTGGTATTTTTGTAATTTTATAGTAACAGTTTTGCAATAACGATTCAAAGTAGTGGTAAATTTGCAATTGCCTAACCTTTTTCAATAGAAAGTTGCTCCAACTAATATCAAATAAATTTATTTTTTAAGTATATAATAATTAAAACTCAATTACTCGTGTGCTAACGATTTTCTTGTTCTGTGTGTTCTTACTACATCTTCATTCGCCGTTATGTTGAACGGGACCATATATATAGTGTCGACACATAATTAATATATATAGTATTCTTTTTAATCCAGACTGAAATGTAGTCTCTTGCATACACACACTTAGCTTGCAATCGTGTGCGTGTGGTACCAATATATACACGTCATCGATCGAGAAATGAGAACGAGATGGATACCTCCAAATTAAATGTCATCATCACATTCACATCCATAGACAGATAGATTATTACAGTAATTAATTTGCTTCTGGTGCAACTATTGATCAGTTTGGTCAGTTGGCTGAAAATCTTAGTAGATGACTTTCTCTGATCAGAAGATAAGAACGCGCGCATACACGCGCAGTCATCATCCGATGTAGGAGTAGTATATAGGAGTAAATCTGAGGCGCCTCTACTAACTATAGTACTATAATTTTATGGTTCAAGATTAGAACCGCATGTCCATGAGACCTGGCCAAAGTCTTCCATAACAATTAATTACATACAAATGAATGTTTAGGAAAATGTACATAGCGAGTAAATTAACCTAGTGGAATTAATACTAGGAAGGTACGTATTAAACTTAAGTTACGAGGCAGCTGACAGACAATAGTGATCTTTGAACATTGACTATGATCACTATAAAGGGTACTCTCCCTTTGTGTCAAAATAACTTCATTTTTACCATATATTGTTTATCTAAAAATAAATTAATATTTTAGAAATCATTATATTATAATTTGATAAAGTGAAGAGTACTCTTTTTTTAAGACAAAAGTGAAGAGTATTCTAGTCTTTTTCTTTTGTATTGGTATGTGTGAAATGGATGATGAACATTAAAATAAATTTATTTTAGGATTGAGGTAGTAATTCTTAGTTTAAGATGTAATTATCTATCAAAACAATTCACACTATATAAGGTTGTATGTGTAAATATTCCCTAGCTTCCAATTCCAAATATGTCATGTTAGGCTCTTTAACTTTTATCGTAGTTGCAAGTCGTTTTACTTCTAGCCACGTTTTCTTCTTATCTTTCATTGTTTACCCATACCAAATCATTAAATACTACTCCCCACATAATTAAATGACCTTTTTTTAATGTTGTACAAATTAAGAACAAATAGGTTATTTGAACTAAATTCATAATTCTTATGCATAAGTCTAAAATGACTTACATTTAGAATCATAATATAGACTAACATCACAAGTAATTCATACTAGTATTAGCTAACCAATAGTGTTTTCTTGCGGACGATTCATGCATGATTACAACTAGCTTGTTCCAAATGTTAGAGTTTTGGTTAGCTAAGTAGTACGAATTACTTGTGACGTACGTTACTCTATATATGATTCTTAATGTAAGTCATTTTTCATGCCATGTGTTTGTTTAGTTATCACTAACAGTTCCATTTAATTGTATAATGTTTTGGTTGTCATGAGAACAGATCGATATGTCAGATATGAGACGCAGATATGATTGTAAGGGCTTGTTTAGTTCCCAAAAAGTTTTTCCAAAAACATCACATCAAATCTTTAGACACATGCATGTAGCATCAAATATAGATTTTTTAAAAAAACTAATTGCACGATTAGGGAGGAAATCGCGAGACGAATATTTTGAGTCTAATTAGTCCATAATTAGCCATAAGTGCTACAGTAACCCACATGTACTAATGACGGATTAATTAGGCTCAAAAAATTCGTCTCGCGGTTTCTAGGTGAGTTATGAAATTAGTTTTTTTTATTCGTGTCCGAAAACCCTTTCCGATATCCGGTCAAACGTTCGATGTGACACTCAAAAAATATTTTTTCGTGAACTAAACAGGCCCTAAGTTGGCGAAATTGGCCCATACGACGAATACAGTAACGCATGTTTTTTTATGAAGTTCAATTCGGCGATACGTCTACGCCCAAGAGTTGGATCAATACCGAAAGTCGTTGCTCAATTTCTTACGTGCTTACAATAAATCTAGCTAAACAAATACTCAATTATAATGCGGCCGGGGAGAAGTTATGATGCTGAATTATAAAGCTGATCATGCCACATCGTAGCAGGGTCGATTTGTCTACCCTAGTTGGTAGGAAAAAAGTGTATCTTAGTTGACAGCAATGCAAATTTTATAGTCGAGATAATATCATGCCCATGCCTTAGCTACTCGCTGGCAATAAAGACCTTAGCTACTCGCTAGCTAGCAATCGTTTTCGCGCTCGAATAATGCGTTTGAACATCGCAATTAAGATCCAGTTAATCTCATTTAGTTACTGATGACGCCCTGTTGTTCGAGATCTGTTCAAAGCTCTGAAACCTCGACCTGGCGAAAAAGTTCAGAAACATCTCTAGTCAATCCAAACCGTGACGACCTTAGAGACAGAAAAGGGGAAAAATTAGCATACGTACAACTGGGTTAGCTCAACATTATGCTAGCTTAGCCTTGCCATTCAAACCTGATTTTGACAGTACACAAACACAATTCAAAACGGGCCGTGTCTTCTATTGAAAAAGAAGTTGAAAATAAATGCATATCGATCGATTGATCTGTACGTGCGCTTTCAGGTTAATTTGTTCAACGACACATGCAGTATACGCACGTCATTTCGATGGAATATGTGGGGTTGAATTTGTTTTGAAATTTCCGCATAGATGTTGAGCCACATTTTGACACAGCGCCGTGAAAACTACTAATTATTATTAAATAATTCGCATGTGCATGTCATAAATTCCACTTGATCGCACAAGAAAATTGTGGTGCTAAGGATCGAGCAAGTCGCGCCATGGCTGATCCACGACCTAACTAGCTAAGCTATAGCTTAATTTGATTTCTATTTAAGACCTTGACATTAACGCATGGAGGTGTGCCCAATACAATTGTGACCGATCGATCGAGGAAGAAGACGACGACCATGAGGACGATGCTTCCTCTCCTCGTTATCCTCGTCGTCGGGCTCCGGCTCGCCGGCGCGAGCCCTCCGCCGCAGCCGGTGGCCTGCACCAAGGGCACCACCGACTGCACGGTGACCAACGTGTACGGCTCCTTCCCCGACCGCACCATCTGCCGCGCCGCCGACGCGTCGTTCCCGCGCACGGAGGCGGAGCTCGTGGCGGCCGTGGCGGCGGCGGCGGCGGCGGGGCGGAAGGCGAAGGCGGCGACGAGGCACTCCCACAGCTTCCCCAAGCTGGCGTGCCCCGGCGGCCGCGACGGCACCATCATCAGCACCCGGTTCCTCAACCGCACGGTGGCCGTCGACGCGGCGGCGCGGCGGATCACCGTCGAGAGCGGCGTCGTGCTGCGGGACCTCATCAGGGCCGCCGCCGCCGCCGGCCTCGCGCTGCCGCACTCGCCCTACTGGTACGGCCTCACCGTCGGCGGCCTCCTCGCCACCGGCGCCCATGGCAGCTCGCTCTGGGGCAAGGGTAGCGCCGTGCACGAGTACGTCGTCGGGCTACGCATCGTCACCCCGGCCCCGGCGAGCCAGGGGTTCGCCGTCGTCAGGGAGCTCGTCGCCGGCGACCCCGACCTCGACGCCGCCAAGGTCTCCCTCGGCGTCCTCGGCGTCATCTCTCAGGTAAGTACACAAACCACACGTGTTCTACTTCTTCGTTAATTATTTCATCATGCATGTGATCTGATCCGTACGTATATACCATGGTGCATGCATGCATTGCATGCAATTACACGTAATTGCATATGGGGGTTAATTTTGTCCTTGATTGTCCTTCTTGCTTTGGATCTTATCATGAAATGAATGAATATTACTACTACTAACTGCTTGTTGCATCGATCCATGGAGATTGATTAATTACTTTATCCTTCCTTCAAGTGAAAGATAGCCCTAATCAATCAACCAACCATATTTATGAATGAATAAAAGCATCTAGAACATGATCAATTTGACATGAAATTCATTTGATGTGATTTTGCAGGTGACATTCGAGTTGCAGCCGCAGTTCAAGAGGTCGGTGAGGTTCGTGACGCGGGACGACTCGGACTTCGCGGAGAAGGTGGCGGTGTGGGGCGGCGCGCACGAGTTCGGCGACATGGCGTGGCTGCCGCGGCAGGGGAAGGTGATCTACCGGGAGGACGACCGCGTCGACGTGGCCACGCCGGGGAACGGCCTCAACGACTACCTCGGCTTCCGCGCGCAGCCGACGCTGGGCCTCATCACCGCCAGGGCCGCCGAGGAGCGGCTGGAGAGGAACGGCACCGACATCGCCCGCTGCCTCGCGGCGCGGCTGCCGCCGTCGCTGTTCGAGCTCCAGGCCTACGGCTTCACCAACGACGGCGTCTTCTTCACCGGCTGGCCGGTGGTCGGGTTCCAGCACCGGATCCAGGCGTCGGGGACGTGCATCAGCTCGCCGGAGGACGGCCTCCTCTCCTCCTGCACCTGGGACCCACGGATCCGGGGGCCCTTCTTGTACAACTCCGGCTTCAGCATCGCGCTGCCCAGGGCGGCGGCGTTCGTCGCCGACATGATGCGGCTGCGCGACCTCAACCCGCGGGCCTTCTGCGACATCGACGCCAAGCTCGGCATCCTCATGCGCTACGTCAAGGCGAGCTCCGCCTACCTCGGCAAGCCGGAGGACTGCGTCGACTTCGACGTCACCTACTACCGGAGCTACGACGACGGCGAGCCGCGCCCGCACTCCGACGTGTTCGACGAGCTGGAGCAGATGGCGCTGCGCAAGTACGGCGCCGTCCCGCACTGGGGGAAGAACCGTAACTTCGCCTTCGACGGCGCCGCCGCCAAGTACCCCAACTCCGGCGAGTTCATCAAGGTGAAGGAGAGATACGACCCCGACGGCATCTTCTCCAGCGAGTGGAGCGACCAGGTGCTGGGCATCAGCGGGAGCCCCAACATCGTCGACAAGCGCTGCGCCATTGAAGGCCTCTGCGTCTGCTCCGACGACTCCCACTGCGCGCCGGAGCTCGGCTACTTCTGCCGCCCGGGGAAGCTTTTCAAGGAGGCCAGGGTCTGCTCCAAAGACAAATCCGCCGCCGCCGGTGATGATGATCTCCTCGATGAATTGTGATTTATTATTATTTGATCGAATTTCGTTCAAGTCAAATAATACATGCATGGCTAGCTAGCTCTGCATGAAATGAAATGCAAATTTATATTTAATTAATCAAGAAAAAGATAAGCACGTACGAAATAATCCACCTGCTACATTGGGATGGCGTATGTGGTAGGTAGTGATACTGTAAATTGGTTGGCGTGATTTGATTTTGAGATGTAATGATGCTTTAATGTGGACAGTGTCAGTGGTTTGGAAAATTGTACTCCCTCTATCTCTAAATATTTGACGCCATTAACTTTTTAAAATATGTTTGACCATTTGTCTTATTCAAAACTTTTTATGAAATATGTAACATTTATATATACATAAAAATATATTTAACAATGAATCAAATGATAGGAAAAGAATTAATAATTACTTAAATTTTTTTAATAAGACGAACGGTTAAATATGTTTTAAAAAATCAACGGCATCAAATATTTAGAGATGGAGGGAATATATTAATTTAATTTGAGTTGGAAGAACAAGTTCAACTGTTTGGAAGGAGCGCGCGATCTGAGTCTTAATCAGCTGTTGCTTTCGTCTTTCAATATGTGACTATAAACGTGTCTCTCTATGTTTTTCGTCGTTTTATTCGTTGAATAGGCAGAGCTCCTACCGTTGAAAAGGTAAGTGTTAAACTTTGGTTTTTGTTGGTGTTCTCTCTACGTTTAATACTTCTAATTTTTAGTCCCATCCAAACACCGTTTATTTGTTTCTTGCATTTTTCTACACGTAACTATAATTAAACCTCTTTGTGCATTTCTCTGCGTATTCTTTTTAACTGAATCGGCACAGCTCCTGCCTTGTTTCTCTTTTACGGTTTTGTCAAAGGTAGGAAGTTAAAGATTAAGGTTAATCCTATTATTACTATGAAGCTACATAGTTTCTTAATTATGATGGTGGGTTGTTTTTTTTTTAGCAAGAGCAGAGAGCCCCCATTTCCATTACTAGAAATGAATAGCAAGCTACAGAGTGAGAGCGAGAGATGGTGGCCGGGTTGTAATGATTATCATCATGCATGACATTATCTATCAAAAAAATCTATTCATGGCAACATGTGCGGCAGCTTATTGAGGGTTGAGAGTGAGACTGTGTCATCTTGTCGGTCATGGCGTCGAATGGCTACGGTCAAGGAAATTATTTTGTTTTGAGTAGTTGAATGGAGGTCTCAATCATTTATGAATGGGGTATGCTATGTTTAATGCAACTCCTTTTTCGGTGACTAACGCAATGTCTTTTAAAATGACCACTCCTAAATACTACTATATTCTTATAGAAACAGGGCATAAACTAAATTGGGAGAATGACTAATTAATTTGGCCTTGGCCGGCCTATACTTTTTTTTATGGTTTTGTATGAAATGGAGGTGGTTTTCATATTTATATTATTATTGTGTGTATTTAGCTGATGTCACTTAATTAGGTCCACCACTTTAAAACTTGCCTCATTTAAGTTTGTGTTGTAACAGAAAATTTATCATTTGCGTTTAGGGGTGTGTGAATACAATCAAACCATGCATATTCCATCAAACCACCATGAAATATGGTTTAGGGTGTGTTATATTATGTGTTTGATTTTCAAAGTTTAAAGTGAAAACAACCGGTTTTATATTTTAGGTTGAAAAATAAATTAACTTCGAGCAATTCATAGACTTTACAGTACTTATATTTGGTGTCATTAGTATCCATAGTTCCTTATAGGCTAGATCGATGTAGATTTAATTTGCTACGGCTACAGCTGTGGTGCATTTACAGTATCGATAACAACAGATTTTGATCTGCAGAAAAGCTGAACTGATCAGGCTTCTGCAGTTGCATCGATCTGTTGGTGATAACCAAAGCAAGAGTTGATGACATTCTAACTGCAGTTTAATTAACGAAGTGCATAACATTGAGGTCATGCGGTGATCACAAATTAAACTGGCCCAGTACGACCAAGCCTTCCATTTACAGCCCAGTGCGACAAAATTTCAGCCTTAATTGTCAAGCGAGCCCATTATCAGACGAACGTGAAAAATATTGGCCCACCTATAGCCCACTAAGTGAAATCCCAGCCCAGTAATGGCCTATTAAAGCAAAATTACAGCCCACGTAATCTAGTAAAAGTACCGTACCACTAATGGCCCAGTAATACAAAATCAAGGCCCGTTTATATTACAGTATGCATTACAGCCCAATGATGATACAGTAAGTCAAATACGGCCTATTAAGAAGACAGTACGGCCCAGTAAAGGCCCATTAATAGGAAATCCCAGCCCACTAAAGTCCATTTATAGACATTACTTGGTACAAAGAATACATTAAAAAAAAGCATGGTACAAAAATACATTGAAAAGGCGTGGTACATAAAAGTAAATGAGTTAGCTATCAATTTGCATGGTACAAAAAATACATTAAAAAACAGGTGCATATTATAGAACGCATGGAAAATTATACATCTGAAACCATTTCATATGGTAATGGAGGTTATATTTGAAAATTTTGTTCTAAATTTTGGATGTGCTGAGGATATATATTGGTATTAGTGGATAAAAGATGCCGATAATGGAGGTTATATTTGAAAATTTTGGATGTGCGGAGGATATATATTGGTATTAGTGGATAAAAGATGCCGATAATGGAGGTTATATTTGAAAATTTTGTTCTAAATTTTGGATGCGCTGAGGATATATATTGGTATTAGTCGATAAAAGATGTCGATATTTTCTTTTTAGAGAAGGGTATTTTTACCCGATCTCTATACCCAACCGGATATATGCAGCCTTTTAAATTGAGAATTTAGCCCCTCAAACAACTACTCAGGTCACTGCAACCATCAGTCTACGTGACTCAAACTTATCAGTTCATTGAGACTTTTGAGGCTGACATGGTTATTTTTACAATAGGAGATTCAATGCATTCTTAATAAAAGAGATGGCTTTCTAGTGGTGTAATTATCAGTGCCATTAGCCCAATTATCATGCATCCTGAGATGGAACTATAGGTTCAAGATTTGGCATACATTACTGGCACTTAAAATCCATGGATATCTCTACTGGCACTTAAAATCGACGAGAAAATTCGAAACCCATCTATCAGATTGCTAGTAGTTTGTTGTGGACAAACCCGTGTACCCGTGATTGATATATTGCTTGAGTAACAACTATCACATACTACAGCTGTACAGCAAGCAAATGATAGCATTTCCTACCATTTTGAAACTTGCAATGAAAAATTAAGCAGCAAAATTTGAGTCACTGAAGCGCATTTCAAACTAACTACAAGTCAACCACACAAATGTCATGCATCCTTTTACATTCTAAACCTAATTAGAACTACTGAGCATGATGCGTGAATGGTTTACATTTCTGAAATGGTTTCAGCCACATCAGAAACCATTTCTCGATTGATTCGCCGGCGGCGAGGTGGAGAGAGAGAGTCTCGAGCCGAGCCACGTTTCGTAGGGGGGAAGCGAGCCGAGCCGAGCCGAGTCAACAAGTACACCGTACACGGATCCCGTATAGAGACGAGACAAGCGTACATTCGTACGTACTCCGTGCAAATACTGTTTGTTGCGTCGAATACACGACAAAGTCAACGAACGATACAGCGTGGCGGGGGAGCTCATCTCACTGGCCTCGCGCTCCCACACTGCCACGTCACTCACACTCTCACTAATGGCTACTTGGTGGTTCCGGCGAAGTAGGCGAGCGCGCCGACGAGCGGCGCGTTGATGTAGGTGGCCGGCTCCGACTGCGCGAAGTTGCCGCGGTCGTCGGCAAAGGCGTCGCGGCTGTCCGGCCCGCCGACGACGGCGCCGACGAGCACGTTCGGGTTGGGCTCGCCGGAGTGGAGGTAGCCGAAGCCGGCGTCGCAGGAGATCCGCCCCGGGTGGGCGCGCACCGACGGCATGGACGCGCCGCGGTGGTGCGCCCGCCTCGGGTACCTGCACCCGAACCCCACCATGTACGACATCCCCGCCGGGTTCTTCCCCAGGATGTAGTCCACCTGCCGCTTCGCCACCGCCACCAGCTCCGCCGCCGACACCTCCCCCCTCGCTCCGCCGCCGCCGTCGCCGCACGACGCGGTGGCGCCGCTCGACCGGAGGTACTTGGCGTACGCCAGCATCAGGAACGTCGCCGTCGTCACGTACTGCATGTTGCTGGAGCCTTCCCTGTACAGGAGGCCGCCGGGGGTGTACCGCGACTGGAAGCTCGCCGTGCCGGGCACCAGCGAGCAGATGTAGCTGTCGGAGTGCGCCTTGTAGAGCTCGAGGCCATGGAGGCGGTTGCGGAGGAAGCCCTTGGCGAGGAGCACCTTGGTGCCCACCCGCTTGTCGTCCCAGCTGAAGGAGTAGTCGTCGTCCCCGGCGCCGAGCTGCATCCCGTTCGCCTCCACGTACGACATGAACGACGCGTTCCTCGACGCGCGGTGCAGCCACGACGCCCCCCACAGGAGCTCGTCGTGGTAGCCCGAGTAGGAGCAGTAGAACGGGCACACCGACGACGCCAGCGAGTCGCTGTACGACCCGCGGTGCCGGTCGGCGAAGTCGAACACCTGCGTCGCGGCGTGGAGGAGGCGCGCGGAGTAGGCCGGGTCGGCGCGGCGGAACACCATGGACGACGCGGCGAGCGCGGCGGCCGTCTCGCCGGCGACGTCGGAACCCGGCTTGTCGGCGGTGACGCGGTAGACGCTGCGGGGTGTGTCCATGTCCTCGGGGCGCTCCCAGCAGCGGTGGTCCTGGTTGGGGTCGGCGACCTGGACGTAGAGCGCGCCGGGCGTGGCGGTGGCGGCCTTGAGGAGGTAGTCGGCGCCCCAGCGCACGGCGGCGCGGGCGTTGGGCAGCTCGGCGCCCATGAACTTGCCGAAGTCGAGCACGCTCCACGCCAGCATCGTCGTCGAGAACGCCATGGGCAGGCCGAACTTGACGTTGTCGCCGGCGTCGTAGTACCCGCCCACCAAATCCACCTGAAACACAAACACGCCGGAATCACAAACTCCTCCTCGCCGGAGACAAGGAAGAAAGGGAAAGAGAGAGAGGCGGCGTACGTACATTGTACTGGGCGCCGTCGGTGAGGCCGGAGTCGGCGCGCCACGGCATGCGGTTGCCGGGCGGGAGCTTGCCGGAGCGCTGGCCCTCGAAGAAGATGATGGACTTGGCGAGCGCGTCGGCGTAGTTGAACGCCATGGCCGAGCTCGGAACTAAGAGCAGCAGGTGGAGCACGACCAGCAGCCGCAGCCGAATGCCGGCGCCGCCGCAGCTGCTGCTCTTTGGCTCCATTGCTGCCTGCCTCACCGGCGAAGTGAGAGTGTGGCTCGAGAGTGACCAACTGCACATTAATATAGTGTGAAAAGCAGTGGCCGTTAAGTTAGTTAATTTGGCCGGTGCTGGAGTAGTATATCAATTTGCTGCGAGAAACCGGGAAGTTGGGGGGACAATTTGCAGGAGTTGAGAGGAAAAGAAATCGAAATTCCAATTTCCAAGTGAGCATTTCTTTTTTCCTTTTTGACTGACAATGTCTCATGGCTTTGGGATTTGTATACCAAAAAGAATGAATGAAATATACCAGTAGCACTTGCTAACTGGAATTCAACAGAGTTTGCAGAAGCTATCAATGTGACAAGCACACAACAATTTGTGGTTGGGGCTGTTTTTAGCTCAGCGCAAAGTTTATATTTGGGTAGAAATTAAAGATATGGGATTGAAAAGTTATGTGTATGACAGGTTGATGTGATGGAAAATGACTGAAGTTTGAATCCAAACTTTAGATCTAAACATAGCCAGGTATATTTCTAAAACCAAAATTATCGTATTTGTTCATCTGAAGATGAACAAAAAAAAAACAGCTGCCTTGTGACAATCCTGTTCCTTTGAGATTCACAGGAGAAAATAATTTGATGCACACACACACACAAACAGTATCATCTGAATTCTCAGCAATGAACACCGTGTTTAGTTCTATTTTTTTTTTCAAACTTCTAATTTTTTTATCACATTAAAACTTTTTACACATATAAATTTTTAACTTTTCCGTCATATTATTTCAATTTCAATTTCAACCATACTTCCAATTTCGGTGTGAACTGAACACACCCGAAACTGGAAAGCCAAAGCGTCCGGTATGTTAGCTACTAGGCCGGTGCAGAGCAGAACGTAGGCTGGGGAATTCGGCGACTGGTCGGCTTTTTGCAAAGCCAAAGCAAAAGCATGCAGCGACATGGACGACCGTCTCTGCTCACCTTCAGCTACTGCTACTGGTACTCCTCTGCCTGTCTTTCTCTCTTTTTCCTTTTTCTTTCTTTAAAATCTTCAAGCCAGCCATCCATTTCTCCATCTATTCCGATGGCCTTCCTTTCTCCATTCTCATCTCATGCGTGTGTTCAACCAAGGCCACACTGCAATGATGCCTCCAGTTGCATGAATATTCATATCAAGCCTGTGTTTAGTTCCAATTAAAAATTTGAAGAAATTGGAACGATGTGTCGGAAAAGTTAGAAGTTTATATGTGTAGGAAAGTTTGATGTGACAGAAAAGTTAGAAGTTTGAAGAAAAAAATTAAAAACTAAATAAGGCCCAATTGCATTTTGATCTCCACTGATGGTATATTATTAAGGATCTGTTTGGATCATTTAGTCCCTAGACTAAAATTAGTCCACGATTAAAAAGTTTAGTTCCCTACTGTTTAGATCTAGGGAAGGCACGTGAACCGAGGGACAAAGGAGAGAGACTGTTATTTTAGGGCAGTCCCAACCCATAACACTAGACATGGTTTCCATAAACTCCACATCATCAAGAAACTACTAATAGACACTACTCTTCCAATGCAAACACCACTATTCCATACTTCAATTTAATGCTACTTATCTCACATGATGTCTTGGATGTTGTGTAGAAACCATGTCTCATGCAATACATGGTTTCCCTCTCTTTCTTCATTTATTCACTTGCCACATCATTTTTTTTTTCTTAGGTGGCAACTTATTTAATGCTATGGATACTATCCTAGTTATTGGGTTGGGAATGCCCTTAGTCCCTACAAGTATCTCCAAGAGGGACTAATATATTTTAGTCCTAATATGCACTTTTAGTTTTTTTAGTCACCCTGTTTGAATTCTTAGGAACTAAAAAGTACAAAAATAGAGGGACTAATGGATTATTCCGATGAACCAAATATGGCATAAGCTATGCTACTTACTAATTACCTGCAGTAGAATGGCATTAAGAAGAGCATGCTTAACTAGTGGAATGAATGAACGCTCCACTCCAAGTGCAATTGGCAATGATGATGTTCTCTCCAGTCTCCACCCCATAATACTGAAGGACTACTCCTATAATCTGAAGTTAATTGCAGAGCTCGAGGATGGCAGATGCATTTGTTGTGTTCCATCCATGGGGGCAACAAGACCCCTCTGCTTGATACAAGCACATGTGTAGCTTTCCTTTTGTCTTACTCCAATCTCAAGTGCAATCCTACTATCACTTCAGAAAAAAAAAATCATCAAAGTAAAGCATAGATAATGTACTAGTACTACTACTATTCCACCATCAAGGAAGAAATTACTCTACCATAACTGCTTTTCCTTCTGTCCTACTGCAATCTCAACTTCTCAAGTGCAGTCCTACTACTTCAGATAAGATACTCCATTCCAAAGTGCAGTAGGGACAATGTACTAGTACCATCAAGTAAATTTATCACCACTAAATTTAACAGAAGCTGTAGTAAATTTGATTGTTGGGCTTGACAATTGCCATGCTTTGATAAGACTGGTTAAACTCCTGAAGCTGTGACCACTGATGTTTACCGAACTGTTCACATGCAGCGTGCAGAGGCCTGAGAAGCAGGTGAAGAACTGTAAAAATAAAATAAAAAGGCTGGTCAAGTCTGGAGAGTGGTCAAAACTGACAAACATGCGTTGCGTTGCAGCTAAAAGTAAGGGCTTGGCTTTGCATGGCAGGCACTGGCCTTCATCACAGAGAATCCTATTCCTAGGGTACTGTACTATACGTGCTATGACCAGAACAGTTTCATCAGTGAACAAAGTTGACAGTTGAAATACACACAGGGGGACCTCGTCCTGATTCTGAATCTGCTTTCGCTGGGGATTATGCAGTCATGCTGCCTGAAAAAAGTTTAAGCAAATCTAGTGGGTTTAATGCAAAGAAGGAAGTAATTCGTGTTTATCTGTTCCTTTTTCAACTCCCGTTCAGAACCGAGGGCAAGTGGTAGTAAATGGGAGATGTTATTTTGTGCATTCTAAAATTCAGAAATGCAGCTGGGGGGCTTTTTTTATAAAGCTGGATATTTATAGATGGAAAAATTGCAAAAACCACCCTAGATATTATCCCGAGTTTGAGACTTCCTCCATGAGACAATTCGTTGGAAATACCTCTTCTAATTCACATTAGTTTAATATTCCTCTTCAATTACCATTGTTCAGTGTTTCTTACTTTCTTTCCTCTTCCCTAATTATTGTTACTCGTCCATTCTCATGGCGCAAAGCATCAGAATTGCATCGAGCTCATATTTCTTATCTTGAATCTGCCAGAGCCCAAAGAAACCAGGCACCGGTAAACCCTATGTGACAAACGCAACAACTCATCTTCGACGACCCCCGCATCCAAGAGCAAAGACTCGTGATCACTATCACCCAACGATGTGCTGCCCGATAGGTCGCCATGAGTGGGGATGCCACGGTCGTGTCATTGGGTCTAGCCAACATGAGTGACGACCATGTCTCCTCGCCTATTAGTGTTTGTATAAGCGTGTATGTAGTTAATAGAACGAATATTAATAATTGGGGAAGAAGGAAAAAAAACACGTGAACAATGATAATGGAGGGAAAATACCAAAGTATTGTAGACAGATTCAGCAGAAATAGCTGAAGAATATACGTGCTTTTATTCCTTTGAGAAATTAGCTATAGCACCTGTTGGTTCTTCAGAGTTGTTGGTACTGAATTCTCAGTCAGTCACAGTGTGAAGAACGCAGTCCGCTAAGTTCTTCCTCATGGGTTGCCAACTCACCTCCCTCATTTTCTGCGTGTATGTTTTTCAAACCACTAAACGGTACATATTTTGTAAAAAATTTATATTAGAAAGTTACTTAAAAAATCATATTAATCCATTTTTTAATTTTTTTTATAGCTAATACTTAATTAATCACGTGTTAATCTATCGTCCCGTTTTCCGTGCGGAGGGGAGGGGTTCCCAACCTCTCCAAAAGAACACACACTTGTGATTCAGATCAGAGTTCACACAAAATACTACACAATACGGGCAGTTTTGCTCATGATCGACTCGGACTATTGGTCAATCAAACAGCAGCAAATTCAGAACCATTTGCACCAATCAGGACTATTTTTACCCAATTACAACTAGCATTTCAAACGAAATGCATTTGTATTGAGACCAGGACCTAACCGGGGAAAAAATCGCAAATTATAGCAAAGCAACTCCAAGGGAAACAAGAGGCGTCTCGGCCTCACCTCAGACGGCGATTCAACAAGAGGTCGAACAGCCTCGCGCCACCGTCGCCTCACCCCGTCGCCGCCACCGCCGCCGGCGACGACGATCGCCGGGCTCCACCTCGGTGAACGGCCCACCATCGCACACTATTCATGATCGTGGGCCGTCGGATGACGAAAACGGGCCAGTCTTTTTTTGTAGACTTTAAGGGTTCGATGACGAAATCTCTGAACCCACTTCTCTGATCGTTTAACCGCTGAATCACTGTAAAAATATTTAGTCGCGCGTAACCATTAAGGATTTCTAATTCTTATATGCCAAATAATCTCAAACTCAATGCAATACCTGAAAACGGTCAGGATTTGAACTCCAGCAGCAGCATGCAGCATGCTCTCTCTCCGTCTGAATTTTGGGACAATTTGGCACTGAGGCCGTCGACATGAGGACTGAAAAAAGCATAAACATCGAGCAACATGTATCTGGAACAAAAGTGCATTGATCTTGTATCGAGTGGATCTTTGCTTCGGTTACTGTACATGACCTTTTAGCTCCTGAATTGTACCAATGCTTAGTCAGTAATCAAACAAGCTTCATTCAGCCCATCAAAACAAAACAGGTTTTGAAGCCATCAAAGAACATTATCATGCAGCCTGTCAAAACAAGACTGTTTTGAAGCAAATTTAGGTAGGAAAAAATTAAAACATTTAAAATCAGGAAAAAAAATAAAGCATTCAAATTTGATTTGGATGGGGTGCACCAGCCAAGGCTGTAGTGCAACGCCTAGGCGACACATGAGGGCCCTAGTGGCAAGCCACTATGGTGGACTCTCCCCCACGAAAAATAAATTTAATATCAAAGTAGACACATGGCCCACATATCAGATATTAAACTGATAAGAACAGATACTACACTTGATCTTAGCCAAAAGGCCGAGAAAGGTATGAGTTGCTATCACGTTCACCTCCTGCTTTTGTAGCCTCTCCGTACATCTCCTCGTCTTGATCGCGCGATGTGGTACTAAACTGTGACAATGAACGAACAAACGGGAGGGGGATACAATACATCATGCGATGCGGGCTTGCGTGGGCCGCTGGCTCGGCGAAACCCTCAAATGGGCCGGCCTTTTGAAAAGTCTGTAGTTAAGGGGGTTCGGAGTCAAAATCTCCGACCTCCCTTTCTGACTGTTTCACCCCATCATATCGCAGTAAAACTATTTGAGAGGCATTGATATAGATTGATCATATCTAGCTGTTATATCAACTATATGAGGAGAAATTTGAAGATAAATACGAGCTTGCCTTGCATTTTTTTTCTTTTCTTTCTCAATTCTCATGATTTATTTTTCCTAGAATCCTGTCATGTTCATCCTGATGTTAAGCTTCAAAGACGCAGAAATTGTTTTTTCGCGAAGAAAGACGCAGAAATTGTAAGAAGCTGCAGTAAAGACGATCAAGATATGAACTCCAGATCGACCTCCAACAACGTGCTCTTTCCTTTAAGTCTGTAGTTTGGGACAAATTGCTGTGGAGAGCGTCCCCAGTCGACCTGAACAAACACTAGCTTCAATTGGCTCTTTTAGTTGTTTTACTCTACTTAGTTCTGAATTTTCAGTCTGACAAACACAGAATTACGAACGGTCGAACGCATGCATCTGTAGCGTGAATTGACAATTACATAAACATTTGTTATTTGCACTACACTATAGACCATAGTGAATCTTTACTTACATGTGCTGGGCATAAAAATAATAATTTCAGTACACAACAACTGTACTTTTTACATTCTGAACAAGGGTTCTTAGATGCAACCTTCCACTGTACTTTGCAAGAAGAATTCTCAAGCTCAAGGCAAGGCCTTAATTAACCCAGAGAAGGGAATCATTGATGATTTGTTTATCGCCATGTACAAACACAAATGATAAAACAGAGAACTATCAGGATTGGAACTGTTGCTTTGTGCTCTATCTATATGATCTGAAGTTTGGCACAAATTCTCACTGAGGCATCTAACAAGAGACCTGAAAGAAAATTAACAGAGATTGAGCAACATGGTATGTGGGAACAGCCGTGCTTTCATCTAATATATTCAAACAAAAAAAAGATTTGTCAGTATGTATTTTGAAGAACAGATTTGTGCTCCTTTGTTCAGAATTGTCAGTCTGAATATATTCAAACAAAAAAAGATTTGCCAGTATGTATCTTGAAAAACAGATTTGTGCTCCTGACAATACCAGTAGATGTGCAAATGCTATTCAGCAATCAAAGAGACCATCAAAAGTGACTCAGAAGTTTAAAGGCAAATTTCATGCCCTGAAACAAAGAGCTTGGATAAATTGGATTTAACAAATTCAATTGGATTTGGTTGGGGTGCGCCAGCCAAGGCTGTAGTGCAACGCCTAGGCGACACACGAAGGCCCTAGTGGCAAGCCACTATGGTGGACCCTCCCCCACAAAAAATAAATTTAATATCAAAGTGGGCACATGGCCACATATCAGATATTAAACTGATAAGAACAGATACTACACTTGATCTTAGCCAAAAGGCCGAGAAAGGTATGAGTTGCATTGTTGGCTACACCCTGCTTTTCTAGCCTCTTCCTGGTACTACTCTCCTTGATCCTGCGATGTGGTACAAAACGAAGACAGCATTGGCGTTTGCTGTGCCTGTGTGGGCCGCTGACTCGTCGAGGCCTTCTCAAATGGGCCGGCCTTTTTTTTTGCAAGCCTGTGTTACTGGGGTTCGTGTTTACTTGGGGGTTCGGAGAAAAAAATATTCAGACCCCCTTCTCTGATCAAAATCTACTCACTGAAAGCGATCAAGATCTCAACTCCAGACCTCTGCTCTTTATTGAAGTCTAAAGTTTGGAACAAATTGGTGTGGAGAGCATCAATGAATTGACCTGAATTAAAACATTTAGAGAGACATGTATCTGGGACCAAAGTGTGCTTTGATCTTGTATCTATTCGCTCTTTGATTTTGTTACTGTACTTAGTTCTGAAATTTCAGTCTGAAGATCACAAAAAACCGGAACTCTTTTTTTTTTTGCAGAAAACAGAAACAATTGTGCTCCAGTAATTGTATCCCTGCTTTGGATCTATTATGAGCACACACCTAATAAAATTATGAACGTCCGAACGCATGCAGCGCGAATTAACAATTACATAAACATTTGCCATTTTCACTACATTATAGACCATGGTGAGACTTTACATGTGCTGGGCATAAAACAATAATTTCAGTACACAACTGTACTTTTTACATTCTGAACAAGGGTTCTTAGATGCAACTGTCCACTTCACTTTGCAAGAAGAATTCTCAAGCTCAAGTCAAGGCCTTAATTAACCCAGAGAAGGAAATCATTGATGATTTGTTTATCGCCATGTACAAACACAAATGATAAAACAGAAAATGATTAGGATTGGAACTGTTGCTTTGTGCTCTATCTATATGATTGGCATAAATTCTCACTGAGGCATCTAACAAAAGACCTGAAAGAAAAATAACAGAGATCGAGCAACATGGTATGTGAAAACAGCCGCTTTCATCTAATTGTCTTGTATCTATTGGCTCCTTGATTTAGTTAGATACTGTACTTTGTTCTGAATTGCCAATCTGAATATATCTATCTATCTTCTATTATATACTAAAAGTCCATTAAACGTCCTACAAACACTCTCAAGACGACACGTGGCATTCTTATAAACGCTCATAAACCGTCACGTGGCACTATTTAATCTCACCGTCGATTTTCATTTAAATTGGTGGACCCGTTATTTTAGACCATTAGATTATATCTATATCTATACCGTTGATTTTCACTTAAATTGATGGATCCGTTATTTAGATCATTAGATATATATCTCTAATACTAATACTTTCCACCTATACATACGAGAGAGAATAGGTTCGCCAAAAAAAAAAAGTAAGTACGTAAGATTGAAAAGGAACAATAAAACCTACATACGTACGGTAAAAGAATAAAGCCATCATGTCAAAAAAAGATAGAACCAAAAAAAACATACGTATATAGTATCATACAAAAAAAATAAAAAAACTCCCATATACTCCCACACATTAGTTATTATTAATAAATTTGAAAAAAATAAATATATTCTTCGAATTAGTAAAGGTGTCTCATGTGATTATCAACAATAAGTATTGAAAATAAACCAAGCGCTAAACTATAGATGTTTGTCAAAATATAAATGTTTAACACCATAAACACACATGGTGTCTACTCTATACCAGGAATCTACTCAAAACTTAAAAAAAAAATTCTTTTGATCACCTCCATCTTCTCTTTTAGTACCGTCGAATTACAACTTCGCTCATTTTCAAATTGCATAATGTTTAACACCATAAACACGTGGTGTCTACTCTATACCATGAATCTACTCTCAAAACATAAAAAAACATTCTTTTGATCACCTCCATCTTCTCTTTTTTCTTTTATGAAGGGCATAAGCATGAATAACATAGTTTGCTACGTTGCTATAAGTATAACAGGGACGTACATATGGGAGTTAAGGCGGTCCCAGTGGAGACCACAGTCACCAATAGTGCTCAACTTACTACTTACCGATGCACAACTCGATAAGGGTGTGATAGTAAATTAGGCATTAAAATTGTGTTCCAGGTTAGTCTGGAGGTGCACAACTACATCGATATGGGACCCATGTTTCAAGGAAATAGACAAAGAAAGTCTCGCCACTACAATCGGCTTCACGCATTAGAGAAGCATTTATATATAACTTGATGTTATTCTATTAATTTGTACAAGTGGTATTTTTACAATATTTATATATAGTTTTGAAAATTGGTGAGGCACGAAACACTTACGTGTAGTGGATATTTCAATGTATTAATGATGTATTAGGCTTATTTTATTGATACATTACGTAGTTCATCTATGAATAGGTACTTGGCTTTTAAACAGTGATAATAGGTTGAAGTGACAACAAGAAAATTTATATGTAACCAGAGGCAAAGTGATTTTATTTAATCTAGGAGATAACCTTATTACTTAAATATATTAAAGTATGCAATATATTTCTCGGCTTATAAATGGTGAGATATAACCTTTTTAAAAAATTGTCTTCATAAAACTGCTCGCGCATCTGCGCGGGCTTTCTTCCTAGTTCAAACAAAAAGACAATATATTCAAACAAAAAGAGATATGTCATTGTTTTAGTTAGATACTGTACTTTGTTCTGAATTGTCAGTCTGAATATATTCAAACAAAAAGAGATATGTCAGTATGTATTTTGAAGAACAGATTTGTGCTCCTGACAATACCAGTGGATGTGCCAATGCTATTCAGCAAAATCAAATAGACCACCAAAAGAGACTAAAAAAGTTTAAAGGCAAATTTCATCCCCTAAAACAAAGAGCTTGAATAAATTGGATTTAATAAGTTCAATTGGATTTGGTTGGGGTGCGCCTGCCAGGGCTATAGTGCAACGTCTAGGCAACACACGAGGGCCCTAGTGGCAAGCCACTATGGTGGACCCTCCCCCACAAAAAATAAATTTAATATCAAAGTGGGCACAAGACCCACGTATCAGATATTAAACTGATAAGAACAGATACTACACGATCTTAGCCAAAAGGCCGAGAAAGGTATGAGTTGCAACATTGGCTACCCCCTGCTTTTGTAGCCTCTTCCTGGTACTACTCTCCTTGATCCTGCGATGTGGTACTAAACGAGGACAACGTTGGCATTTGCTGTGTCTGTGTGGGCCGCTGGCTCGTCGAGGCCTTCTCAAATGGGCCGGCCTTTTCTTTTGCAAGCCTGTTTACTCGCTGCAAGCTCGAACTAGAAATTGCTTTGTTCAACAAGTGACATGATTCTTTGGCTGATTATGAAGATTGCAGGTGTGCGTACATCAAAGGATTGATGGAACATGCACTGCAGTTTGGTTTAACGGTTACATCGAATCGAAGCAAGAACAATTACATGAATATTTGAAGTATTGCATTTGTACTATATTAATACCATGATGGATCTTTAATTACAGGTAGTGGGCACAAGAATTTCTGTATACAAGCACTGCATTTTTTTACATGAGGAATAAATAAGGGATTATTGCGGAAACTATCTAACTAGTAAAATATTTATGTGGAAATTTCTCGAGCTCAAAGGCAAAGCCTTAATTTTCCCAGGCAAGGAGATCACTGACGGTTTTCTGTGATCTGTCTATCTATATACCAAATGATAAAGAGTGGTACAACGTATGAACTGTCGATTGGCCTGCAGGCAAGTGAACAAAGTAAAAGAAACTAATAATTAGTCATACGCAGCAAGAACAAGATCGTACCACACAATTGGTTAACCGATTCTTACGTAGCTACTATGGGCTATGAGCTGTGGTGCGAGCGTTTTCATAAGAAACTGAAAACGTCCAACATCTGAATTCAGCATTGATGTGATGTGCTCTAAGTCTGAAGTTTGGGACAAATTGGCGCTGAGGGTGTTGAGATGGAACCTGAAAACAAAAAAAAAAAAAATCAAGACCAACCATAATAAGTCTGCGATATGCTCTGCTGCTATTTCAAACTGGCAGTGCTAGCTAGATTTGGTCAGATTCTTCAATCTGAGATGTTGGCAATTTGGGTGAAACTCACATAGATTGGCATAGCAGGGCTGTTTTGATGCTGGGTCTTCTTCCAAGGGTGGGGGCACTTGGCCGTAAATCATTTCACAGCTCATATCTTCAAAATCTGCGGTGATTCATAAATTCAGTACTTCAGGGTACATAATCAGCTAGGACAGTGTAAAAATTGAGAAGAAAAAGGATGGACAACATGCATGTCAAATGGTAGTATGTCATTGTCAAAAGAACAGGAAGAGGAAACTGCAGAGTTTGGCATTGAGTAGCACAAGAACGATGTCTGTCTTACTTGGATTCATGGTGAGAGGGAGTCCGAACTCGTTGGTGAAGAAGTTTTGCGTCGGAATTTTGCACATGTTGACGCACATTCCGACGCAGCCGCTGTTCTCCAGGTACCTGAAACGGAGATGAATGTTTTCTGAATTTTTTACTGAATCTCGCTTGAAATCCAAGACGAACACAGTTGAATCGTCCGTCTTACCTGCATTTCTTTATCAGCACTCCACTCTTCTGCTTCACCCCATTGACCTCAACCTCCACAACCTGAAAGATCAAGGAATTGATGCAATGAGTTCATGACGATGAACTAGCTGTGTCTCTGAATTATACTCCTACCTCTGATGGGCCGACGAGCCAGTGGAAGAAGGGGACGGTGAGGGCAGCGTTGAACTCGCAGGCCCACCTCGTCGGCGGGAAGAGCTTCTTGAACTGCTCGGGGGCGCCGGGGGGGAGCATGGAGAGGAGCACCTCGCGGACGGCCTCCTGCTGCTGCGCCCGCGTCCGCCCCACCATCACCCGCCGCGACACGTCCACGAAGCTCTCGTAGTCCCACTCCCACACCGACCTCGAGCTCTTCTCCTTCTTCTTCTCCTTCCCCTTCCCGCCGGAGCTGGAGACGACGGCGTACTTCTCCATCTTGCGCGCGAACAGCCCCATGAAGGCGCGCTCCACCGGCCCGTCCCGGTACTCCGTCTTCTCCCCCATCGGCGCCGGCGCAGTCGCCGCGCACCGAACCCTCCTCCCTGCAGACGGTACACGCGACCATGGCGCCGCCACTGGCGCCAACAGCAACGCCGCCGCCGCCATAGTCGTCGTCGTCGTACGTCGTCCTGGCTCAGCTCAGCCTCTGCGTACTCTTGGCGCGTCTCCAGGTTTCATGGGCGGTGGTGGTGGTTCTTGGCATTGGCGTTGCGTCGTCAGGCGAACCTGAGGCTGCCGGCGTGACACGGTGGCGGCGAGCGGGGGGCCATCGCCGTGGATGCTTGGCACTGGGTGCACGACGGCCACAATAATTTGGTGGATTATATGGTGATGGTGATGATGTTTGTGGCGATTCGATTGGCTCGTGGCGCCCACGATTTTTTGTGTGGAGGCCCAAAGGATGGCAAGTCCAATGGGCTAAAATTTTCACCTTGGAATAAGTTCACTTTGGGTCCCTCTATTTGTCACTCAGTCCGATTTTCGTCCCTCGACCGCAAAACCGGGTACGACCCGTCCCCCAACTTACGAAAACCGGGCAAACGAGGTCCCTCAGCGGTTTTGAAGGCGGTTTTGGATGACGTGGCATCTACGTGGCTTGTTTGACTAGGTCTCCGTCCCACGTGGAATTAACGTAGCGCTTACGTGGCAATTTTCAACCCGAAAAATAAATAAACCTCGCGGGACCCACATGTCAGTTTCACATAGAAATTATAAAAAAGGTGGGGCCCACGTGAGCCCCACATGTCATTCTCTCCCCCCCCCCTTTCCTCCACCGCCCTGTTCCACCGCATCCTCGCAGCCCGCGCCCGCCGGCACTCACCGACGAGGCGACGACATGACCCCAGCCGCTGCCGCAGCCCGGCGACCGGCGGCACCACCCACCTCCCTAACCCGCCGTGGCCGCTCGGGGTAAGACGGTTCCCTTGTTGCTGCTCCCGCCGTCCTCCGCCACTCCCGCTCCCGCCGTGACGACGCAAGAGTGGACCACGCCCGGCCGGGCGTAGGTCGACGGTGGCGACCAGCTGTGGAGCGGAGCAAAGGCCGGTGACGAGCGCCGTCCTCGGTGCCCCAGCGAACAGCATGAGGCGAGGCCCCATCGACCAGGCTCGGAGGGGATCCGGCCACCCGGCAACGGCTTGGAGTAGAGGATAGAGGAGATCCAGCGACCGGCAACGGCGTAGGCGGAGGAGCTCGGGGGTCGGCAAGTGGAGAGACGGGCGGCGGCGAGGGGCCCATCCCCCGGCGGATGGGGACGTCCTGTGGCCACGGAGCCCGGCGGATGTCGACGCCCCATCGGTGGAGGAAGTCGGCCGGCTGCAGTAGCCACCGCACCAGCGGCTCCGCTTGCCTTGGCAGCGCTACCGCGGACAACGACGCCGCGGCCGCTCCCCCCGCCGCCGGGTCGACGCTCCTCTGCGCGCTCGCCGACGCTCTGTGGGCTCAACGGCTGCGGCAGCTAGAGCCACCTCCCGCCGCCCCTTCCTCTCCCGCCGGCCGCCGCACGCCGAGCGCCGCTGCCTCTCCACCGCGAGAGAGGAGAGGGGAGAGAGAGAGTTGAAGAGAGGGAGATACGTGTGGGGCCCATGTGGGCCCCACTATATTTATTATCTGACTTGTGGGCCCATGTGGGCCCCGCTATTTTAAAATTATTTTTTGTGTGCATCTGACAGGTGGTCCCATGTTTTTTTATTAATTTTTCAAGATATAATGCCACGTAAGCGCCACGTCAATGCCACGTAGGACGGAGAACTAGTCAAACAAGCCACGTAGGCGCCATGTCAGCCAAAAGCGCCCTCAAAACTGTCGAGGGACCTCGTTTGCCCGGTTTTCATAAGTTGAGGGACGGGTTGTACCCGGTTTTGCGTTCAAGGGACGAAAATCAGACTAGGCCACAAATAGAGGGACCCTAAGTGAACTTATTCCTTTCACCTTCCGCCCTCGGCCTGATGGACCTAGGCCTATGTCTACATGGGCTGAATTCACATTTCACAACTGACGTAGGCTGAGTTCGTTTCTTTTACTTCCCCAACTCACCTCTCTCTCTTTTCCGCAGGCACGTTTTTAAATTATTAAACGGTTTTTTAAATATATATATATATGAAAGTTTTTTTTAAAAAAAATCATATTAATCCATTTTCAAAATATAGCTAATATTTAATTAATTATATATTAATGAGGAGTATTTCGTTTTGCGTGCGTGGGATCTCAACCATAGAACTCAGCCGTAGTGTACTTATTGGCTACTTTATTGCTATACACGTAATGTCATCGCTTATACACTTCATCCCATAAAAACGACTTTTTGAAATGTGTCGTCTATAGGTTCTACTCATCCACGCACGTAAAACAAAATGTCGCATTAGCGCACGATTAATTACTTTCTTATTTTCATATCTTATAGTTTCACAACTACATTTTACACCTCAATGCATAACCACACAATGTTATTGGACGTAGATCTTCTGCAGCACTGTTGCTGCAATAGCAATGGTTTTCATGTGAACCCGAATTCACACGTCAGTGTCTACCATTGCACTAGCAATACTGTACATAATCTCACCATCGGATGTCATTTAGTTGGAATTAAACCCGGAATACATATAATTTTCATCTCTTATTCCTCCCTACGCCATTCGTATACGCAAGTACAATCGATTAATCATCGCAAAGAGAAAAGAAAGAAAGAAAGAAAGAAAAATCTATACTCTCGATCACCAGGCTACATCAGTGTGCCAGTAAAGATGCTGAAATTCATCTCGAAACAAGATCATATATTCCACTTGATATATCTCACGATTCTTTACGTAAGTTGCTGTTTACCACTAGTTATAACTTGATACTAGTACATCAGCATGTCGATATATTGCAATCAATACGATGGGAAGTACTATTAGCTAGTACAGATCAAAAAGTAATTAATCCATTGCAACATGAGAAAAGTTCACATCAAACCTATCCTATCAGCGTCCATCCAGTAGAGAAAAGATTAGAGGAAAAAAGGAGCAAGAGAGCTATGTACGGGCGTAAAATTACGGGACAGGGCTGAAATTCGTTGGAATCCTAAGAACGTGTGACGGCTTCTCTGATACAAGTTGATTAATTAATTAAGCTGAGCTTTCTGTGTCCCATTTCGTCAATTAATTAGCTACCCTCTCACACAAACACATTTACCATTTAGGCCGAGTTTAGTTCTAAACTTTTTATTCAAACTTTCAACTTTTCCATCACATCTAATTTTTTATATACATAAACTTCCAACTTGTCCGTCACATCGTTTCAATTTCAACCAAACTTATAATTTTGGCGTGAACTAAACACACCCTTACCCACACTCGAAAAAATAAACGCCAGAATGCAGTTGTATAAGCTATACGGTTGAACAAATACTGATTATAAACCGTACAGCTTATCGGCAATGAAATAATACTACCAATTTACAGGTAAAACTTTTATATATGTTTCTTCAGTGATTTAAATTCCAATGCTAAAAAAAACTTTGATGAAATATCTCAAAGTCAACTCTAAAATTAAATTTTAATGTTTAATTAAATTAGATGGCTGCATGTAAACAATAGTTATACTGAAGTTCAAATTTGGCATCTTTTTCTTAACCTTCTGCGGGGTCATTGGATTGTCAAAAGCTAGCTTGCAACTTGCTCTGAAATATTTCATGAAGATTAGATAAGTCAAAAGCCTGAATTAATTGTCCTTGTTGTCGGGACAATGGGACATAAGCGGGATATGGTATTTTGTACTACCTCCGTCATAATATGTAGGATGAGGTTAAATTATACTAGAATTACGAATCCATGAATATGATGTGTTTAATCCCATCGTAGGTTGCTACTTGCTACTCCCAATAAAAGAGAGAGTATATGTTTTATCGTTACAAACATCCTTGTACGTACTTTAGATTGTCCTAGCATTAGATTATAATTTGAAGCAAAATTTAACTTTGAAAATTACAAGCACCTAGGACGGAGGGAGTAGATTGGAAGCAGGTTTCTTCAATCTCTATGGCCTGCCTCGATCGAATGCCCTCTTTTAAAAAATTTTCTCGGTGAAGGTACATATGGGCCGGACAGATCCTAATTAGCCAGCACCAGGCAGATGCATCCCGGGATATGATGGGATTCCACAAAATACCAGATATAAATCCAGATGGAGACCATAATTCTAATTAACTAAACTGCATGCATGAGATCTGGAGCTGTTTAATTTCATCATTAGCTAGAGCAAGCCAGTTTAGCATACATGATTTTCACATTAATTTATGCATACTATAGTTATTTCACACAAACTCGATCACTGTCGAACCGTCGGTTTCATTAAGTTTGATCCGCCGTGCTTAACTGAAACATAGAAAAACAATAAATTGAAATACGAATAGAAACAAAACATGCCCATGCTCATCGAAATGAACTGATCGATGACTAGCTATAGCTTCTCCTTTATTTAATTAATTCGGTAAAAGTACAGCAATTCTCATCATGCACTGAGCTCTACTACATGTGATCTGTACATAATTACACACGCACATAATCCATAGAAAGAAAAGCAGAAAAAGATGAGATCGATGAACTCCAAGAACTAAAGAATTAATTATTACATGCACGATCACTATCAATATATATTGTCCGTGTACCGTAAGTTGCTGCTAGCTAGCTAGCTAGCTACTTGTCGATTACCACCATGGACAATGGCGGCGGCGGCGGCGGGTGGCCGGCGGCGTGAGATCCTTTGTGATCACTTACAGTAGACGGCGGTTGCAAGGAGAGGGCGAGGTAGACGATGGCCGGAGTGCAGGCGAGGACGAGGCCGACGGGCACCATCCACAGCCGGCTGTTGGACGGGTGGAACGCCACGGCCCACCACGCCAGCAGCGACGCCCCCGCCATGGCCGCCGCCACCAGGCACGCGTCCACGGCGACGGCACCCGCTGCCACCTCGCCGCCGATGGCGCCCGCCGCCGCCGCCGGCGGCTTCTCGTCGTCGTCCATGCCGTATATACTTTGGAATGGTGACAGGAAGAAAGAGGAATGAATTGAAGGTGGTCAATGGCGGCTTATTAGCTCTGCTTCCTGTATGGCTGTATATAGTCTCGTACTACTGGTGTTGGTGTGATGTGGTGGTTTACGTTATTGGAATTGGAAGCTGCACCCAACCATTCACTGCCTATAACTTACTCTTTCCTTCCTGGTCTTGCACCACTCGGTGTAGGTGTGTTCTGGGCATGACAACAACTTAACATCGAGAGACCAAATAGATTGATCGATCGCCCAGTTCGATTATTTATTTTATTATTGTATAAAAATACCTTTTTTCCTTCACAGAATTTAAACTTATTTCTACTGTATTGCTTATTATTACACTTATTTGTTCAAAGCTACTGTTAGTTAGGAGTACCGTTTCTTAAAATAATTTACTGTATAATTAGAGAAAATCCAAGAAATACCATTAATAAACACTCAAAATACAAGAAATATCATCGATAAGTGTGAGTTCCATAAAATGATGTCGTACAAGTGATTTTATCCCAGAAATGCTATCATCGTTAGGGTTCCGTCCATTCCGCGCCGTTAAATGCATGTTCATTCTATAGCATTTAATGGAGTGATATTAATGTAACCCTGATGGTGATGGCACTTCGGGGATAAAATCACTTGTACAATGACATTTCATGCAACTTGTACTTGTCAATGATATTTTTTTGGAATTGAACGCTTGTAAATAATATTTCTTGGATTTTCTCATATAATTAAGTAGCTAGATAATCCGTGACAACATTGCATGGGACGAGGACCAAATCAAACCAGCCATGTAGGCACCATATCAGCTAAAACCATCATCCAAATAGCATTACTGTATCTGGTTTTACAAACCGATTGAGGGGCGTGATTTGAACTCGACGCTTATTGAAGGACCTAAAGTGAACTTTTTACTTTCTAAACCGGAGTCAGGAAAGCCCATCAATTATATCCATTCTTTAAGCCCAATTATCAAAAGCCCATTTCAGTTCCTTCCCTGTCTCGGCCCAAACCTCCCCACTCGGCGACGCGACCACCACCACTCTCTTCTTCTTCCCCATTGCCGTCGTCGATCTCGCCGGCGACACCGCCGCCACCGCGCCTCCGCCTCCCTCCCTTCCGCGGATCGTGGCGGGCTAGGGCGTGGACTCTCCTCCTCGGTCCTCCACGGATCGAGCCCGCCGCCGATGGGGGTGGTGATCGAGCGGGAGGAGTGGGCGCTCACGCCGCTCGCCTACCCGCTCCTCTCCGCCGCCTCCCTCGCCGCGGTGCTCCTCCTCCCCTACTTCTCCCCACCGTTGCACGCCACCGCCGCCGCGTCCCCGTCGTCGCACTCCCCCTTCGACGTGGGCACCACCCCGTTCCTCCGATTCCGCCGCGGCTTCCTCTTCGTGTTCTCGCTCGCGTCCGGTAAGCGCTCTCCTCCATTCACCATTCTGCCTTGCTCGAGCCAGCGTGCGGGGGGGCTCTGATGGGTCTCAGTTGTTGTGTAGTGGCGGAGGGGATCCATTCCGTGTTCGGGGAGGATGAGTTCGCGCGGTGTGGGCTTGGAAGGGAGCAGATGGCCGCGCGCCTTGCCGCCGCCGCAGCAGCCGTGCTCTTCCTCGGTGGGCTTTCCGGCGTCGTCTCAGATAAACTGTGAGTAGTTGTGACTTTTGGGGAGCAAACTATTTATCCTTTTCGCAGCTCTGTCAGTAGAGATTTTCATTCAGACTATGAATTGCTGCTGGATGGTCGAATTACTTGTAAATTCATCAAATTCCTCACGCTTATGTGATCTCCCATTGCATTTCGAAACAATGTTGATGGTATTCAATGTTTAAATAGAGGGACTACTGCTTCCTAGTAATCAGGCAAGCTATGTTTGGTGCCTGATTCTGGAACTTTTGTTGACTGTTTTGTTTAAAATCTAGTCATGATGTTTACTAGTTGGTGGTTAAGATCAATAAGAGTTTTTCATTCATGTTGACCCTGCTGGTAGAACATTTTTTTATCCTTCACTTGTTTATTACCAATTCTATACCAAGACATACCCCTTCACCACCAAGCTTATTAGCCATCCATTCTCTGTTAAGGTATGGTGTCCAAGTTCTCCCAACAATTATGGGTGCCTAATATTGATTGTATGAAGGTACACCATACAATTTGGAGAACCAGACTATGAATTGCTGTTGGATGGTCGAATTACTTCTAACTTCATCAAATTCCTCACATTTATGTGATCTACCATTGCATTTCGAAACAATGTTGATGGCTTCCAATGTTTAAACAGTCACTGCTGCTGCTACCCAGTGTAGTCTTGCTAGTAATCAAGCAACCTCTGTTTGGTTCCTGATTCTGGAACTTTGTTTACTGTTATGCTTATAAAATCAAGTTATGATGTTTGCCAATTGGTGGTTAGAGTTTTTCGCGGTTTTGTAGGCTGAACAATTCCTATTTCATTCATGTTGACCTGCTCGTAGAAAATTTTGTTATCCTTCACTGGTTTATTAACAGTTCTATACCTAGACATACCCCTTCATCACCAAGTTTATTAGCCATCCATTCTCTGATACGTTTTCCAAGTTCTCCCAACAATTATGGGTGCCTGATATTGATTGTATAATGAAATAATGGTAGACCGTACAAACTGGAGAACTAACTTTTGGTTCTGCCTTGCAATTTCTGAACTTAAATGAAAGCCTTAGCTTACATTATTTCATATTGCAGATAGTTATTGCAAAGTATATTATATATTTTGCTATGTTTTTCTAGTAATGTGGATGCATGTAGATTTTATTCCATCAGCTTCACTTTATCCTTCTTAGTAATATTTGAGATATTATGCGACTTAGATGCATGTGTTTTTATTTTTCTGATTGATAGAACAATTTATGCTCTGATGTTCGTAGAGGACCACGGCAGGCTTGTATATTCTACTGGATGCTTCAACTTGCAGTGGGTGCCTTGAAGAGTTTTAGTGGGCTTCGTTGTGCATGGATTAGCAACTTGATTTCGGCCCTTGCCTCATCAATGTTCTATTTCTGTTTCGAGACATGGTTTGTGGTGGAGCATGAGAAGGTTTGTGCCTCTGAAACACTTTCTGTTGCAACCGTTAACTATATTGCTGTCCCAGTTTGTAACTGCTTTTTCCTGAGTTTCAGCAAGGTCAGAAGCAAGATTTGCTGTTTGATTCCTTCTGGCTGATGACATTCTTTGAGTCAATGTCCCTTCTTGGAAGTCAAGGAATTACAAATCTATTGGTTAATGATGATGACAAGGGATTTCTGCTACCCTATGCATTTGCAGCTTTACTATCAATAGTTGGTCTTCTATATATCAGAAAAAATGCACCAAGTACTACTCATCATGCATCTGTCATTGGGAGCTACCAAAAATCATTTTTTGCTCATGTCTTCAGAGGTGAGTGGTGAGTCTTGTCACCTTATCTGTTTGTAGTGCTCTGTATCTCATTTCAGTTAATACAGACTTAACACCATTGACTGAAAAATGCCAACGAATTTCTATAAGATGGAAATTGGCTATCATTGTTTCATGTCATTCTATTCAATACTGTTAGGCTTTTCTGTATTGTTGTTTCTGTTCAAGCAATGCCAGGCGTATGAGTGCATGCCCGGATGCCCCTATCTTGGGAATGCGATTCACAGAAAATTAATATATTAATTGCCGGTACATTATTTAAACCATGTACAAATAGAACCCCAAAGTAAAATATCCTATTCTGAATGGAGAAGTTGATATATTTTTGGGTTTCTCAAACTATTTTCACATGAAGTTGTTTGTGATGTGGATAATACATAAAAGAATGCAGTCATTAGCAGAACTAGTGGTATACCGCTATAAAGGCTAGACCTAAATATGAACTGCTGAGTGCCGAATGGCATGTAGCAGTAATTATACATTGGCATGTGCTAAATTACACATGTAATAGTGGAGTACACGGAGCATGAGGGAGCCATGGCCCCAACACCCCTACCAGGCTTTTGGTCACTTTCCCTCCGCCACTGGTTGTTACTGTGCTGTTACACTCACTCTCATATTGTGAAGCTTGTCGGTGCTTACACATTTCATTTCCACCTCTCACCAGAGTTTTCTGCATGTTTCAGACAAAAGAGTACTGATTCTGGTCTTAGCTCAAGCAAGTATACATTTCTCTATGTCAGCCTTTTGGTTTCTCTGGGCACCAACCATAGTGGTATGAGTCTGCGCTGAAGTTATTCTGCTAATTTTCAAAATGGAACGTATGACCAGGATTTCAAAACTGAGTGTTTAACTCATGCTGTTACGCTCATAGATCTGTTGATTGACACAGGCTGACGGAAGGGATGCTCAGCTGTCACTAATTTTCCCCTGTTTTCTTGCCTCAAGAATGTTTGGAAGTGCTAGCTTTCCATGGTTTTATGGAACCACAGCTCCTTTTCAGAATGAGGACAGCCTAACGATAGCATATGTTACTGTGGGGATCGCTTTATCAATTGTGGCTTATGATTACCAGGTATGCAATAACATATCTTCAAGGGCTCAAGGCGACATGCAGTAGAAAGTTGGGGCTATAATCTGTGTGTGTTTTAACAGGATATTGGGACATTGGTGATACTGTTCTGCATCTTCCATGCATGTGTAGGCTTTATTCTTCCTTCATTAGCACGATTGAGAACAATGTAAGTCAATGTATAGATAGAATTCAAGTTGAAGTCTGTTGGAGCTTTCTGTTTAAATAGCTGATACTGCTGAAGGTACCTGCCAAATGAACTACGTGGGGGCATGATGAGCTTTTCTCTGGGACTGGCAAATGCTGCTATCTTCATTTTCCTAATGCAGGTAACTGTCTGAGGTTCTCTTGGTAATAATAATGAAGTGTGGTAAATAGTTAATGTTGGGGTAACATGAAGTGTCTTTACCATTTTTCTTGAAGTGTGCTACTGTGCTGTACTTGGTATAGGTTTACCTACCCTTATCTTAGGTTATATATTACTTTTCTTTTCTCTGAACTATGTTGTGATGTCATTTTCCTTGTGACACTTAGGACCATCTTTATCATAAAAAAGATATACATTTGTGTGCCCATATGCCTAGCAGAGACTCAGAGCATTCTGTTTTGCCTGCAGGGTTCATACCATCAAAACATTGCAAATTCAACCATTCTAGGATTTGCGGCCTGTGGCCTTCTAGTGGCTGGGGGTTGCATTCATATGCTGAGGCGGCGGAGAAAGCACACTCGGCAAGATACACGCAGTTTGTAGAATCTTGGGCAGATAATATGGGATTACACAACCAGCTTCAGGTTGTTTTTGTACTAGCATCTTGGATTTTCCACGTTTTTCATCACCTCTGTTTCTGTTTCTCAGTAGCAATATTGTCTACGTGCTGACGACTGGTGTGTGACTCATCAAAGATAGATGTAGGATACAATTTTCTGTACACAGAAATGGTTCCATCGATGACTGAAACACTCAAGAATTCTGTAGACATGTAAAGCTGCTACTGTTTAATGCCATTCTTTTTCTTCCATTTATACCTGATACAGTGACCCATTTTGTTTCTGGTGATCTGTCTATCTGTTCACTTGGGCTGCACCCAACATTGATGTACCATCAAAAGACAATCCCTGATCATCAGGGCACGCAAGACAGCAACCAGGGTACAGTGTACCACCTGAAATGAATATATGTACTCTTGTCAAGATAGATGCATGAATTACTGTACTGTTCTGCTGTTACTTGTTATTAATCTTTGATCACGATCGAGCTGTGGGGGTTACTCTTATTCACATCTGAGAGAACATGTTTGCACTGTTAATTGTTATTTTCATTTGGAAAAGATGCAGCACGCTTACGAGGCAGCGTATCTGTTCTCCAACCCCGAAACAGATACTGTCACGTACGCTAGAACATTGTTAAGTGCTAGCAAATCCGTTTGCTGATCGTCGTATCTTCTCTATGCAGGACAAGTCGTCAAAAAGAAGAATATCTTGTCTTCGTGTGTTCCCGGGAGTTGCAGAGGTTAGGAATTTGTCTCATCTGAAAGCCTTCTTTTCACATCTATATGATACAGTATATCTCACATCTGCATTAACACCACTTATTTCTCTCTCTCTTTAAAAGAAATTATATGATTTGTCATTGACAACCACTTGATTATATGATTTGCTATTGATAATATCCCATCGTAAAAACGTTTTTCTTTGTTGCTTTTGCCGTCAATTGGTTGGTAGTTGAACTTTGTTAGCCCCCCCCCCAAAGACCATTTTGCCCCTAAATGTAGCATGCACTAAGCAAACTGATACTTATTTTTATTATTCGCACTAATATTGAAATTAAATGACAATGGATTTAATTGCGTTGTTTGCAATTGGTTGTAAAATAGCACTAGATATTGCAAAACTCTCTAGGTGTTTTGGGTATTATGAAAAAAACCAAAGAGCTATTGTAGGTTAATTGGCGGTGCAATGGCAAAAGGTGAAGAAAAACACTTGTATGATAGCATAAGGAAAAGGTTATACGTACTAGCTTTTTTTTACTAAATTCGTATTAACACTGATGTACCATGCTATGAGTGCATCTAGATTTTATATAATTTTCATCTACCTAAATCAAACGGGTGAGATGATGATTGTTAGTACAAATTTATAAAAAAATAGTACAAATAGCAATGCTCTTTATCAATATTTAAATCCAAAAGGATAGATCATGCACTCGAAATTCCATCACGGTAAAGTTATTTTCCCCCTTTCCTCGTTGTCAGACGGAGGGGGAAACAAAATGTGACATGGGGACAAATTGTATGTCCGAGAAGGAAGAGAAAAAGGAGAGGCAAGGAACATGAAGAAGATGAGTCATTAACCACATCACTGTAGACTGATGGACAATTAACCTGCTGACCAACGAGCTCTTAACTTTGGTGGTAACCAATTGAATTAATGAAGCATCTCCCAGTGTGTGGCTTGACCATGGTCGACGTGCCAGAGCCCGGTGCACTCAACCAACAATTTTTTTTGTCCCTAAAATCTGCTTTACACTGGGCACAAAATCGACCATAGCCTATAGTCAATAACGCAATAGTAAGATGCGTGCTTTTGCATTGCATATAGGACAGTAATAAAGGTTTCCAAGGCTGGGCCAAGTGATCTGAACCTGCAGCTGCTGCCTACTTTGGAGAAGAAGCTGCATGAGGCAGAGAAAGTAGGACGACTCGATCGTCTCTTCTATTCTCCTCCAATTGATCTGTTGCTATCTGTACACGGGTAGAGCATCCGGAGTATATGTGCGATCAGTATCGGAGCTCCTGCCATTTCCTTCCTTCTCTCTAGAAGAACTCATCTGTTCATCTCATGTTATTGTTGGAGCTGAAAGTGCTAGGTAGTTTTCTATTTTAGACCAGGGAAATGGCTATGGAATTCAAGTTATAACCAACCGAAACAACGAAACAAAATGTGATGATTATAGAACAAAATTGTATGGAAGCTAACAACCATACTGTATCTCAAAATAAATTAACTTTTTCTTTGAGAAACAATATAAACCCAGACGTTCACAACACAAGCACACTCATCACTGTAAACACACACATATACATCATACCTATATGAGCATATCTGAAAGATTAAACCGTCAAATCTTCATATTGATAAAGTCATCAAGGGCGTCTTGTTGTTGACGAGTATGTCGTCTATCATAAAAAAATAATTAATCGTAAATTTAAGTTTTCATTTCAAATCTAGTACTTAAAATTTGGTAGACTGGTTCCACGGGAAAAAACCTAACTGGTTGAGAGTATGTATCTTTGAACAAAATCAACTTCTTTTATGCATCTAGTCACTCTCTTCAGCCAATTTTGAGAATTTTTTTTTAATTTAAGTTTGAGCAGTCTTACTCCTATTTTTTCTTGAAAAATACTACAATGGCACGTGCATCGGAGACAAAAAGATACAGGGTCGCTACACGAGCCCATACAGAGTGAGTAGCAAGATCAGGATTAAGGAAACGTGCATCAAAGTGTGTGAATACTTCCAACAACTTGCACCCAGCTGAGGTGCACCCGTGGACCCTGCATATGCAATAATTAAGCTGAGATTATGCAAGATGTATATATGTGTGTGTGTGTTTCTCCAGTGAACCACATAACTGATGAAACCGTGGACAGATGATCCAAGTTGCGAAGGACCAAGACATTTCACATGCATGCATGCCGGCCAAAATGCACAGCTCCAATAGTGCAACATGCTTTCTGAAATTAAATTATGGAGCTTGACAATAATACGGCAGATGCTGCTGGTGATGTTAGATTCAATTCGCCCATAGATTTTTTTTCCTTGATAGTATATATAGATAGGTTTGTCCAGAGCTAGAGAGCATTAAATCTGTGGGCTTAAGAGTTGTGGTAATAAAAGGCAGTCTTGTAGTAAAAATATTTAACGCAACTTGGAGAATGAACTTACACAAACATACAGTATATTACACCCAACTTCTTGTCCGTGAGTATCGAACTATGATCACTAGGCAGTAAGAATCAAGATGCTAACACCGAGAACTCAGAAACAATTTTAAATGTTAGAAGGCTCCAAAGAAATTAAAATGGTCTAAAATGGAGTAGTACTAGTACTACTAGAATTAGGAGATTACTTTGCATTGCTAAGTGGGTTTGCAGCTAATTAACGATTGTAATTTCCACATAGCAAATGAGGACAACCAAACTCACCAAAGTTTGTAACGGTCCCCTGCTTTTCTTTGTCTCGATGCAAACTCAAATAGTATTAACTAACTATTTATTTGGATCGCGTCTGATTAATTACGCCCAATCAAGTGGGTGCCTGCCGCCTAATTAATCCACTTGCTTAAGTATCAAACTATTATCGATAAATTAAAGCATAATAACAGTTATTTGCTTCAACTTGTAAATGCATGTGCAATCTCAACGAACCAATAATATATACTCCAATTGGCGTCGTACGGAGAGAGAGAAATGATCGATAGATACAACTCCACAAAACTTGGGCTTTATCTTATCAATTTTTTATAAAAAAGAACTTATTTTTGGACTTTGGAGAATGTGATGTCGACGTGTGCTTTGCCTCACCTCGTGGCGTAGTTAAGAAGCACTACTAATTTCTTGATTCGCACAGGGCAATTAAAGTAGTGCAGAACTAGTAATTAATCTGCAAATGGCCAAGTGACGGGTAGATCGAGATTCGATCGCACTACCTTAATTAGCTAGAGCTTAAACTAATGGTACTCTCCTAATTAGTGGGAGAGAGATCAATGAAAAAAATAATCAGAGATGTTGCCAAAAAAAAAAGAGAAAAGAGATACGGCTTGGTTTAATTAGATATACATGCACGGGTACGGCAGAAAGTAGCTGGTAGCGTGAACAAGAACAACTGAACAACCGATTATATTCCTGCAAAAGATTAAGCTTAGGTATCGTCCAACTTGAGATACAGTGAGTGTCTGAGTGTGATCAATTTGTGGTTAACCGTACTCTCTTTTTTTACTTCACATGTCGGCAAAATTTGCTGATCGACGCATTAATTCATGGCTGGACTAATTAGCACTCAATCTTGTCAAAAAAGGGTTTAGTAGGCATCGATCGATCACTCGTTGAATAAAAGTATTAAACCACCACCCGTGCATCGGTGGTATCGTGTGTCCATGGAGATCATACAAGCAGAAACATCGATCGGTAGCTGGAGGTGATGCATGCCAAGTTGGTTGGTAAATAATTAAAGGCCAGGCCAGGTAGATGGATGCTTTTTAAGCTGCGGGGTGTTTAGTTTGAGCGTGCGAAGTTTTGGCGAAGTTTTGGCGTGTCACATTAGGTATTATATAAGGTGTCAAATAAAGTGTTCGGGTACTAATAAAAAAACTAACTACAAAATCAGTTCAGTAAACCACGAGACGAATTTATTAAGCCTAATCAATCTGTCATTAGCAAATGTTTACTGTAGCACCACATTATCAAATCATAAAGTAATTAGGCTTAAAAGATTTGTCTCGTAAATTAGTCGCAATCTGTGTAATTAGTTAATTTGTACCCTATATTTAATATTTTATCTAGGTGTTCAAATGTTTAATATGGCAGGGTGTAAAAGTTTTGTGTTGGAACTAAACCGGGCCTGCATCTCGACATGTACTGCAGTACTGCTGGTGCTGTTGCTAATCCACTTGCCACACACTGAAGCAATGCCGATTACTGCTACAAATACTATACTCGTAATTATCATCACCAGAAGTCCTGGATATTTGTGGGATGAAAGCGAGCAGTGGATAGGATCGATAATGGCATGCATGCAATGCATAGTGCAGAGCCGTACGTACAATAGGAGTATGGGTGTGTTTAGTTCACATTAAAAATAGAAAAGTTTGATTGAAATTGAAATAATGTGACGGAAAAATTAGATGTTTGTGTGTGTAGAAAAGTTTTGATGTGATAGAAAAGTTGAAAGTTTTAAAAAAAAGGTTAGGAACTAAACCAGGCCTATATAGTGAGGTTTGTCTAGAGGAGCTGGCTACTGTAAATTCTTCTAGAATTAGAAGCTTTCGTAAATAGTTCAGCTTTTAGTTAAGATCCTAATAAGCTGTAATTATAGAATCTAAAAAAATAAATTAGAAGTCGAAAGCTAAAAAAAAACTTAGCTTTTTTAAATCCTCAGAAAATGTTTACCAACCATCTGCTTGTCGGTATCTCGCTGGATTGGCTGGAGCTGGAGCCTGGAAGCAACCAAAGGCGAAGAAAAGGAGGAGCAGTGAAGAGGAAGAGGACAGGGGTAGCAGCAGCAGAAACAGAAGCAGAGTGACAGGGAGCTAGACGATGGGTGTGTTTAGTTTACGCTAAAATTAAAAGGTTTAGTTGAAATTGGAACGATGTGACGGAAAAGTCGACAGTTTATGTGTATAGAAAAGTTTTAATGTGATGAAAAAATTGAAAATTTAAAGAAAAAGTTAGGAATTAAAGCAGGCCGATAGTGATGAGCCGATGAAGATGTTGATGGACAGATGCATGCACCTCCCAAAATACCATCCACCCGTCGCCTTTCTATTTCCCAATCCTGCGGCCAATCCGCTATCCCGCCACCGGTTTTGTATCCCCGGTTTCCAATCCCATCGCCGGCTTCACCCTCGCCGCTCAATCCCAGCCGTCGGATCATCCCTGTCCCTGTCCGACGTGGCCGTCCCACGTGGCATTCACACGCGTGCGTGCTTCCCGCCAAGTGGCACCCGTACGGACGCTTCTTCTCTTCGCCGCCTATTTCTTCAGCTCCTCCTCCTCCTCCTCGTCTTCTTCTCCTCCATTGCTTCCGCTTCTGCATCTGCTTCTTGATGCGAGGAGTCATCTTGCTGCGTTACGAGGAGGACGCCATGGCCGGGCACAGGTCCACGGCGGCGGCGACGGGAGGGAGATTGTACGGACAGGTGGGAGTGAAGCGGAGAGTGGTGGAGGAGACGGCGGCGGCGGTGGAAGTAGGCGGAGGAGGAGGAGGGTACTTGGGGGTGGAGGCGGCGGTGCTGCTCGGGGTGGTGACGGCGACGCTGCTGGTGCTGCCGCTGCTGCTGCCGCCGCTGCCGCCGCCGCCGCCGATGCTGCTGCTCGTGCCCGTCGCCATCTTCGCCGTGCTCCTCCTCCTCGTCCTGCTGCCCTCCGACGCCAAGTCCATCGCCGCCGCTGGCCGACCCTCTTCTTCCTCCTCCTCCTCCTACCTGTAGTCTGTAGATCCATGGAAGGTGATGCGGCATCTGGATTGGATTGGATCGCCATGTAAATGTAATTAGCGCGCTAGCTACTCCGGATGCGGCAATGTTTTTTTTTTGTTTTTGTTGATGAGATTCCTCGAAAGAGGAGATTGAGATTAACTAGTGGAATGGAATTCTTGGTCTTGGAGGGAGATGGATTAGCTTAGTTTGAGTATTTTGATGATCTGCTGCTGCTGTCTGCCTCAGCTCTTTCCTTCTATAGGGTTGGCAACGGGGTGGGTTGGACTGGAACGCCCCCGCCCTGCTCCCCGACTTCTCCCCCCGACCCTGACCCCGCACAGGTGGTCGGGTGGGAAATATCCCCCGTCCCCGCCCCCGCAGGGGACCCGTGGGTGAGCGGGGCCCCGTACCACCGATGGCAAACGCGAGAGCAAACACGAGACGAGGTGGAATGCCGCCGCCGCTGCAAGCTCCATGGCCGTCGATGCCGACGCGGATGGCGGCGCTTGGCAGCCGCCGCCGTCGCCGCCTGCTTCTTGGCCGCCGATGCCGTGGCCCGTGCCTGGCCACCGCCGCCGCCGTCGAACATCGGGGCGAGGCGGGGCGCCGCAGCCGCCGCCGTCGATGACGTCCGGTTCGCGGCGGCGTGCTTCTTGCCCATCGCCGCCGCCGCCTTTGAGCCGGAGGATTTAGTGGTTGTGCCGGTGAGGTGGAAGTTGTCTTCGATTCCTGGGCGTTTGTAGACTCGACACAGCGAAATTTCCTGAATAATTCAACGATATATAGTCAATTATATTAGGTCATCGATTACGTACTAGCTAGGAGAGATTGATGGAAATAGCATAAGTGTTTGAAAGAAAACATAAGAAAATTATAGTAAAACACATGTGAAAGTTTCATATGCTCTCTCTCTATATATATACATGTAAAGAAACAAAGAAACTATCAGAATTTTTTTGGGCAAACCATCAGAATTTTTTGGAAAGAATTAATTAGTAGTAAAAAAATATAGTTCGATTATATATAGTAATCACAGAACGAGATCTCGTCCTGTCTCGCTGTTCTAGGAGTTTATTTTGATTTAGAATAACCAGAGTATACTTTTTGTGTTGGTTAGTAGGTTATAGTGTTATATACCAGATCGTGCACATCATGAAAAGCTGGAAACTTTACACAGAACGAAATTAAGGAAGAAGATGAGGCATCGCTTCCAAAAAGGAGGAAGATGACGCCTACCAGTTGCAGGGGGGAAAAGTCATCGCCCGGAAATATTCAGATTAAATTCATCAATTAATAGAGAAAGTTCATTTTTTTTCAGATCTGAAAGTTCAAATAGAGAAGAACAAAATGGACAATTGAAATTTGAGTGTGCTCCTTTTGTACAAAAAGTTTATATATATGCAAGAATTAATTGATCCATCAAGATCTATAGCTATAGATTCTTGCATGCATTACCTCTACATACAATTTTCGCATGGTGTGTACTTTAATTTCATCACCAGCTGAGAGACAAGACGTGCCAATAGCATATGCAGTACATATGCTTGCCTGCCTGCCGGTGACTATATCAAAAGCTATCTAGCAATCAACATGCGTTCAATCATGTATCTCCAAAAGCGAAAAGAAAAAGAATTTTTGAGTGGATGCATATCGATCTTTCAGATCGACGGAGGATCCAACACTTTAAGCTTTTACAAGATCTTGGGGGCTCGATGCATCCATCAAATCAAGGGATCCCCAAACTTCATAAAATTCGATGGATCATGCACACAAAGAAGTAGCAAATCAAGCATGAAATCAAACTGAACAGCAACCAAAAAATTCAGTACCTTTTGGTAGCGGTCAGCGTCGCCATGAGGGAGACGATACTCGTTCATGATCCAGCTGCTGCGAAGCCCCTTGGGCGCCTTGCCGACGTAGAAGACGAGCGTCTTCTTGAGGCCGATAGGACGGTCACCCTCCACCTTCACCATCCTATCCGCCCCTGTGGCCTTCCAGTACCCCGATGGCGTCACTCGGTTGGGCCGATCGCCGTTTCGGTACTTGCGGTCCCTTGGCACATAGAAGAACCACTCCTTGTCCCCAATTGAGGCCAGAGCTGGGTGCATCCATCCATGTAAGGGGAGCAACAAGAAGGTGGGAAAAAAGTGAGCCACCCAAAAAGGTTCACATGAAATCAAAGAGGGGGTCACATGAAATCATGCAGATGCTAGCTATCCACTAGCTAGCTTAGCTCATGTACAGCACATATGCTAGCTAAGCTCGACCTCATGTCATGTCACGATGATGGGATTAATATCTTACCGGGAAGATCCCACGGGTCATAGCGGTAGAGGTCGACGAAGGCGATGAGCTCGATGTTGAACCGCTTCCCCTCCACCTTTCGCCGGAGGTAGAACTCGATGAGCTCCTCCTCCGTCGGGTGGAACCGGAACCCCGGCATCACCATGTCGTGCGCCTGCCCGTCGTCTCCTCCACCGCCACCGCCCCGCGGTGCCGCGACGACATCCTGATGATGATCTGATCCCCGCATGGTGAAGCTGATGCTGATGCTGATGCTGCTCCGGCGATCAACTTGAGTACTCTCATCACCTTCCAGTACCCAACCCCCTGATCTCCACGGCACTTTATAGCAGAGAGAGCAACTAGAGGAAGAAGAAGAAGAGGTTGAGGAGAAGCAGCAGTAGAAGTAGCCCTAACTAGACACACACGCACGCACGCCACTAGCAGTGAGATTGATTGATGCAACTAGCTAGTGTACACAATTGCAATTGGTGAGGCTAGCTAGGGTAGTTAAAACTTAGACAACGCCGGCCTCGATGAGGACCTGCAGCTGACATGATGGTATTTGCCGGTATTAATAGCTGTTACTTTTAGCTAGCTAGCGATGCAATACTGGCTAAGAATTGACATATACTACTACCATATATATCTCTACAGTTACAGATGTATATATATGTATCAGAAAATTAACAATTTGCTGGTTGCTAGGTACAGTATGTACTAGTGCCCCAGGTAAAAAGGAGAGAACAGTGTAATTATACTATATGAATTGGGGATATGTATATATATATACTTTACCAATTATATATCGATTAATTTATTTTGACTGTCTCTACAGTTGCAGTACTAGGAAGGAAAATTGAAAGAGAGGGATCGGGAGGCGAATTATATTGAAGGGGACCTCTATGGAAAGCTGGGCGGTGGCCTATAAATTTGAGCAGTGACGACTGGGCCTTCTTCACCCTTGAACAGTTCAGCTGATGTTCTTTCTCCGATCAATTCTACCGCTACTGTAGCATTAGCCAGCCAGCAAGCTAAGCCATATAATATATATATATATATATATATATATATATATCTCTTAGGTCAATATTCTTCACGTCGGCCGAGCGAGACAGGCTGCTCGATCCACGCTGATAAGTTTTCAATGAAAACCGGTCGAAAACCACGCAATTTTGTGGTTTCGGTGTGGGAAAAAGTATATTACGAGTGAAATTTCTCGAATGTTTTTAAGAATTCAAATTTGAAAAAAAACAATTTGACTGAAATTAGATTGGAATTTAGCAAAAAATAATTGTTATATATTCCATCGGGGGTTGGGATCAGGTGCTCAATCAAAAAGTTGATCCCTTGGCTGTTGCATAGATGCACCGATTCGATGATCTCACGCTTCATCCGCCTGGAATTAATTGAAAAAAATGTTCTGACATATCCTAATCCAGTTATACTTCCTTATTTATGACTGACCTATATACTCCCTTCGTACTAAAATATAGGACACAATTATTATTAACGAAAATATCTAAGAAATAATTGAATTACCTTCTCGATTGGATCACCTTGATGCATGCACGTAATGTGATTGGGGGGCTTGATGGTAGTAGATTTAAAACAAACCAAATTTAGAGAAGAAAGAGATGCTAGTTAATGTATGCATGCATTTAACGCCTTATATTATGATACATGAAAAAAAAGGTTGACAATACAAATTCACTTCTAATTTACGTGTAACCAGGGTCATAAAATTAATCCATTCACGAATTCGAGATCAACAGATCTGATTTAATTTAAGACTATTTTCAACACAATAAATTAAGAGATGTTATATATACATTCCCTTCATTAAAAAAACATAGAAACTTCTAACATTCATTTTTTTTTCTCAGAATATAGCAATTTCTTCATCTACATTCTCTTATCAACCAAAAAAATCTTCCTTCATTTAATTTTTTCACCTACGTTCTCTTCGCAATCAATTACAACATTTCTCATGTTTAATTCTACGTAACTTTTTAATACTCATGTCTAACTCCAAAAACTTCTATATTTTAGAACGGATGCAGTATTAGGGTTTCCAGAGTCCAGAGATATTGATTCTCTAGGTCTTTAAACCACCAGTATTAATTATAATTAATCAAGAGCTAAACTAGCTACTGAAAAACTTTCCTGCATATTTTTATGTATGGTCTGCCTGCATTTGGCTTGTCTAATTACTTATTTTATTATTTACTCTTACCTGTCTATTTCGAGATCGATTGATCTTGACACTTGAAATCCAAACTTAGCCGTGCCGGCCACACTAACAAGCAATTTGACCCCTTCAATCCCCGGCCACAGCACAAGTTAATTTGCAAGCAAATATACATCACACACATATATCTATCCGATAATTACATAGAGACACACATGCATATAAGACAACTTTTGTGCAAGTTACATATATATGTCTACTATATATCTCGATCTGTACAAGCTAATAAGAGAAAAAAAAAGAGATGCATGATTAATTTGTAGCAGCTAGGGTTTGTGATTGCACATATATATATATGGATCGCGAGAGGACACAAGACAGCATTTACGCATAAGCTGTCCTTTAGGGGAATTCTCTTGCCATGCATGCCGGTAATTTAAGACATGTGCTGCTGTTTGCTGATCTTTAGCTAGTACTTTAGTACATATCTAGTTTAATTAGCTCCAGTACGCATGCATGCATGCATAGTGTTGTAATTAAGCTGTGTACACAAGTGTACTCTAATTAACTAGCTAGATAGGTCCGTATATATATGTGTATCTCTGCTTCTGATCTGTGATACAAGCAGCTTAGCTAAGCTAGCTGTCAGTCAAGAGATGCCCGTGACACCTGATCTCTCTCGATCTCGATCTCCGAATATATATAAGTGTGTGCGTGTGGCCGTGTGTTAATTTGTCTGAAGGCTAGCTCATCTGTGAGCATGAACACGCTGATGACAAGAAGATATATTTTTTGGTTTAGCTGTGTGCATGAATTAAGAGATTGTGCCTTTTTTTTCCTTGTGTACATATATATGCACTATATATGAAAAGTTCAAGTCCCCTTTGGCGCAGAGACAACATCAGTTTGGCGCAGCTAGCACCATTGTAGCTGATCAGAATGAACCTTAATTTTTTGAAAGATAGAATGAACCTTAATTTCAGCGGCATCTTTGCCCGTTAATGTTGCTGATCAGAATCATATGGAGACACATATATATAGCTTCCAAACTAAACATCGAGCGGTTTCCTCAATATATATATACTAGCTAGTAGCTGAAGCTTCTTTTTGTTCCCCGACCCTTTCTCTCTCTTTTTTTCCCTCATTTGTCTTATCAATAGTATACACGTGCTAAAGTCAATTTGAGCATAGAAGATAAGGAATTTTATGGTCCTTAAAAAAGTAACTAGAGGTACTTAATTAGTAGCTAGAGGTATCAAATTTTACACTAGAAAATATGATACCTCTAGGTATCTTCTAAAGGATGGTAAAATTATCTATAAAAGATATGGATAGACAAAATCAAAGTTTATCGACAAGACGCAGATTAAAAGCATTAATATGCATCAGCATTACAAGCCATTCTTAACAGTTCGCTGCTATACCTTGTTGACAGCTTGGGATATATCAACCTTTAATGATATGCTGGTATATATGCGCATGTATATATATGGTATGACCGTATTGTGCATATATCTAGAAAGGTAAAGAAGCGAGAGAAAAACAGTAAAAGAGAGTGAGGGTGTGTTTGAGAAGAAGGGGATTGAGAAGATTGAGAAGATACGTAAAATGAGGTGAGCTATTAGCTCATGATTAATTGAGTATTAATTATTTTAAATTTTAAAAATGGATTAATATGGTTTTTTAAAGCAACTTTCCTATAGAAAATTTTTACAAAAAATGCACCGTTTAGTAGCTTGGGAAGCATGCGTGCGGAAAACGAGGTGTTTTCTCCCTCAATGTGAACGCTGACTGAGTCCACCTGTGTAATCTGATCTAGATAGATGATCTGAACAGTTCATCTATCTACAAACACACATATTAATTTGACTACCTTCATGAAACATCCTGCTAATTGACAGGGACTAGTTACCGTAACCAAACAATATTGAGTTCTCAATCAATGAGCGTGAGAAAAACTGGCGGTGCCAATAGAATTTCCAAAGGCTTTGTTACCACTCAAGAGTTCCTGATCGAGGACAGAGCTAGCTAGCACTCGATTCGTATTTTTCAACAAGCTAGAAGGTCCACTACTCTTTAACCTTATCCTTTTGTTGATCTCTTGGTGAAGCTAATTTCTTTAACGTTAGTCATCAATCAAACTTAATTAATATCAATGTATAAATGGACCATTACTTTTGACATGAATCTTCCTAAATGTCTGGTAGAATAATGGCATAGATTAAATCACAATCTGTAGATCTAAGCTAGTAATTAAGATCAATGAAAATAAATTATTATCCATGATACATCCAAGTAATATATGTACCAATACAGAGTTTCTTTAATTAGTATATGGATGACCCTTTTTACAACTTCGATATTTCAATTGAATCAAAAGATGTTTATTCCCATGCATCCACAGACAGTACTATATGTACTACAAATTTATTGAACATGTACATATATCACTTCTTTCTCGTAGGTGGCCCTCAATTATAATTGGAACAAAGCAAACTCAAATTAAATGAATGGTCTTTTTTTTTAGAACGAGGGAGAACCCTGCACACCATTTCTCATAACAAAAAATCAAATGAATATGCGGTGTAGTCTCACACAATTAATCTCAAATCAACTCCAAGTTATTTTCTCATACCAGAGTTGCTAGTATAAGCTGCATATGCACACGAGTATCTCCAGCATTTTTCTCATACATGCATCTATCAGCCAATGTGCATGTTACATTATTTTAGGAAGAGAAATGTGTGTTTCAATTTTTGTTAATTGATTAGGTCAAATTCACTGGAAACTCCTATATGTATATATTTTTTTATGGTAAAAGCAAGCAATGTTGTTTACTTCATTTCATATGCTAATTTAAATGAAAAATGCAAAGAAATAATATTGTTCTTGCAGACTTCTAAAGGAACATAAAATCTTAACAATAATAGTACATACTCTCTTTTGCCAAGTGTTGAAAAAAAAATGCATAATTCAAACTATACAACACGTCAACAGGTATTCTTTTTTTTTTCTCTTGAGCAAGTTGCATACAAATCACTAGCTGGATCGAAGGCATTAATGAAAGTAAATTCTTGTTCCTTCTTCCACATGATGCACCTTTCGAATTGATTTCATCAAGCGGATACCATACGGCAAGAATAGTCGCCACTAACTTATGATATTGTTAAGACACGTATGCGACAAAAATATGTGGGTGGCCTAGGATTAATTAGCGTATATATACTCTGTTTCACAGAAATTAAGTTGTGAGAAGTATTTAATATATATTATCCAAGGGAAATTTGAATTAATTTATTGATGCATGCTAAGCAAAGAAATTAATTAAATTCTATCAAGTTCAATGTATGTATTGAATGTTTTTTTTGATTGAGCAATATATGAAAGTTACCTTGTTTCACCATGAGAGGTTGATGTATATATGTGATCTAGCTAGTGGTACTAGCTTGGCACACATAGAGCATTTTGTTATTTGGAAAATTTTTGTGATCTATAGTTAGTACTTGCATTGTCACATATATATAGTGCATTTTGTTATTTGAAAAATTGTCCTACATATATCTGTGTCCAAAGGGTAAATGTCCGAAGGGTAAAAGAGAGATCACCAACGTACATAGGTGAAGAGTGATATATGGATCAGGTCCAAATTAAAGATGATATGAACCTACAACATAATTAATTTACGAATGTGCTGGTCAAACTCTCACCCTCATTGTGTTGCACACCTTGATTATTAAAAATCTTGAGGTAGCTAGGATGAATGGATGATGCATGTGTTATACCCAAATGTACTTATATTAATACGTGTGTAAAAATAATTTATGGGGATGAAGAAATAAACTAAGTAATTAATAGCTAGAAACTATAAATACTATATGAAAGCATACTGATAGTGTGTAGTCAAAGATAACTACTTAGGAAATTGTTATTCTGCAGAACTGCTTAATTTCATGCAGTCTTGAGCAAGCTAGTATATATCTCCTTTAATTTGATGCGTACAAGTATCAAACTAGGTTATGTACTGCCTAATATAACTTGGTACAAATTTTCTTGCACATTTTCCTCCTATGCATGCCCCGGCATGCATGCATGCTACGGATAGTGGATAGTGGATTAAACACACACAAAATTAATTAAACTTGAATTGCCTAGCTACCTACAGTAACACTAATTAAGGAAAAAAATCAGGACAAAATATACACGTGTATCCTGATCGAAGGCATATATAGAAGTAATATAATTAAGGATGACAGAAATAATATATAAATTAAGCATGGGATGCATGCAGTAATTAAAAAGAAGTTGTTTTAGCATGCGTTCATGCATGGAGAGCTAGCTAGCTTGCTTGGCTATAGGTCTATCTGTTTTGCGAGCATCTAATTAAATTTTGCGAGAGTATATATATATATATATATATATACACGTTGCAAACTAAATTTTAGTGAGTTCGGTGACATATATTCCCTCCGTTTTTTTAATAGTTGACGCTATTGACTTTTTCTCACATGTTTGACCATTCGTCTTATTAAAAAAATTTATGTAATTATAATTTATTTTGTTATGAGTTGTTTTATCACTCATAGTACTTTAAGTGTGATTTATATCTTATACATTTACATAATATTTTTAAATAAAACGAATAGTCAAACATTTGAGAAAAAGTCAACAGCGTCATCTATTAAAAAATGGAGGTAGTATATGCTCTCCTTATACATACGATCGAGTAACAATTAAGCAATACTTCATCTGTTTCTAAATATTTGACACCGTACGAACGGTCGAACATATTTAAAAAAGTTAACAACATCAAATATTTAGAAACGGATGGAGTATTAATATACAAGTCGCTGAAAGAGTAGATAATTAATTAACAAATAATATGGAGTGATTCCTAATTAATTAAGAGACTATTTACTACTACAGTGTGTGCAAAGTACTCTGCTGTGTGTGTGTGAGAGAGAGAGAGAGAGAGAGAGATTGTGACGATGGAGAGAGATCGGCTAGGGTTAAATGCGGCGCCGCGTGCCGCCGCATGAAATGCCCTGGCGGCGAGGACGACGAAGAATGTACGTTATATCGGCCTCCTGTACTGTTTGGTCCCGGCCGGTCCGGCCATGGCTCCGGTCGATCGATCATATCCCCCACCAGATCAGATATCATCTTAATTAATTCATTAATTCCAGCATGCATCTAGCTAGCTAGCAGCACCCATGCATTATTCCATATTTGCTTCTGTCTCTGATCTATATATATGTCGATTGATTAATTCCAGTTCGTTTATCTTTCGCATTATATTCCTGCTGATGGCGCGCGCTCTCTCTTAATTTCTCAATTTCATCGCTGTGAGACATCGACGAAGCACAGACGGATATGCTATTAGTATTAGTATAGTAATATTTCAGTAATCAGTATATATAAGTGTGCGTGATCGATCGATGAGCTGATTTTTGTTTCTGGAGATAGATCAGAATGCAGTGGTCGCGATAATCATGATGACACATGTACATGAGCTAGCTTAATTAGCTTGATTGAATTGATTTCGTGCGCGCTGTGCGATCGATCGAGCTAGCTGAATGTGTAGTTTGTAATTCATAGTACTCCCTCCATACTCATAAAGGAAGTCGTTTAGAACATCGACACGGTCTCCAAAAACATAACTTTAACTTCTTATTTCTATAAAAAATTATTTATTGAAAAATGATATATGTTTACTTTTATGAAAGTATTTTTCAAGACAAATCTATTCATATAATTTTTACATTTTCAAACTCAACGACTTAAGAATCATTCATGATTTATATTTTCAAGATTTGACTTAAATACTGTTCTAAACGACTTCCTTTACGAGTAGGAGTACTATATATATATATATATATATATATATATATATATATATATATATATATATATATATATATATAAAACTAGCTAGCTAGCAGCGTGTGTGTGTGTATATATATATATATATATATATATATATATATATATATAGTACGTCGTCACCGACATCACCGGCCGAATTTCTTCATCAGAGAAAACTACCATACTCCGATCCCTCTCGATGATCGATCACTCGGCCGGCCAGTTCATCTCTAGTACACTCGTAGGAGTAAATTACGTACAGCATGCATTGACTGGGGCTCGGTCCAGTTGGTGCACGATCGATCGACCGCACGCGCCGCCGCGTGCGTGCGTGCGTGCGTGCAATATATATATACACTTACTCTTGTAGCTAGGCAATTGACTCCATCGATACGTATACGGGCCGCCGCCGCCGCCGCGTCTCTGCATGCCCAGTGGATCTCTAATTAAATTTGCTCAAGCTGGTGTTAAAATCCCATATCTTCGATTCGTAAATTAAATCGTATAGGTCCTACGTACGTGCCGGCTAAAATCACATAAATCAATTCAATCAGACTAGATATATCGTAAAGTGAGAAACGCCAAAGGATCTTCCCGCTAGCTTTACATCTCTCCCATTCTATTTATTTGATATTAGATCCTTCTCTAATATTCACGTTTTTTAGTCCAGATCGTAAAGTCGTTCTGGAGTCACATGATAAATTTAAATCAGGATTTACAATACCATGGATTGACATCTCGATCTCTCCTTCATCTCACTTCACCGTCGCCCGTCGGCGGTAATTAATTAACCAACCTTACGTAGTACGTAGTTACATACAAAAGGCGTGGTTGTGGTATGTGAGGATAACAAAATGGTGCATGGTAACGACTCTCTGGTGAGATAAACTACGGTAGCTCGACGGAGGTCGTGGTTCGCGGTGACGATGGCAGTTCTTCGCTGAGATAAGCTTAGGCGTCTCACCAAAGGTGAGGTGTGTTGCACGCGGTAACAATGGTGGGGCATTGCGTAGTTCTCGTGCAATGTGGTGGTGGTGTAGCGGTGATGACTTTTGATAAGACAAGCTATGACAATTAGGCGGAGGTGGCACTATACGATGATAACAGTGGCATGGTGACGACAGACACGTTAGCGCTGCAGTGGCATAGATTGTCAAGACGGTGTAAAGGCGGTTCTTGGCTATGACAAGGTGATTATCCAAATGGCGTGAGACAAAGTGATTGATCAGACTAGTTCCGTCTTCTTCCTTGTCTCATGGCCGAACGGAGGAGCTTTTACGGTTGCTACAATGACAGCGAGAGAGTTTTGGAGGCAGAAGAGCGAGCTGGCTCCACATATCCCTAAATCTGAAGCGATGAGTAAAACTTGAAGCTAACTCTTCGAATATTTTCTTTTGAGTAAATTTCACAAAACTACATATGCTTTGGTCAAATTATCACAAAACTGTAGATTTAAGGTGATGTATCACAAAACTACATATTTAACACTAAAATTCTCAAAGAACTACATATTTAAGGTGGATCGCAAACTATAGATTAAGTAACAAAATTAATCCCCAAAATTTATAACTCAAATATAACACTAGTGCCAAGGATTTAAACTCCAAAATCTGCAGTTTTGTGATAACTTTGTTACTAAATCTATAGTTTTGCGATACTCCACTTTAAATCTGTAGTTTTGTGATAAATTTGTTGTTAGATTTATAGTTTTGTGATACATCACCTTAAATATGTAGTTTTGTGATAATTTGGCTAGAGTATATGTAGTTTTGTGAAATTTACTCTTTTCTTTTCGGTTGTTTGCTTTTCTTTTTAATCTCGATTATGGGTTTTAAAGCGTATGCATTCGTGTAATATTTAGCTATATATATCCACTTATGTGAATATAGAGATTGGATTATTAACTTTGAAAAGAAAAAGTTACGCGTACATAAGTAGGCGCGTACGGCCCGGCCGGCGGTGGCGCTCGCCACCTACCTCCACCTCCACCGCTCGCACCAAATGCATCCCTCTCCTACCTGGGCCTACTTGCTTTGCCCGCTGGCCCATACTACGAATTTCATGGGCTTAGCTTCTATAGCTGCTTTGGGCTTTCGATTACATATGTGCCTAAATGTTTTGGGCTTTAGATTCCACTGCCTGCCAAGTCCATACCTTTGGGCCGGCCCAGACTCCGTCCACTTGCACGTTGCAAGCGGGCTAAGCAACTCCAACGTGCAGTGTCCACGCGCATTGGTGGATCTCGAAGCTGCTTCTTCCTCCTCCTTTCCACCTCCTACGCAACCCACTGCACACTGCAATTTTTTTAAAAAAATTATTTGTTTAATTTTAAATTTTAAAAACAAAATACTTCCAAAACTTATTTCGAAGGTCTAAATCTTTTGATCATACCAACGAGCTGATGTGGTAGAATAAAAATATCAAGCCCGCTATAGATAATGTGTTAGTATTATTTTATCACATCAGGCGAGCTAGCGTGACTAAAAAGTTTAGATTTTGAAAATAAGTTTTAAAAGCGTTTATTTTAAAAAATAAAATTTAAAAAGTTTTTTTTAAAAAAATTGTGCACTGCATATGCTGCTTCCTTCTACTCTACTGATCGAGCAGAGCTAGCTTACCTAGCTGCCTGCACCCAAGATCGATCGCCAGTAGCTAGCTAGCTGCCATGGATCCGTACTGCGACGGTAAGAGCAAGAAGTCGCCGGCGATGGGGAGGCGGCGGCGCTACTTCCGGTGCGGCACGACCATGCTGACGATGCTCCTCTTCGTCGTCACCAACTCCGCCTCCGTCCTCCTCTCCTCCGGCGCCGGCGCCTTCCTCCTCCGCCGCTACAAGCCGGCCACCGCCCGCCTCTGGGCATGGGACGACTCCGCCGCGCTCCTCGACGACCTCAACGCCACGCAGTCCGCGCTCGCCGACACCCACGCCCAGCTCGCCGACCTCCACGCCCGCCTCGGCACCGCCAACTCCCTCCTCGAGACGCTCCTCGCCGCCATGGCGGCCGAGCGGCGGGACGGCGGCACGCCGTGGGCTCGCGAGCTCTCCGGCGAGCTCGAGCTCGCCGTCGCGCCCCACCGGAACGTCACCGGCAAGGCGACGGTGTTCCCGGCGCTGGGACACGCGTGCGCCCGCTTCCAGGACGACCTGGAGGCGTACATGAGGTACACGCCCGGCGGCGAGTGCCCCTCCGACGAGCAGCTGGCGCGCCGGCTCATGCTCAACGGCTGCGACCCGCTGCCGCGGCGGCGGTGCCGGCCGCGTTCGCCGGCGGGGTACGTGCAGCCGTCGCCGCTGACGAAGAGCCTCTGGGCCATCCCGCCGGACACCACCGTCGTGTGGGACGCGTACCGGTGCAAGAACTACTCGTGCCTGGTGCGCGGCGGCGGCGGCGGCGAGTTCGACCTGCTCGGCCGGGAGAAGCGCCGGTGGATGCGCGACGACGGCGCGCTCGCCTACTCCATCGACAGCGTGCTCGCGGCGAGGCCGAACGGCACGGTGCGCATCGGGCTGGACATCGGCGGCGTGTCCGGCACGTTCGCGGCGCGGATGCGCGAGCGCGGCGTGGCCGTGGCGACCACGGCCATGAACTCCGGCGGGCCGTCCGGCAGCCTGATCGCGTCGCGGGGGCTCGTGCCGGTGCACGTCGGCCCGGCGCACCGGCTGCCGTTCTTCGACGGCACGCTCGACATCGTGCACTGGACGTCGCCGGAGCACGTCGCCGGCGTGATGCTGGAGTTCGCGCTGTTCGACATCTACCGGGTGCTGAGGCCGGGAGGCTTGCTCTGGCTCGACCACTTCGTCTTCCCCGGCGAGCAGCTGAACGCGACGTTCGCGCCCATGGTTGACAGGGTTGGGTTCAGAAGGCTACGATGGAACACCGGCAAGAAGCTGGTCTCCGCACTGCTTGAGAAACCAATGACATGAACAAGGAGAAGATTAGGGAAGAATTATTTGATGCGCACTAAACAAACTTGTAATCTTTTGTGACAGAACTGTGTTTCGTTTTAGTTCGTCTTTGTTTTGTTATTTTTCAAAATACAACTCGAAGCATGGCATTATCAGAAGATGATTCTTGTGGAAATTTTATTTGAAGAAGATGGTATAATACTTAAGTTCATACTGTTCGTCCAAGTATAAAACGATATCCAAGAAGACGAAGCAACAAATTCTAGGAAGAGATGTGTTCAAAACAATATCTAAAATTTTTTACAATTATGCGCCTGACGGTTTACTGATTTGATTTCAGTTTTCCTTCATGTCTTTTAGCGGACAGGCATTTCTAGTTTTCAGATAAGTAGAGATGTGTCGAGTGCGCCAAAAACCAATAATCAGAGAACAAGGAGTATGACAGCCACTTTAATTTTCTTTTACTGTGGATAAGTGATAATCTGATACCAAGCATTACACATGAACAGAGTAGAGAGGAGGGATAGCTAGAGAAGGGGAATCTGTACACAGCCATCCCAGGTAAAACCTTTTCCACCAATAAATATGTAAAGATAAACAAAATGACACATTTAAGTTGACTAACCGAAACATGTATATTGCAATCTGAAATGTTGCCTCCAAAGCTCCAAGCCCAGGTGTAATTCAAAGTAGTCATCTCATCCTGTAAGCCCAACCATGTTCACTCAAAAATGCATGGACAGCTTCCTTGATGGCAAGGTTAGGAACCAGTTGGTGTGGTTCAAGTGTCTCACGGGTCACAGGATCAAACTTCCCCACCTACGAATTTGAAAGCTCATCGTAAGTTTTGTAAGCAAAGCAAAAATACATTCAAAGACATTTTATTGCCTCTGTCAATTACCCTATGAAGATGATCAAGAATCACCGCCCTCTCATACGTGATTCCACTTGGGGTTATCACCGGGTCTCTGAAAATATCAAGAGTAATTTTGCAGCAGAGATGATCAGGAACCTGCATATAAAATAGTTCTTTTCTTTTCAGATTAAGCCAGTCAGGGCACGGAAGTAAGCAGTGTCAAAGGCAGGTTGTACTTCTGTTGGAATATCAGACTTCCTGGCATTCCGAAAAACTTCCTCAAGCTCATTTAGCTGTTCCTCGGGGACATATGCAGGAGGATTGTCAAGGCTGTTATAATTCCTAAGAGCTTCTTTACATGCTTCCCTGGAAAAGGGAAAACACTATTTAATTAGGGCATTATATCTCTGTCATATTGATTGAGTAATGTATGGAAAAGGTTTTCACAAACTTCAGCTTATGCAATTGACGGACTCGTTCGCTTGATAAATTTTCCCATTCTATGTATTTTGCTTTAGAAAGCTCTTGCCAGATCTCTTCAACCATGTAACTTGCTGGATGTGCACCCCTTCCAAGCTCCAACGACTGGGTTAGTAAAGATTGGATCATCAGTAAAATGGCGTAAGCAGAATTTGAGTTGTAACTAAAATAGCATCATCAAGAAGAACAAGCACAAAAAACAAGTAGATCCCGTATGAAATTGTATTTTCCTGTTTCTGTTGGCATTGCCAGTTCAACTATTCTTAAGACAGTTTAAAATCATAATTCAATTTTGTGCTCCAAATCAACATCGTGGCTGTGTTAGCATTTGTAGGAGGAAGGAGGAGCAAAAAAAAGGCTTAAGGCAAAATCAGACCATCATAACATTATTACTCAAGTGTGTGCATGTGTGTGGACTTGTGACTGAGTGTGAAATCAGACCTTCTCTAGTTCTTTTATTCCCTCGGCCAATTCGTCCTTGTTGAGAAGTGCAAGCCCGAGCATGTAATGTGCCTGCAAAAAATCAATGAGTTGAAGAAAGTCAGGTAACTAGAGGTATTAGCATTGTAAAGAACAAGATAAGATGGTATTAAGCTCAACTAGAGAAAATACATCTGTTGCCTGCAGAGGCATCTAAAGTTTCGCTTTAAGTTCAAGCCCATTTCAAACTGGCTATACCAAAAGTGGGTTAAGATGGATCAAAGGAAACAAAGAACAGACAAGTTCTTTCTCCTGACTCCACAAAAATGCATTTTAAATTTTACTCAATATAAAATGTCTTACTTTCTAGTTTCTACCTTTAATAAGGACACCAAAGCATCCTGAAATAGTAACGTACTTTCAATTCTTAGGCACTAGAAGCATATCTTAATGAACATGATATCAGTAAATCATCGCAGTAGGGTCCCCTTATAATATGTAAAATTCATATTTTGAATTGAACTGCTGATGTATCTTAGGACATTTTTCTATAGTTTGAGGTGATGCCCCCATTCGTCCAACTGTCCAAGAGCTTTAAATATAACCAGTATCAAAAGGAGGGATTTCTACCCTGTTGGTTGCTAAATCAGGTCTGTAAAATGTGAAATACTCGATTCAAGCCACATGAGCCAAACAAGATAAGCTAATTATTGAGTTATGAGTTACATGAGCATAAATCCACCTCATGTTCAAGTGCTAACAAGTAACAAGATCAATGGCTCTAAAGGTCATTTTGCTATAATTGGAGGACCCTATTCCCAAGTGGAGTAACATACAAATAAAACATAACATAAAACTATGTGAGCCCTTCATAAGACATGGATAAATCATATTTGCGGAAAATTCAAAACTAATTGAGCAAAAGAGTATGCACTTTATATTCAAACTAAGGGGTAAACAGCAGGCAACATCTGCATGTTAATATGATTAATGTCCAGTTTGCCATATCTATGTTTAAGTGCAAATCTAGTCAGTAATGTCTAATGAAAACTATCCCATTTCCAGTAATATGTGTTTCAAAGTGTGTGCTCGTTGAGGAGATCAAGACATAGTTATTGCAAATTTTTCACTCTCTGCCCCTAATGAAATACTTTGAAAGAGGTAAATTGGTTGTATTATGAATTTGGTAGGGGTATGCAAGGTGTTCTATCATTAACTTCTGCTTTTTAGATTCAAAGGGCACAGCCGCACAGCTCCCCAGGCATCAAATCCAAGAACAAGAAGTAATGCTTACAGACCATGAAGTGCATACAAGACACATCACAAGGCGTACTTCAGAAAAAACAACATAACCCAAAACAAGAGCATGGCCAAGCATGTGTCTGTGCAGGACCAAAACACCAACCATAGATACCCAAAACCCCAGAAACCTCAACAAGACCAAAACTATTGTCCATACACTCCAGCATCAATCAATCTAGGAGGCTCTGAAATCTTTCTCAATGAGCGAGGAAGTAATCCATCTGCGGCAGCATCTTAACAAGGATTCCTTAGTGTGTGCTTGCAGTGGGCCATGGACAAAAAATGCAAAACAGAGGGGGTAACATAATTTTGTTTTAAATCTAGATTAGAGGATGTTAGGTAGGTGTGTTTAAAGAACAGAAAATTAAAGGGTCCCTCCAAAAGGCAATGCAATAACAAGTTGAGACTAAATCAACTAGCAGGTAGATGTCATTAGTGTTTCTCAAACAGGAAATAAACAAAAAAATTGTAACATATTTGGTCAAGAAGTAACAGAGATAGAAAATGGAATTCAGTATCTCTAAAAGAAAATTTATGTCCTTAAAGCAAAAGTTGTCACTTGTTAATTTAGTAGAGCACACATCACCAGGAGATAGTTGCAAGAAAACAAGTCCAGACAATAATTGTTAAAGATAGGTAAATACACCAACCTTAACAGAGTGGCTGTCAAGCTGAATAGCTGTTCTACAATCTTCCTCAGCCCTAACCCACTCACTGCAAAACTCAGATTGGCAAAGTATGGTGTAAGCAACATAAATGTGAATCAATTGCTCCCAATGTGCAGCAAAAAAAAAGAAGAGGAAATAATAGTTATACAGACTTCCGCCTCTTGTAGCAAAGTGCTCGGTTGGTCCAATATACTGCAACCTTTGGGCAGAGAGCTATGGCCTGTCAACCAAAATAGAGACTGCAATTAGCATGGAAGGTGCAAATTGTACAGGCTTTCTACAAAAAAAAAAAAAAGAAAAGAAGAAGAAGTCTTGAGTGCTTCCATATAATCTGTCGTCGACTAAGTCAGCTGATACATGTTTTTATCGCCGCCACCACCATGATGTAAAGAGGCCAAACAAGAGGGATAATCTAGAACTAAATTGTAGCCTTTACCTTAAACAATACAAAGAGGCAGTAATTTTCACGCTCTGAACTAGACTAGTACAGCATGGTACATAAACACCAATATGTCTATCCACTCTCAAACAATCCCTCCCCTCTCCCAGCAAACCCTTTACAGTGCATCGGTATTAGCTAAATTAAAAATAAGGATGTTCATCGTTGAGAAATTTCCTTGCTCATCGTCTCATCGATGTGATGGCACCGCACAAAGCGGCAATTCTCAACTAACTAAAAGGAAAGGCAGGAATCTATGTGCAAAAGCATCACTCAACTGCCCACAAGCAAGCAAGCACACGTCAGCAGGCAATGACATAGACTTGCATGTTTCAGAGAACCAGGCACATCAACAAACTAACGAAAATTATCTAGACCAGCTACTCGTCGCCGAAGCAGGGTTAATCCGGAGCCCGAGAAGCAGCCAGGGTAATCCAGTATGCAATTGACATGATATTACAATAGGGAGATTCACAAGCTTTCACGGAATTTACTGTATAACATGCTGATATAGCGGGGCGGCCTGAAGGGTCCAAATGTTGGTTGGTTCGAAGAATTAGGACGGCACGAATCACGCGGGCGATGCCACGGCGGGAACCTTACCCCGGTGTAGGCGTCGATGGCGGCGCTGATGCGGTCCTTCTTGAAGAAGGCGTTGCCCTCCTGCTTGAGCAGCTCCGCCTGCCGCTTCGACGCCGCGCTGTCCGCCGCCGGCGACATCCCCCCCGGCGGGGCGGCTTCGCTCCGGGGAAGGGGAGGGGAGGAGGCGGCGGCGCGCGCGAATCGCTTCTAGAAGATCGTGGCGTGCGCTTGGAGGCAGGCTTGGAAAATTGGAGAAGCTTGGAGATGGGAATTTTTTTTTTTTGGGAAGAAGGCAAAGAGAAGCAAATGGAAACGAAGGGTGCGCGCCTTTTGCGTCTAGGCCCCTGGACTTGACTTGACTCTCTCTCTCAGGACTTCAATGTAAAACATTATGGATGCATGCATGTAAGGCCCATTTCAACTTTTTTCTTCAAACTTTCAACTTTTCCGTCCTATTGAACTTTCCTACATACACAAACTTTCAACTTTTTCGTCACATCGTTTTAATTTTTTTAAACGTTCAATTTTGGCGTGGAACTAAACACAACCTAAGATTAGTGGCGGATCTACCATCAAGGCGGCGCGAAGGTTCGAACCTTCACTATTTGTGCGAGAGGACCATGGCAGCACTCGCTAATTTTTTTTTTGCCTTGCATAGATGGAAAGGGGATGTTGTAACTTTTGTCTAGTTTGTTCAGACTCCATGCTATTTCTTCTTGGATCTACCACTAGCCGGGTATGATCAGATAATATCGTTCCCGTATATTATCATGTGTTTTTGTTTATAGAGATGAAATCAAATATAAATAAATAGTGCTGGATAACATATCCTTATATCGTATCATATCCTATATTTCTTTATCGGAATTCTTTTCAGTTTTTTTTCTGGGAATTAGATTTGGGGATGCTATATGTTTGTATTTATAATCCATATAAACTTAGGGATGCAATTATAGTGTTATAAAAGAGAGTGAAATGTACCATTGGTTTCTAAACTTATCATGCCATATTATCTTGTACGTAAACTTTAAATATGCATATTATATGCATATTATGTTTAACCTATTAAAAGAGTGTCATTCTGGTCTAAAATTACCATGACACATCCAGATCGTGCGTGGTGATGACATGGCTATCATCTCCCCTCAATCTCTTTATTCTCTTAGCTTCTCTCCTCTCCCTCTCTCTCACTTTGATCATGATCTAATTGTTCTACTTCCATTCATCAAATCGTTGATTAAAAAAATTAAAATTTGAGAAAAGAACTCTTTGTTCGAGCTCCTTAAAGGAACTTGAACACGGTCATTTAATGCCATTTCAAATTTATTGTGTGATTTTTAGAGATAATCGAAATGACGAATTGACTAGTTCAATGTTTTATCCATCGGATCGCTCTTTGTATGTACATCCGCAAATATGCTCATTGAGAACAATTATAGGAGGTTGTTTGACAGAATAACTACTACTTTCTCAGTTTCATATTATAAGTTGCCTTGATTTTTTTCTTATCAAACGTATTTAAGTTTAACTAACTTTATAGAAAAAATATATTGGTATTTCCAACACAAAACAAATACTTTCTCCGTTTCATAATGTAAGACTTTCTAGCATTGCTCACATTCATTTAGATGTTAATGAATCATATGAATATTAGCAATGCTAGAAAGTCTTACATTGTGAAACGGAGGAAATGCATTATCAAAATAAGTTTGGTATTTTAGATGTTGCTAAACTTCCTATAAATTTTATCAAACTTACAAAAAAATGACAATAAATAAAGTTAAAATGACTTATCATATAGAACGGAGGGAGCATTTTGAAATACTTTTAAAAAAGTTCAAACTCACTCTAACAAAGGCATTTTTCCAAATAAAATATGGATTCGTCCATAAATTCTTCTATTCATGCGTGCTTTTGCACAAAACTCATCTATTGACGTGTGCTTTAGCACAAAAGTCCTCGTATACAGAAAGTTTGGAATAGGGTAAAAGCAAACAGTGGCCCCTTCGCGTCGAGCCCAAGCCCTTCACTTTTCCTTGAACCCACACACAATGGCGACGCCCATGGAGGAGGACTTGCCGGGGGCGGAGGCGGAGGCGGCGGGGCCCGCGCCGCCGCCCGCCGCAGCCACCGGGGGCGACGGCGACGGCGAGAATCCCGCCCCGGCTCCCGCTTCCCCGTTCTCGGACTCCGATTCGGACTCCGACGATGGAGGGGAGGGCGGGGACGCCGCCGACGAGCTCCGCATCCAGGCCCTGGAGCAAGCTCTCCAGGAGCAGCCTCTCGACTACGAGTCACACGTCCAGGTATCCACCATCTCATCCCCCCCGACCCCCTCTCTCCCGTGGGAGTCGCCATTTCTCGCTCGCTCACTAGGGGTTTGAGTGGGTTTTGTGACGCCGTGTTGTTTCGTGCTCCGCGATGTTGTCTGCACGCTCTAGATTCCAATTTAGGGTTTCCTATTTCGTATTTTAGCCTTTCTACGCTAGTTTTGGCCATTAGGATGACGATTATTGTGAGTCTGAGCTCCTTCAAGTGGAATATGTAAGCTGTAGAGTAGTAATGCTTGGGATGCATAGTTTGTAAATAATAGCTACTAGTACCTTTTCAGTGTATGGCTAGCTTAGTGTTGATGAGTGTTTTGTCTCTGGTTTCGCAGTATATACAGTGTTTGAGGAAGTCGGGTAAGATCGAGAAGCTTCGTGCAGCAAGGGAAGAGATGAACAAGTATTTCCCACTCACACCTAAGATGTGGCAGGAATGGACGAAAGATGAGGCTTCATTGAGGTGTATTTGTTTTCTGTTTTAGCTCTTTCCTCAAGTGTTTACGTCATCTTTACTAATTATTATCCACGTCAATTTTCTGAAAAATGAAGGTTCACAAATGTGTGTTTTGGTTCCTGTCTTTGTTGTTACAGGCCTGAATCTTTTGAGGATATTGAAAAGCTCTATGAACGTGGAGTGCAGGAATACTTGGTATGCTAAGTAGTTCTTTGTGCAATATTTGATTGAATTGTCAACTACATGGAGTAGCAACTTATTTTGGTGATCTTGACATTGCAGTCTGTTCGGCTATGGCGCGATTACCTTGATTTTGTTGAAGAGAATGATAAATCAGTGTCCCAATGTTCACCATCTGGCCTCACAAAAATGAGGAATTTGTTCGAACGTGCTATTACTGCAGGGGGATTGCATGTGACAGATGGTAGCAAGCTATGGGAAGCATACAGGGAATATGAAATGGCCATTCTAACCATCATTGATGACGATGACGAGGAAAAGGCAAAGCAAGTACAGCGCATACGTGTTCTCTTTCACCGCCAGTTATCTGTTCCTCTGGTTGACATGGAATCAATACTTGCTGAGTATAAGAGCTGGGAAGCCGAGCAAGGTAATGCAAATGACCCAACCTCCAATTTTGATGGTGTTCCCTCAAATGTTGTAGCAGCCTACAAAAAGGCCACTGAGATGTACAATGTGCGGAAACAATATGAGGATCAACTGAGTAATGCGGATGCATCTGATGATGACAAATTGGAGGAGTTTCTGGTACAGAAAAAAACTTTGCTTATTATCTTTTATTGCTTTACCTTACTTTTATTTAAAATCTGTCATTCATTTATTTGTTTGACATGTATGGATGGTGTTAGTCTTCCTGCCTGTAATGTTTTTGGATCAGTTTATTTGAGCATTTCTGGTGTAATATCATCAGATTTGGAAGATAGCTATATCTTTGTTGCAAGTTCTCTTTGTTATCTTCTTGTATATGCTATTTTGATTTGCTTCATTAACATTATATGTAAATACGCTTCCATTACCAGACATTCTAGAAAAGCATGGTAGTCTCATTTTCTCTTTCTTTTGAGTTTAGACTGTATTCCACTCGTCTTCATCCATGGCCTGCTCTTTTTCCCAAGCAAGAAGGGACATACCCCCTGCAATTTCTTGTCTTAGAAAGCTATACACACATTTGCATTGATCAGTGATCACTACTAAACACATTGCAGAAAGAGAAATGCACCTTTCGGTTTTGTATATGTGCTTTTTCTTAGAAGGCACTTATTTGGACACTAAGTTGTATGGGCCCTTATTTTATTTCTAAATGATATGGGGAAGTTTCTTAGGTCCTTTGCCACCTGTCGGTTTACATTTTTTATGGTCCTCACATCAGTTTTCTTTTCTTTTTTTTGTGAGATTGTTTCAATCATAATGATGCAGTGATTATGACTTTTTATGAAATAGAAATACATCAAATTTGAGGAGTCTTCAGGTGACCCTGCTCGTGTTCAAGTTTTGTATGAACGAGCTGTTGCAGAGCTTCCTGTTTCAACTGATCTATGGATGGGATACACGAGTTACCTGGACAAAACCCTGAAGGTCCTTCAGAAACTTCTATATGTCAATACATTTAGATCCAATGATGTTTCTTCTAATAGCAATGGGTGCTTATTCAATTCTGATATCTTTGGCAGGTACCTGCTGTTCTCAAAAGTGTTTATCAGAGGGCCACAAGAAACTGTACTTGGATCAGTGAACTATGGGTTCGTTATTTGTTGTCATTGGAACGCATTCGTGCATCAGAAGAAGAATTGCGGCATGTAAGTTCCTTGGTTATGTGGCCAGGGCTTTGTTTTTAGATACTTAAGAATCATAGTTGTATGCAAAGGAGATGAAAATTTTAACTGTCCAAAGTCTTGTTTAGTGTTTACAGTCCAATTGCTGAGCTTATTATAAGTCTTATGCCCATCGAGTTTGATTTTTTTTGTTGGCAATGAAAACTATTAAAAGGAAGTAGGACTATATTTGTGCTTTCAGTGTTGTATTTGTTCTCTTAGAAGTTAAATATTGCAGTATGATCCAGCATTAGATATCTGCTGTAGTTTTGTACCAAGAGAGGAGATTTTACTCGAGTAATTGTGAGCATCCTATGAGGTTTATTGTTTGTTGTGTTACTGTACAAAATATCCTAAAGCATCCTGATAATTAGCCAACAGAGCACATTTTGACTAGTGAGAACACTATGTCAACTTGTCAAGAAATGTCAATGTGCTACCTGCAATTGTTTTATTGCCCATCATTACTAGTACTTTTTTTTGGCAGTTCACAAAGATTATCAATTGGCACTCTCTCTTTGTTGGTTTCTGTTTATATAATTATGGGCACATCAGGGAGACACTGATATATATATGAATATATGTTCTTGTACTCATTGTCAGGTCTTTGAGCAAGCTCTCCAGTGTTCTTTTCCAAGCATAAAAGAGGTGACATATATACAGCCTCATCCCTTTTTCTCCTTCTGGTTGTCAACTTATTTGCTTGCGCAATAGTACTATCTGTGCCAATCTTGATAGTAATTGTAATACTTCTGATTGTTTTGATAAGCCCAGTGGCTGCAATTTTCTGGATAAACTAGCACCTTCATTTTGAGAATTCTTTCTGTCCCACTCCCATGGCCATCACCTGTTAATGTTCTAGTAAGACTGCTTATTTACTTTTTATTGGGATGATTGCACCTTTGCAGTATCTCGAAATTTATCTTACTCGAGTTGATAGTTTAAGACGGAGGATGGCAGACGGCTTGGATTTCCAACTGATCAGGCAAACATTCATGGTAAGTTCTCTTTTAGCTCATTGTATGTATGCTTTTTTTTACTGGAACTGACTATGGGTATATAATATCAGGATGCTACTGAGTTTCTTTCACCCCAAATGGGAACAGAGGATTTATTGCTTTTACATGCATACTGGGCCAAATTAGAGCGTACTCTTGGAAATGATCTAGCTGCAGCTCGTGGTGTTTGGGAAAATACTCTCAAGAAAAGGTTTAGTTTTTTGTCATGTGCAAATTCGTACATTGTTGTCATGCGCAGTACTCACTGTCACTTAATTCTGTTTTATATTCCAGTGGTTCTGTTTTGGAAGTCTGGCAGCACTACATTGCAATGGAGATAGAAACCGAGCATATTCATGAGGCTAGGTCACTTTATAAGCGCTGTTATACCAAAAGGTTTTCTGGGTCTGGATCAGAGGTATACTCTTTTTGGTTAACTAGGAGAATTTGTGGGATCTTCTGAGAGTAGATGTTCTTCATCTAGAATGCAGGCCTATAAATAATAAAATTGAACAAAAAATAATTTAAGATTAATGACTCCTAGCTTTTTAATTCGGACTATTCTCAACTAGGTAAAAAAATTACAATCTGCAACAGCAGCAGCAAAATTGTTTAAGGAACATGGAGTTTTTTTTTGTATCAATTTTCAATGATTGACATGTATCCCATGATATCTTCTCTTGTTTTTTTTTATGTTCTGGTATACTCACACTCTTTTCCCCCGTTGCATAATTGGATCTACCTCCATTTTGTTCATAATTGGATCTACTAGAATCGGCCACCAAACACAAGCATCATGGACTAATCCTTGATTTCATTATGTTCCTTGGTTGTTGAACCTAACTATACCGATTAACAGTTCTACTTATTTCTGTTTATTCATCATAATTATGACTCTAACATTGTTGAACGAAAGCTTGACTTACATTTACTGTTCTTCTCTCAATCGAACTTCATTCTTTCATATAGATAGGCTAAATTCCGTTGTTCCTTCTATTTGCACCATCATTAATAAGTTTCTTTGACAAAGCAAAAGAATTATTATGACTTGGTTGTTATGTGCTTCAACTTTAGGAGATATGCCATGCGTGGATAAGATTTGAAAGGGAGTGTGGCACGTTAGAAGATTATGACCTTGCTGTAAAAAAGGTATGGTACTATTGGCCTTTTTAATTATACCCTTGTTTGTTTCACCTGTCCATTTGCCTTTTGCTCTCTGTCCATTTCCTTCAGCTGAATTTAAGCAATCTTAGCAATAGTGGTGAAATACCTCACTTTTGACTTCCGAACAATATCTTCTTGAGTGCAGAGTTATTGGATTGAGCATAAATTCATGGGCCAGTTGTTTCGACACACTATCCCAATCCCCAAATAGCAAACTAGGTGCTTGTGTTATGTGCTGTTTTGCACTTCCTTGATTATCCATCAAAGAATTTGAGAATGCAATTAACTTCTGCAGATTACTGGTCTCTTTTGTGGAATTGTACACTGCAAATTTTGGTATCAATCTGGGCTTACATGTACAACTTAATGCTATGTGCAATCAGCAGATGTTGGTAGGAGTATTTAGTATTGTACTTTGTGAGTTGCTATCATATTTGATATGTAAACAACTAAGCATGTCTATAATTTAATAACTGACTTAATTTGGTGGTACAGTAGGGCACTATGTAAACATTTTAGACTTAATTTGGTCGAATAGCAGGTTATCCTGTAAACTATAGTTGAACTTATCATCTTCCTATTTTGACCAGGTTAACCCTCGTTTGAAGGAGCTTATGATGTTCAAGGCACAGCAGGAGGTTAAGGTTGACACTCATGTTGTCCCCAAAGAAACTACAGGAAGTGATTTCTCTCAGAAAAGAAAATCAAGCAAAATCCCCACCAAACAGCAGCCTCCTGCTAAGAAAAAGAAAGACAACCCACCAAAAAGTGCTGTGCTATCTGATGATCATGGATCAAAGGAACAAATTAGCACCGGTCATGTAAAAACTGGAGAGGTCTCAGGGGAGAAGACTCAGGCATCTATGGAAGTGAATCTGGTGGACGGCAGCCGGAGAGAAAATACAGCTTCAAAAGAATCAAAGTCGAACTTCTACAGTGACAAATGCACTGCTTACATGTCAAACATAGACTTGACAGTATGCCATTTTCCTTGCCCTTGATGCTCATACAAGTTGTAGCTCCTGAACTTCAATAAACTAACATCTTAGCTCTCTTTATAGGCAAACGAAGAGCACATCCGGCGTTTCTTTTCTGATATTGGTGGTGTGACAGCAATAAGGTTGCTGAGGGACAAGTTCACCAAAAAATCAAGGGTATGTATTCACACTAGGTGATTCAGTAAGACAATTTGTCCCTTGGTACATTGTATTGGCTAATAGGTGCATATCAGTTCAAGAAATATTAGTCTATCGAGTCTTCATTTTTGTGGGTATCGTTTACTCCTTAGAGTCCTTAGCACATTCAAAAATTAAACTGAAACATTGGATCATTACTCTGTTGCTTTTCAATCATGTTTAATTCTTGCGATTTTTTTTAACTGGAGAAAATTTAGCATCAAAACTCTACTGATTTGTTCTCTTGTATTGATTTGTTTTGCTGACCTTTTTTTCTTTTCTTTTTTTTTTTGCAGGGGATTGCATATGTGGATTTTTCAGACAATGAACATCTTGAGGCAGCAATTAGAAAAAACAAACATAAACTGCTTGCAAAGAAAGTAAGTGTTGCTCGTTCAGATCCAAGCAAGGGCAAGAAAAACCGTGAAGCAGGATCTTTCTCCAAAGACCAAGGTATTTTCTTTGGCTGTTACCTGACAGCAAATTTCAGTCAGTTATGTTATTTTGCTAATGTATGGGAATTGTAGTGTTTTGAAGCTACTGAATTTCATCAGCCTGAAGGCTATAACTAATTTATAAACCAACAAGTAATATAGTACTGTAGCAAACCGACTGGTATTGGCACTTTACTTGGAATTATCAGTAACTCTTGTGATTATATATCCTGAGTTACCCGTCATATAAGCTGATCAGCTCCTTTTTCAAAACATATTCTGGACTTGTCCCATTGTTCTGTCTATTCCACGGTTGTTATCTTTTGAGATTTGGATAAGACTAAAATTGAGATCATGCAGTAATCCTTTGAACTCATTTTTGGTGTCTCAGGTATGATATGCATCATATGTATACTTCAGAACTCTGACCAATGATCAATCTGAATATTGTACTATATTCCTTTATCCAGCTACTAGTGGCGATCGTGGTGAAACGGCAGAATTTGCCAATAGGCCAGACAAGGAAATTCCCAAAGATAAACCCACAATCACAGGGAAGAACACCTTTGCTGCACCACGATCTGTGGTTAAACCTCTTGGATGGACACAAAAGGATGAAAAATCAGATGTGGGCGCAGAAGAGTTAAAATCAAATGAGGAGTTCAGAAACCTTTTACTTAAGAAGTGATGCTGATAGGCAGGTTACTTCTTCCCTTTTCTTTTGGTATCTTCACAGATGATGCTCAATCATCTGCTAAGTTCATTATCTTGCATTTGTAAAAACCAATTTGCCATTTGCCATGAATAAATGAATTGTCAATCCCATTACCTACTGACACCCACTATTGATTTGTTTCCTTTTGGTACATTGGCTGCCAAATCTATAGCTATTTGTTAACTGGCATTATATGGCTTAGGATAATAAAGGTTGTCCTTTTGCATTTGGCTTATCATACCTTATCCATGGTGGAATTATTATTACTTCAACTTGTCATGTGTCAGTATATATATGTAAGTATGTAACATATAAATATAAACACAGAAGAGTATGCTATTGTTTGCACTGGTTACGTGATAGTGATGTTGGGGTGGGCTATCCCTGTCGATTGGCTGAAAAAATATGCTGTTTTCAACAACAAAATTATGTTAAAATGGGACTTCAGGAACCTCTTAAGTGGCTAGTTCAACATATTTGATCTTGCTGACCACTCGTTTCACCTCTTAAGTTGCTTATGATGCATGCTCATAAGAAATGGAGTAGTTTATTTCAATTGTGAGTTATGACCCATTTTATGGGTGGAATTACATGGCAAAACAGAGGTTCATAAATGCATAATATTTACTTTGAGGGCATGGAAAACTATTCTATTACTCCCTCCGTTTCACAATATAAGTCATTCTAGCATTTCCCACATTCATATCTATCTAGATTCATTAACATCAATATGAATGTGAAAAATGATAGAATGGCTTACATTATGAAACGGAGGAAGTAGAAGATAGAACATGTAATTCTTTTTCTGAAATTGTAAGAAACAGGACACTGTAGAACCATATGGACCCTTTTGTTTTAAATACCTGGTTTAACTTTTCTTTGCTGTGGATAACTCTAAAGAACTTATGTTTTGGGTGTTTGTCGGGGCTATGCATGTTTGTACGGTTGGTAACTGCAGCAAATCGTGTCTTTGTGGTCTTCGGTCTAAAAAAAATTGCAAATCTAAAAGAACAGAGCGCTTGCAGAACCATATGTTGCCTGTTTGAAACACCTATTGGCTATTGTACCTTTTCTCAGCAGTAACTTGAAATTTGAAGAAAAACAAACTTGCAGAACCATGTTTCAAATATCTACTGTGCACCTTATGCATATTTCTCAAAAATTTTCACAATTTGACCCTTTGCAAAAACTATTTTTACAAATGAACCGTCACCAAAACTTATTTCAAAAATAACCCTTGGCGCCGAACTTAGACACCTCAGCGCCAAATAGCGTGGCGCTGAATATGCGTTGGCACGCTGACTTAGTCTCCCATCCGCGGTGGCACGGCATTCAGCGCCAGTTGATATGTAGCTAAGGTGTCTAAGTTCAGCGCCAGGTGATTTGGCGCTGACCAAAAGAGTTATTTTTGAAATAAGTTTTGGCAGCGGTTCATTTGTAAAAAAAGTTTTTGCAAAGGGTCAAATTGTGAAAATTTCAGCATATTTCTAAGCCAACTTTCTCAAATGAAGACAGTGTTTTTTTTTTTTAAATATTGTTCTGGATCTGGGTTAATTCATGGCTCCTTGTAATGTGTGCAGGTGTGTGGATCTCCATGTTGCCATCAAACTCTGATTTCTGTAATGTACTTTTCTGGTGGCTTCATGCATCATCTTCGGTGAACAGAAAATCAGTGACCTTTTGGGCTCCTCAAATTGAAATCTATCCATCCAGCTGCAAAAGTATAATCAGCACAGGAGAATCCAGACATCATTAGCAAACTTCTTAGAAACCTTCTTTTTTTTCTAGTTTGAAGGAGGGAAGAATTTTCTGAAAGTCGTGTAGGACTTGTAGTTTGCAGGGAAACGGTGTATATAACTCATGTGGCTGCCTTAAAACTGAGCTCCCGTGCTCCTTTCGCTTTCGTAAGTAGTTATGCTCGTTTCTCAGGTTTTGTACTGCCAAGAAATTTATGATCTCCCGTGTTAAAAAGGATAACGGATGGTTAGAGAGTGCAGCTTACGTATGTCGGATGCCAATGTACTGACTGTAAGCTGAGCAATTATTCATCACAACAGTACACCGGTTTCCAGTATTTATTGTTCGAATGAGCTCGCATTTTTTAGCCGCCTCAGAAAATATTTTGGGACGAATATTTTGTGATGAATAATACACCAGTATTATATTCTAGTGCGGAGGGAAATTTAAATGTTGTGTTTAGGATGAGAATTTTAAGCCGCGTCATTGTGATGCTAAAAGTTAAATTTCTATCGGAAAAAACAATGTTCTTGTGATGCTAAAAGTTTAATTTCTTTCGGACAAAACAGAGTGCAGACCTGGTATAAGTTTTGCTTTTAATTCAAACGTGTTTTGTGTTTATTCTTCAAAAATTGAACTACGTTTTGTGTGGGGAATAAATTAACCATGCAAGCAAAAACTGCCTCCGTTTCATGAAAGCTAAATCTATGATTGGTCTGTCTAAATTCATCATACAAGAATACTCCCTTTGTCAAAAAAAAAATCGAGAATGTATAGATAAGAGGCTGTTACTCCTAGGTTTATTGTAGAATATATCACAACCAATCCTATTTTTTTTCCTAAGCGGAAAGAGTATACTACCTCCGTTTTTTAACAGATGACGCCATTGACTTTTTCTCATATGTTTAACCATTCGTTTTTATTCAAAAAAATTTACGTAAGACATCTATTAAAAAACAGAGGTAGTATTTCATAAGGAACAATCATGCGTAAAAGTGTGAAACTAAGAGGGAGGTTAGTGAACTGTTTAACTGATTTGAAACAGAGCACACGAAAAGATTTTCTTTTCCTCTGAACAAAGACATGACACAATAAATTTCGCCAAGTAGCTGCCTCATTACACAAATTCAGACCAAAATATCCACCGCAAATCCAAGAGCTTCTTATTAATAATAATAGTAAAAATAAACGCCAAAAGTTCTCACACGGAAGCAACTAACTTAGCACACAAAAGACAGACATGAACACACCCAAGCCCCTCCTCTTCCTTGTCTAAAACGAAGCAGCAACTAAATTAAATCGACCTAAAATTCCGAGGCCCCCAATGGCGGCGATCGACGACGAAACCGAGGAGCTCTAGTTGGCTGCCTTGCTGATGAGCTCCTGCGCGACGGCGACGGTGGGCAGCGCCGGGATGGCACCCTTCTTGGTGGTGCAGATGGCTCCGCACGCGTTCGAGAACTTGAGCGCCTCCCTCAGCTTCTCCTCGTTCTGATCACATCAATCACATGATTAGTACAGTATTTACTAGCAGCAAGAATCAATGGCGATGAAAGATTGAGATTACGTGGAAGATGGAGTCGTCCTTGGCGACGTTGACGAGGAGGGAGCCGACGAAGGCGTCGCCGGCGCCGGTGGTGTCGACGGTGTTGACGGAGAAGCCGGGGACGGAGCCCTTGAAGTCCTTGGTGAAGTACCTGCATCCCTTCTCGCCGTCGGTGACGATGAGGAGCTTGAGGCCGTCGAACCAGAGCGAGAGCACGTTCTTCTCGTCGTTGGCGTCGCCCTGGGTGAGGAAGGCGACCTCGTCGTCGCTCACCTTGATGAAGTCGGCCTCCTTCCAGATGGAGAGGATGCCGGCGCGGGCGGCGTCCTCGGACGGCCAGAGCGGGAGGCGGACGTTGGGGTCGTAGGAGCAGAGGATGCCGGCCGACTTGGCGGCGCGCATGGCGGCGACGTGGGCGGAGCGGCACGGCTCGGTGATGAGGGAGATGGAGCCGTAGTGGAAGATCTTGGCGCGCCGGATCAGGTCCAGGTTGAGCTCCGCCTCCGTCAGGAGCATGTCGGCGCTCGGGTTCCGGTAGAACATGAACTCGCGCTCGCCGTTGCTTTTCAAGGTCACGAACGCCAGCGCCGTGCGCGCGTGCTCGTCGAACAGGCACCCCTCCGCGTTCACCCCGTTCTTCTTCAGGATGTCCACCAGCATGTGCCCGAACTCATCATCACCAAACTGCAACACAGAAGAAAACAAATATTTTTTAGACATTGAGAATATGCAATGCTTTTGATGAAAGATAGATTAATGAAAGATGCAATCACATCAGGCCAACATGTGTTAATCAGGATTCAAGAACTGCATTTGATCTGAATTTAGCGATTAGCAAAAGATGAATATTTATCTTCAGATCAATGAAAGAGGCAGCTTCGAGACATATGATCGGAAATAACACAGGAAGATTTTTCAATTTGATTGCAGTAATAATAAGTGAAAGAATTAGAAATATTATTCATTTTTAAATTAAAGGTGATTGATTCCTTTCGATAAAAAAAGAGAATAAAACTATCCACGATACTTGTAGTGGCAAACAGCAACAGAGAGTATTCAGTGGCAGATACTCGGTATCGGGTTATTGGATCCGATGGCCCACTCGCACCCAAAACGGGCACGAGTCGACGCGTCGCTGTCAGATCCGACTCAGCTGGGCCAATCGACAGTGTGCACAGAGAGTGGGGCCCACGGTGTCAGCACCAACATCGTCAGGTTCCATGCGTGTAAATAAATTTAATAAACAAATAATAGTACCAGTAAAAAAAATAATTCAACTAGATAATGTGCGCCACTGTACAGCTTAATAACTGCACGTGATCCCAAGGGCCAACTCGGCCGAAAGAAACCACCTTTAACGCACACAGATAAAGACTAATCTACTCTAAGCATTTCCAAAATCAAAAGTAAAATAATTAATTAAAGTACAAATATAAAATCACATTATTTTAATTCTCAGAAATTTAATCCATACTAAGAATAAACAGTTTAAAGGGTAAATTTAACCAAAAGACAAAACAGGAGGGAAAAAAACAAAAATAGCTAAGCACAGCACAGCTCAATACAGCACGAGAGTGAGGAGTGAGGTGATGTCACGTGACGACAAAATAGCTCGCGCGCACGAAGCCCACGAGAACTTCCTTTTCCGAGCCAAGCAAGCGTGAGCGAACCAAATCATTCCTGCACAATTCAACGCCTAATCCCACCCGTCCATCCCCGATCCGACGGCCCAGATCCCCCCATCCCGCCGATCCATCGGGGCGGCGAGATCCACGCCCGGATCTAACCTTACCAAACCCCACACCCGCCGGATCTATCTCGCCGGCGACCAACCTCGCCGCCGGCGACGACGACGACGACGACGCCCACACCGACATGGCAGATCAGATCTACTACGTAAGTGAGAGAGCGGAGGCGTTGCTTGTTACCTTGCCGACGAAGGCGGAGGAGCCACCGAGCTTGGAGATGGCGCAGGCGACGTTGGCGGGGGCGCCGCCGGGAGCCTTGACGAAGCCGCCGGACTCGGCCAGCGAGACGCCGGCGACGTCGGGGACGAAGTCGATCAGCATCTCCCCGAACGACACCACCAGGTTGGGCTCCGCCGCCGCCGCCGCCGCCGCTCCGTCACCGAGAGGAGCCATTGCTAGAATTCAAATCTCACGAACAAATCAACAGCGAGAACGAAACGAAGCGAATCGAAGTCGATGCGATTTGCGATGAGAAGCGATGAGGAGGAAGAAGAGGAGGGGGTGGGTGTTTATAAAGGGCTTTGGGGGCGATAAGGCTTAGCCCGAGACGAAGAGGGATTATCGCGTAATTAGTCTTAATCCGAGACTAATTACCCCTTCGGATCCGTAATAATCTCACCCTAATTTGGATTTTTCTCTTCTCTCCGAGTAAAAAAAGAATTACTACCCGCGACTCAACGGCTCAGGCAACTCCGGCTCGATTGGACGGTGTACCCTCAGTCACGGACACGTAGGGCAGGGGGTGAGGTGGGGCCCACCTGGCAGTGGGGATGGTGACAGGCTGTGCGCTTGGCTCCGTCCGGGTTGCGTTACGTGCGTTTGGTGTGGCGCATGGGGCCCGCGCGTCGGTGGGGGTGGGCTGGATCACGTTTTGTGTTTTTATTTTTTTTTGGTGCGGATATTTTCTTTTCGCAATTCGGTGGGGCCACCTGCTGCTGGTGGTGGGTTGCTCATAATTTGCAGGAAAATTAGTTACATCTTCTTTTTTTTTAGATTAGTTCGATTTTGACTTTGCTTCAACAGATATAATTGGGTTATGAATTAGTAGTACGCAGTAGCAATTGTATTCTCTTCTGTCTATCCTAATACTACCTCTGTTTTTTAATAAATGATACCGTTAATTTTTTTTCTCACATGTTTGACCATTTATTTTATTCAAAAAATTTATGTAATTATAATTTATTTTATTATGAGTTGTTTTATCACTCATAGTACTTTAAGTGTGATTTATATCTTATACATTTGCATAAAATTTTTAAATAAGACGAATGGTCAAACATTTTATTTAAAAAATTTATGTAATTATAATTTATTTTATTATGAGTTGTTTTATCACTCATAGTACTTTTAAGTGTGATTTATATCTTATACATTTGCATAAAATTTTTGAATAAGACGAATGGTTAAACATATGAGAAAAAGTCAACGGCGTCATCTATTAAAAAACGGAGGAAATACTATATACAGCAGTAATAATTGTTATACTCCGTACTTGTCATCTAAAAAAAATATCTCCTTGGGATAATTGATATTCTTTTTTTTTGTAAATTTCTCTGTTCGTTTTATCAAAATACTGTATATATCTACCTTGGATAATTACTATTTTTCTTGTGTAAATTTATGTGTGTCGCGTTTTATCCAGTTTTGACTCGGTGTGGCAAAAAAACAGGATCATGCATATATATCTGCTTCTCCTGCTTCTCGGGTGAGATGAGATCGATAATTCTACTTTTGAAATTTTGATTTACCGTTAATTATCCAAGAGATAATTCTACATTGTTTTGAATTACCGTTAATTAATCCAGTAGGACCAGTCATGGAAAAGAAGAATATATAGATGCGTGTCGCTTGCATGGCCGCATGATGAGGTTTCTGTTAATTCCGGGTTTTACAAAAATATATATTGTCAGTGTATTTGGATTGCATATTAATTTGTGTAGATTTTTCAAAAATATGTGTTCATCGAGATTTGAGTTGTACACACCGACACACGTACATGTTTATTTGAATTTGTTTACAAGTAAAGTTTCACTTTTTAGCCTGGTTTTGTGAAAATGAAGTTTGGTGGGTTGGACCAAACAATCAATCATACTAGCAATCCGATCTGCAGATCTGCTGCTGCATGCTGCTGTTGGGCACAGCACACTTAAATCAAATTAATTCCAAATCAAAATCGGATGAGAATGAGATCTCATCTCGCTGCACGGTGAGCAATCGATCCATCATCCATCGACGATGACTAATTAACCGAGCAGAGGACTACGGTCCGTGATGAACGAGTCGTAAGCCGAATAATTTTGGAAATTAATAAAGAAATTATTGATGGCGGCTATCCAAAGCGCACAAAGATAGGTAGGCTGATAAGTGGTAAGTGATAACTGATGATGATAAGGTAAAGTTTGATCTGTCGCCTTAGCATGCTGTAAGCGAGGATTAATTCTCTGCATTTACTTACGTGCTTCGCTTTTATTATACGTCAACCTGATGGTACAAAAGAATTACACAACAGTGTGATAATATTCCTTTTTTTTTCTTTTCGGCTGATGAGTATGATAAAAATTGGATAATGGAACCAGGTTCTGGTTCTGGTTCTTATTCTGGTTCAGGTTCTAATTCCATTCTCTTCCTTACTTTCATTTCGTCAGGAGCCAACCTATATATCACGATGAGGATTGAGGACGACGACTAAATCGAGATTAAGGAATCCCACTGTGCATGCAGCCATTGTGTGTGTGTGTTAAAAAATTTTTTTACATGCAGGATGCAGCCATTGAGTTAGACAAGTACTAGACCTGGGCTCTGGCCCAGCCCATATGGGATGTGGGCCTGCTTCCCTTGCTGCTGGGCCGGCCTGGCAGCTCACCGTCTCTGAACATTCGTTCTTCCCGTCGTCTAGTTTTTACTGCGTATGCGTGCATCTCCGTTTCAGCTTATAGAAATTTTACTGCCCTTAATAAAATGTATGTAGGTGCTAAAATTTTACACTGAAAAATTAGATATTTTTGAGGTATTTAGTGTCAGAATGTACAAATAAGTTACCTGGTAAAATTATCCTTCAATAGCTACTCTAAATCTCCGACCAATCCAAAACGTACGGCATCGATTTGTAACATGAGTTCAAAAGCCATGTTTGTTTCTCTCCTTGTTCTTTGTTTGGAGCATCACAATATTATTGTACATGCATACATATCTAAACTAGTGACATGCATGATTGTTTTACAATCTTTCCTATACAGTACCACAATTATACCAGCTGCTAACTGTAGCATTTCTGGCAAGCTTACTATACTTACTACTATCATACATGGCCTCCATGCCACAATACAAACTGACACTACTTGTATACCTTGGGTACTGTAGCATTTCCGGCAAACTAGCTAGCTGCAATTTTAAGTTCACAAAGACGCGGCCACGAAAGACGTCGAGTATACGGTATGTTATTATTGAGTTGCATGCACCAACCAGTTAAACTCAAAAGCTTAAGCTAAAGAGCTAAGGCGGGCAATTCAGGACATATAGATTGTTGGTATGATCAAGGAGTGTCAGTTGACGACCCTGCAAGATGTCCTGACCTCGCCGGCGTCGCCCTCCTTGAGGTCGAGCTGCCCCATCTTGAGCATCCCCTGCTGGAACGCGTAGAAGAAGTATGCCTGGTTCATGGCGAACATGTTCACCAGCCGCTTCGTCTCCGGCGACTCGAACAGCGTCTGGTCGGAGGTCAGCAGGCCCCGCCGCTGCTGCAGCTCGCGGAAGTAGACCCCGTCGAACACGTTGCTCGTCCGGTCGAACGTCGCCGTCGCGGCGTCCCCGCCGGCGGCGCACGTGCTGCCCAGCGACGACGCCAGCGCCGCGTCCAGCGTCGCCGCCTCCGTCGCCACCCGGTTCTTGAAGTTGGCGCAGTGCGCCCGCCCCAGCGTGTGCCCCCCCGACAGCGCCACCATGTCCTGCGCGGTGAACCCGTGCGTCCCGAACAGCTGGATCAGCGCCGTCGCGTTCAAGAACGGCGGCGGCAGCGCCACCGTGTCGGCCGCGCTAGACCGCGTCCCGTCCCTCCTCCCCGTCGCCACGCCGTAGTACGGGCCCCCCGCCATGATGACGGCGTCGCGCGCGGCGAGGGCGAGGACGTCGGCGCAGGAGACGACGCCGGGGCACCGCGACTCGAGGGCGTCCTTGATGCGGTCGATGACCTCGAAGCCGCGGAGGCTCTTGTTGGCGAGCGCGTCCTTCTCGGCGGTGTTGTCCGGGGTGGAGTCGAGGAGGACGGAGGCGTCGCAGCCCTGGACGAAGCAGTCATGGAAGTGGAGGCGGAGGAGGCTGGCGGCGAGCGACGGGTCGCCCATCAGCGCCTGGCTCACCACGCTCCTCACCACCATCTCCGCGAACGGGCAGCTCATCCCGTAGTAGTCCATGCTCAGCGCCGCCGCTCGCCGCGGCGCCGCCGCCATGGCCACCACCTCCACCATGATCAGCAACCTCACCAGCTTCTTCATCATCTTCGATTCACTCTTACTAGCTTGCGATGAAGAAGATGAGAGTGTGTGTGAGAGTGAGTGAGTGATCACATGTATGATGCGGTATTTATAGCTGAAGCTGAAGCACATGAACGATGTCGATTGATTTGAATTATGCACAATTGATTAATGTACGTAGTGCACGACATGGATGAATCCAAAAACCAGAGCACTAAACGGTGGAGAGATCATGTTGTAGCAAGAGTCAAAAAAGCTCTCTGTGCCTCTCTGAAGATAGCGGCGTATGTAGTGTCACTCATGCATGCAAACGCAACTAACTGAATGTCCGAATCGTATCATATTAACCATATAAAATTGCCATCAGGGCAATCAATCAGTCGACGAACAATCTTCTGAAACCATTTTTTAATCAATATTTCTGTGGCATTGGTATAATTTCAGACGTAGTACGTGGGCGTCGCATCTGCAGCTGGCATCCATGGCCAGATGCCATGCATCACCTTGGCTATCGCCGTACGTTGCCATCGCAGCGGCGAAGTGGGTCACTCTCGATCGATTCATCCACTTTAAAAATCCCTTTCTGAATGAACAATTGCACGCGCGTGCGTGCCTGGAAATTCAGTAATCTCTGCATTACAGTTCTACGTATGCAGCGCATTGCAAATGTAGTGCAGAAAGGTATAGCCAGCCGCCATGGATTTCAATTCACTCAAACTGCGCCTGCGTCACCGAGCATTATTTCAGTTAGTAGTATATGGGTAGATCGCATAGACTTTTCCCATACTGTGCAAGCGATGCAAGATGTGATAGGCCCAAGGCATTAAGTCCACAATCTCTAGCTCTGAATTTGTCTGCATATTGTACTAGTGGTTGGATCACTAGTAGGCCATTACCACTAAGCTAGGTAGTGATATATCATACTGAAAAATCTGAATGCTGAGAGAGTCATCCCATCAAGTTGTTTCACTCATTCATTGATTGGAGTGTATATGGATAGTATGTTTTCACCATCGTGCGAAATGGTGAGATAACTCTGAATAATAATCTTACATGTGGTTGATGTTTAGTTGACCTTGTAAGGACTAAGGACGGAAATATTAGTATTTGCAATGTGGACGTAATAATGCATGGAGATGAGTTTATCACACTAGGAATATATGTTGATGAACTTATGAATTATAAAATTAACTGTTAATGTTCTGTATATGTAGTTGTTTAATCACTACAATTAAGCTAGTGATACTGAAAAATCTGAATGCTGCCGAGTTACCCCTTTCTCTTGTTTCACTGACTAGCTCCTGATGCATCATATGTACTTAATTATGCGAGCTCCCCCGGTGACATTTCAGGAAAAAAAAAAGAGTAAAATGTATTGGCAGTTCTTAAATTTGTAGGGTTGTGTTATATATATCTCTAAACTCTCAAAATACATATCCATGTCCTAAAACTTGCCAAAGTGTATCATCTAGGTCCCAAATCGACACATCCCCTCTGGTATTCTACGTGGCGCTGATGTGGCATACTACATGGACGTGACGTGTCCTTTTCTTTTTTTTTCTTCTTTTCATTTATTTTTCTTTTTCGTTTTCTTCTCATTCTTCTTTTTTTCCTTTCTTCTGCTCGGGTCACAGAGAAAGGAGAAGAAAGGGGAAAAGGAGAAAAAAAGAAAAAGAATAATTTTAAATGGGTCCCATTAATTTGTCAGTCAAAATGATGCCACGTCATGTCCGTGTGGCATGCCACATTAATGCTACGTAGGATCCTGAAAGAGTTGTGGCAATTTGGAAACTAGATGATAAACTATGACAAGTTCTATAACTTAGATATGCATTTTGAGAGTTTAGGGATCTAGGTGACACACCTCTACAAGTTTAAGAACCGTCCGTACACTTTACTCAAAAAAAAAAAGTATGCAATCTGAAACATATATGATGTTTGAGCATCGTGCGAAATCTGAATGACAGGTTGTTTCATAGCTTTGTACTATGAATTGAAACCTGAAGAAACCTATATGTTTCACTGAACTAGCTCCTGCATATTAGTAGCATATGTATGCACTAACGCAGAGGATAAAATTAGGCAACACTACTTTATAAGAAAAAGGGATTGCTTGTCAAAATAGTGGCTGTCACTCCAGACCAATTAGCCATGAGCCCATGACATTACTGACATTTCGGAGATGGATTTGTTTTGCGCATGTTGTCTAGTAAGTCATCAAAACTTTGAAAAAAAAATTAACTTATACAAATATGTAAGTTAAATTTGAACCTACATATTTGTGCAGTGATATACTACCTCCGTTTTTTAATAGATGACGCCGTTGACTTTTTCTCACATGTTTGACCATTTGTCTTATTCAAAAATTTTATGCAAATGTATAAGATATAAATCACACTTAAAGTACTATTAGTGATAAAACAACTCATAACAAAATAAATTATAATTACGTAAATTTTTTGAATAAGACGAATGGTCAAACATGTGAGAAAAAGTCAACGGCGTCATCTATTAAAAAAGGGAGGGAGTATCACATATTAAACTATTTTGTTAATTTATTTTAAAAAATAAATAACTTTTTAGGTGACATATAAAAACAAGTAGCGCAGATAAACTCCTTAGACTCCACATGCTATATCATAAAAGCAGAGGTCAATAGGCTCAGACGCATAGTTAGCAACGCAAATTGGAAGGAAAATGCTTTGTACATGCCATTTTTTATAGTAATCCCTCCGTCCCAAAATAAGTGTAGTTTTAGCACTGTTCATATCTAACATTTGACCGTTTGTCTTATTTGAAAAAAATTATGATTAATATTTTTATTGCTATTATATGATAAAACATGAGTAGTACTTTATGTGGGACTAATTTTTTTAATTTTTTTATAAATTTTTTCAAATAAGATGGACGGTCAAAACGCTAAACACGGATATCTATGGCTGCACTTATTTTAGGACAGATGCAGTAATTCACACTGCAAGTTTTCTGATGCCTTATTACAACCAGGAATCACGCATGACAGAGTTGAGTAGATATTTTATACACCTAGGTAGTTTAAACAATTATATAAAAGATTCATAAAAATTAATAAGAGAGATTATGATAATATAAGACACTATATAAACATGCAAGTCTAAATTCAATTTAATATGAAGAAATAAAAAACAACAATTTTCTTTATAGGTACTATTCACTATATGATTTTATTATTTTTATTTCTCTAATTGTAGATAAATATAGTCTTGCATGTTTGTATGTAGACTTATATCATGATGTTAATTTTTTTTTAAAAAAATTATCTATAACTATTTGAGTCGCGTCAAATGATGGATGCTATGGTATCTAGTGCAGAAAATCCATATCCAGAGTCGAGTAAACAAAAAGAGAGAAATACTTAGTAGCAAGTAGCAACAACCATTTCAATAGTTTTGCTCATGCATAAGCATGATCCAGTTAGCTTATTGCTAACTAGGAGTACTTGTGATCTACAGTATCAACTAATTTCCTGCCATTTAGCATGACAGGGTTGAAGGAACAAAAATAAATAGCTGATCAAATATACTTGTAGCATCAGCTCAGTGGCTTAATTAGCTGAAGGTGAGCACACTCTCATGCATGCTGTCATCGATCATGCATGATCATCGATATCTAATTCGTTTATTGCTATTGATGGTTTGATGGATCGATTCAGAGGGCGGCGAGGCGGCGGACGTTGATGGGGGAGACGACGTCGGCGCCGCCGTAGAAAGCCTCCCTGGCGATGAGCACGTTGACCGCCGCCGTCGGGTGGAAGGCGTCCCAGAACACGTAGCGGTCGCGGCCGTCGCACGGCGGCATGAACGGGAGGCACGTCACCTGGCCGGCGTTCCTCCCGATGCCGCAGCATCCGCGGTCCACCACGGCGAACCCGTGCGCCGCCGGGTCGCCGAGGATGGCCTTGAACACGCCGTAGTTGTCCAGGAACACCAGGCTCGCGCCGGGGAGGCCGCCGCCGTCGAGGCGGCCCAGCATCGCCCTCACGTTGGCGTTGAACGGCACCACCAGCGCGTCCACCTCCGGCGAGCACCGGCTCTCCACGCTCTGCGCCAGCACGTTCGGGATGCACCCCATCGACCCCACTCCGGCCACCACAAACTTCCTCGCCCCGGCCTTGTACAGCCTCTGCATCCATTATTGAGGACATTGATAAGCTCGAAGATGATCGATCAATGGCGGCGGCGGCTAATTACGTACGGTGAGCTGGGCGGCGTAGCGGTCGGCGAGGAGGTCGGCGAACTGGCGCGGGGTGTAGCGGCGGCGGGTGTTGTAGTTGGGCATGAGGTAGTTGTTGAGGTAGTCGTTGCTGCCCAGCCCGACGAAGAGGATGGACCGCGCCACCATGGACGCCGCCGCCTCCTTGCCGCCGACGGCGCCGGCGATCTGCTCCACCGTGGCCTCGAAGTTGTCGATCTGCTGGTTGAACGGAATCCGTCCCACCTGCATTTGCAATCAAACAACATCAGTTCTTGATCGATCATTTCCTTGCATGAATGATCAATCCATGGATCGAGAGGAGGATTGATTGATTGGTTGTGATTTACGAAGTTCCCGCCGCTTTCGTCGAGGATGCCGGCGGCGGCGGAGGCGAAGTTGACGCCCTGAAGAAGCTGCTGCACATGCCCGGACGCTTGGGAGTATGGTGGCACCAGTGGCAGCCCAAGCAGCTCAGCTGCAATTAGCTCAGTCAGTTACCATTTTGTTCTATATTATGATGTTTTGAGTTTATCTTAAGTCAAACTATTTACCACTTGACAAAATCTATCTATCTATCTATCTATTATATACTAAAAATCCATTAAATTTCCTACAAACACTCCTAAACCGCCATGTGGCTTATACAAACGCTCTTATACCGCTATGTGGCGCTCTAACAAATTATAGAAATTCTAAGGAAAAAATAAAAATCCGACCATCGATTTTCACTTAATACGGTGGACCCACCATTTCACACCATTAGATATCTATCTTGTAACAAGGAAAAAAAATTCACAAAACCCATCCGTATCCCCTCCATCACGTACATACCGTACGTACGTTCCCCACCTTCTCTCTCTTTCTTTCCATTTATTTATAGGTAGCAAATTTTATATTAAAATATTAATATTAAATAATTAGAATTTCTTATAATATATTTGATTTTAATTATTCCATGTGTTGGAGTGTGTGTGTATATGTGTGTATATATATATATATATATATATATAAGAAATATATCATTTGCATATAAACTCATATCCTTTATATAATAACTAAATATTAATACATATCATGCAATCGTAAATGATCTACCCTCTCTCCTTACTCACTTTATTATCCTTATTTCTGGCTAGCAGCTTAGTATATAAATAATTAATATATAATTCTTATTATATAATAAAGATTTGGTAAGCAGATCCCCATAAAATATCATGCAGATCTATCCATTATACATCCTTTATAGTGTTTCTAGCTCATCACATGGCACATCTAATATATTATAAAAAGTACTATAAATGCTGCAAAAGAAACATTTAATCAATGATTTTCATTTAAATAGATAAACCTATTATTTTCAACCATAAAATCTATCTATATAAAACTTTTAAATAAAAAACGTCTCCTCCCCTTCCTCCTCCTTCCTCTCATCTTACATTATTCTGGAAACATGCATATGTAAATTAAAACTACAATGTCAAACAAAAATTAGAAATTCAACTATTAAATAGTGTTTTGTCGAGAGACAGCATCCCTGCTTTTTTTTTCCATGTCATCCGAATTGACATAATAAAATATGAAATAATTGAAAAAAAATCACATGCACTCATAATTTATATGAAATATGCCTTTTACCATGGAATCATTATTTTTTTTACCATTAGATTTATCTTAATAGATAGACAAAAAGAGAAAAGGCCCAATCCCAACCCTCCTGTCCTATTACATTATGTCCGTACATATGCATGTCTGCGCCCTCCCCCCTCATGCACGAGCACAACCTCGCCTCCTATTTTCCTTCTCTCCCATTGTCCTATTTTTATGCTTATTAATTAGATAGAAAACATATTTTGTGATAGCAATTTCTAAACAACTATACCACCTAAACTATTTTTTTTATCTGTGCACCTCATTAGATTATTTGCAGTAAACTTTCATGAGTCGAATCCAAATTAACTACTACTTCTGTCCCAAAATGTAACTATTTTTAGCTAAAAATGCTTACATTTTAGGACGGATGTAGTATATTTAACAAGTAAAAGAAATAAATTACTTTAGACCATATTTTGGAGGCTAGCTATTGGTCAGTCATAAATATTTAGGAAAAGCCACAAAGATTTTTAAACCATATGATTAACAACATGTTGCTTACATTATAACAATGTGAAACACTTTTAAGTAGTTAGATAACACATTTGTGGAAAATAACAAATACCGACGAAGAATATTTGTGGAGAAAACATACTTTGAAGTATGACAGTGCTATCCGGTTAATATTATGTTCTTATAAGTTTTTGAAACACGCAGACCACAATAGATGCCCGCGCGAATGCGTATTAGGAAATAGTTATAACCCCTCAAGCCGCCACGTGGCATCCTAAAAATACTCCCGAGTCGCCATGTGACATTCTAATAAAATAGAGAAATCTGACCATCGATTTTCACTTAAACAGGTGGGCCCATTATTTTAGATCGTTAGATTATCTTTAAAGAAAAAAAAACCCTACCGTCCCTACCTCCGTGCAGGATGCGTATTGTACGCTCCCTATCACCCCTTCTTTTTTTTTTCTCTTTGTTTCTTTCTTCTTTTTTTATCTTTATGAAAAAAAATCCCTACAAATAGACATCATACGAGTAAGTCCATTAAACTTCTTAGAAACGCTTTTAAGCCACCATGTGGCTCCTACAAACGCTCTTGAGCCGCCACGTGGCGTTCTGATAAATTAGAGAAATATAAGAAATTCCAAGAAAAAAAAAGAAAAACATCGTACCATTTATTTTCTCTTTACACACCATTAGATCTATATATGTAAAAAACAAATGTCACGTACGTCCACACCTCTCCCTAGGTCCCTCATCTCCTAACATGTACGTACATCCAAAGTACGTATGTCTCCCCACCCCTCTCTTCATCCTTCCATTTATGGTAGCAAAATTTTGTATATAAAAACCACAACAACTAAATATTTAGAATATCTTATAATATATTCGATTTTAATTTGAACTATGTTTACCATATTTTGGTATGTACATATATAAGAAACATATCATTTGACATAAACCCCTTTATCGCAACTAAATAGTAATAAAACATTACAAAAAGTAACATATATCATGCCATCGTAAATGATCTCCTATTATCTCTCATGCTCACTTTCTTATCCATATTTTCTAGCGAGCAGTTCAGTACATAAAGAACCAACAAATGCTATATTAACTATCTATTATATACTTAAAAATTCATTAAACTCCCTACAGATCCTCTTAAACTGTCATATGGTTTTCTATAAACACTCATGAGATGCCATGTAGTGCTCAAATAAATTAAAAGTTCCTAGAAATTATGATAAAAAAATCAAACCATTGATTTTCCTTTAAATATGTAGATCCAATAATTATAACTGCTACATCTCACAAAAATAAATCCTATACCCCCACCTCCATCCCTACCGTATGTGAGCATGCATGTACGTACGTACCTCCACCGTCCTACTCATCTCCGGGATCCAATTCTCATATCCTATTTTTAAGATAACTTTTCCTATTTTCTACCTAGCACATAATATATAGAAAAATAATAATAGCTAAATGATCATGACTCTCAAGTTACATGTACTTTTCTCAGTTTATTTGACTTTTTGTGTTATTTATAATTAAATTCAAGACCCATATTGCACATATTTACTATATATAAGTTAGATAATACTGCTATTCTGACTACAAATATTTGAGCAAAATAGCACTTCGAAAATGATGAATGAATTCAAATGTGTGGGTCTAAAGTCCAAGTTCAATCACCACCAAAGAAGCTTGGAACCAGAATGCACACTCTGGGCCTGAACCCGATGAAGGCGGAGCTACAAGACATTATTAGCGAGGTGGACACTGACGGCAGCGGCATCATCGACTTCTACAAGTTCCTGGACCTAATAGCGCACTAAATGATTAGATGAAGGACAAGGACTAAGAGGAGGGGAGCAGAGGGAGACGTTCCATGTCTTCGACAAGGACTAGAAAACAGCTTCATATTTGCCACTGAGCCCCGCCACGTCATGTCCAATGTATCAAGAGAGGATAACTGATGAGGAGGTCAAAAATGATCCGCGATGCTGATGGTGACAGGCGGATCACCACAAGGAGTTTGTAATTAAATTCAGAACAAAAATATAAAACAAGCAATTTGATTAAAATACACAAACAAAAAATAAAAAACACTAAAACTATAAAAAAAAACAAGATTCCATGTAGAATATAAAATATCAAGAGTCCCTATAAAAGTATAAGTTATAAATATCTAAAATTTGGAATAATAAAATAAGTATTAAAAGAAGAGATCAAATACAACACGAGATGAGATTAAGCGCAATTTAAAATCCCTAAAAATACAATTTAGAATAAAGTAATTTGATTTGAATACAAAGTCGAATTAAGAATCACTCAATCACTAAATTCAGAATACAATAAATATTTTTTAAAGAATTTTTCTATCTTTATTGATTCACATGCATAACAAAATGCATATATATGAAGCAATTAAAGAGAGGGCTAGCAGAATGGTAAAAATATATATTTATTACCAATGAAAGTTTGTCGAGATTTCTTCACGAAAAAAAGATATAATAAATACTCAATTAACAGTAGAGAATACATTACTTTAATTTTTTATTTTTTAGAACTATTTTCGGTACAAACTAATACGCATGCCCGCGCGAATGCGCGGGCTATCTTCCTAGTTTATAGAAAAATATATCGATATTTCAAACAAATATACTATAGATAATTTAAGTATTTTCTACACCTGGATGCTATGGCACCTAGGTGTATGCACGTAGTTTAAACAATTATATAAAAATTTTATAAAATTTGATAAGATAGACTATGATAATATAATATACTATACAAACATGCAAGGTTAAATTTGATCTACATATGAAAAACAAAAACAACAAATTTTATCCGCATTGTACGGGATTCAATGGTGGATGTTGCTAAGTTATTTACAAAATTGGCCAAATTTAAATGTAAGAATGTTTGACTTAGAAAGGTAATTAGTAACACGTGAGCTAGTAAATCAACAAAACTAAACTGATAACTCAGCCTTTGTACTACTAGTATTTAGTACAAATGAAATTGTCAGCCAAATGAATCCTATATATACATATATGCATCATTGTTTTGTTCAGTTCATTCACTGAACCATTGCTGACTTGTGCGCATGTGCGCAGGTCGCTAGCTAGCCAGTTCATTCAGTGTCTTGCAGTCGAGTATGAGGTACTGGAGATGAATCACGAAATTTTGCAAGCTCCAAACAGGAAATGCCAACTGTTGCAATTGCAATGTTACTGCTACTTCTGCAGATCTGGTCTGCGAGGAGGAGGAGATAACTACATCGTGGTACGTTTCATAAATGCGAGTATGTAATGTGCTCCATTTCTGTGGCTCTGTTGGTAGTAAATTGTGCTCTGCCTAGGATGTTGGATCTGTGTTCAACGCTCGGTGAGAAGATATAGGCTGGTCAACATGTACAGCAACATCACCAATGTTCATCACAATCAAACATGTGGGCTAATTAATCACAAGTCAGTAAGCAGCCTAATCAACAAGCAGAAAAAAAACACGCCTAAAACCTGAACTCTGTTCGCTCAAAAAGATCAAAAAAAAAAAGAGAAGCAACCTGAACTCTGAAACTCTTGCTAGAAATCTAGAATGGCGTTCAAAAATCTTCAGATTGCATTGCAACATGGTTCAAACACAAATCCATTTTCAGCTTAGCTTAAAAAAAGAAGAGTAAATTGCACTTTGGTCCACCTTTTATTACCCAAGTTTCTATTTGGACCACCCTTAAACCTATATTTTTAATTTGGACCAGGTAAATTTACCATTATTGCGGTTTGGACTACTATGAACAACTTTTCTCGTCATGTCTAACTTCCCTTTCGGCAAACATATGAACCACACATAGAGGAGTTCGGCCGTATATTAGAGCTAATGTGTTTAAGGTCGTTGATTGTACTTAAAAAAAATCATTCGTGGTGGTTCAAATCACAACAATGGTAAAATTTATCCGGTCCAAAGTGAAAAGATTTGTTTAAGGGTGGTTTAAAGTGAAACTTAAGTAATAAAATGTGGTACAAAGCTTTATTCACTCCAAAAAGAAATCGATATGCAATACACTGTCTGACAGTGGTGAACGGTGACTAGCAGATGCAGTTTGTGACAGGGGCGGATCTAAAGTATAGTCATCGGTGTCAGGTGACACCAACGACTTTCGGCAAAACCTATAGCAAAACTAATTATCTATATATTATAACATCATATTCTAAAATATAATTAGTATACTATGACATCGATAAACACGTTATGACACCAATAAATTAATTTTCTATATCCGCCAATGGTTTGTGAGGTAATGAACATACCGAGCTCGTCGACGATGGTGTAGCCGTTGCAGAAGCGGCCGGTTGGGCCGGCGGCGAAGTCGATGCCGTAGGGGTAGTAGTTCGCCTTGGCGAACGACGCCAGGTTGTTGTTGTTCCCGTTGTCGATCAGCGAGTCGCCGAACACGAACAGCGCCGGCACCATCGCTGCTTTCCCTGTCGACGCCGCCGCCTCCTCGCTGCCGCCGCCCTCCGCCACCACGACGAATACCGCGCCGACGACGACCACCGCGCAGAGAACGACCATCGACGCCGGCGCCGGACGCAGCGTAGCCATCAGCATTTGGAAGCGAAACGCAACACTGTGCAGGTGGGTGCAGTAGGCTGAGTTAATATAAAGCAGGGTGGGTTCGCTGCATTTACTCCATTTTAACAAACTTAGGCTTAGTTTCAAATACTACATTACTAAGCAAATTCTGGTTACGGATTATCTATTTAATTATAAATATAAATTAAATATTTTGGTAAATAAACCTAATAGATAGATTTAATAAGCAACACAATAATAATAAGCAACACAATAATTCTTCATGTGAGAAAATATAGAGTAAATTGCGTCCACGGTACATAAACTTAGTAGGTGGGTGCGATCTAGTGTAACAACTTGAAAAATGATTATTCTGGTTAGTACGTGCATTCTGGTTTAAAAAAACAATATTAGACACCACACCTTTTAAGCCACGTAGTAAAAAAAAATCGTCGTTGCCAATAATCTAATAAGGATAATGATTGTCAAATAATAATGGTCTAGATGTATTGTATTTGCTTGCTTACAATAATAAATAACATGTCGATTCGAAACCGAAAATATCGTTAAAACTAAGTGCATAAAAATTGTTGTAACATAGTTTCCGAACGATTCTACTACTCAAATATATTCAATTGTACTCATCACCAATAATTATAATAGAACAAACAAAATAGGTTGAATCATATGTATGTAACAACGTTTTTTACCAAAATGCACTTAATTGCTAAGTTTATGTACCGGTCTATATATTTTTTAAGTTGTTGCACTAAATCGCAACCCATGGTAGTTCTTATACTACTGATTCAATTTACTCGTGAAAATGTATTTCTTGAAGCGTGAAGTAAATAATATCTGTTTAACAATCCGATGAATAATTTGAAAATAACCTAGCCTGACTTGCCCCAAATCTGAATTTACTTCGAGGAGTAAATGCGCTGCCGTGCCATAGACATACTGTCATATTGCCACTGTGATTGGCGTGTCATCGACCGTGGATTGTGAAAGTGCTTCTTCAATCGTGTAAACGGAGGCACATCTTTTCTACGTTAAGACTTAGATTTTATTTTTGGTTAACACGTTTTTCAAATTACTGAACAATGTTTTTTACGAAAACCTTTTATATAAAAGTTGCTTTAAAATATTAAATATATTGACTTGTTAAATTTATAATAATTAAAACTTAATTAGTCATGTGCTAGTTAATAAGTTTCTCGTTTTACGTACGCCAACATAATCTTCATATTCACCAGATGAGCCCAGACATGTAAAAGTGGACTCCCTCTCTTGCATGTCTTTTAGGCTGTTTTCTTAAGTCCACTTTTCCAACTTCAACTCACCTGTTTTTCGCGCGCACGTTCCCCAAACTTCTAGACAATACTCCATCCGTCCAACAATATAGCAATATAGTACCAGATAGGACACTTCATAGTACAATAAATTTGGATATAGTTTCTATCCAGATTCATTGTATCATGAAGTATCATATCAGGTACTAGGTTACTATATTATGGGACAGAGGGGTATGTTTTTTTTTAAAAAAACATTTATATAGGAAAATTGCTTTCAAAATTCATATAAATTCATTTTAAAAGTTTTTAATCTAATACTTAATTAATCATGCGATAATATGTCGCTACATTTTGCGTTCCCGAGGAAGAAGCTCCCAACCATAAGACAAGAACACAGCCTATGTATGGATGAGATTTGGCTTGCCCTATCAAAACACGCCTGATCTAAGGTGCTTTGGTTTACTACCTTCATTTTTTAATATATGACACTATTGATTTTTTTAATCATGTTTGATCATTTGTCTTATTCAAAAAATTTAAGTAAATATCTTTTCTTTTATTGTGGCTTGATTTATCACTAAAGGAACTTTAAGCGTTACTTATATTTTAAGATTTGCACAAAATTTTTGATAAGATGAATGATCAAATATAATGTAAAATGTTAATGATGTCATATATTAAAAATAGAAGGGAGTATCTTTTTTTGGGAAAAACCGTCCGGTCTTTCAAAGGAACTGAGCCAGACACCGGTTCCTGTTGAATCATCGGTCCGGTCTGGTTTTCTAGCTGTGGTGGGCCCTGACCAACCATGCCGGCCCATATTGAGTTCCACTGCAATTTGGGCCAATTGAGGCCCAAAGTGAGAAGGCCCATTAGTGACTGCTCCTAGTCGTCCCCTCCCCTTCCTCCTCGTCTCCAGGTAGAAGCCAAACGCGAGGCGAAACCACCACACCTCACCGTCGAATCGAATCCAAGGCGGCGGCGGCGGCGGCGGCGGCGGCGGCGATGGGGATCCACGAGCACGTCGAGGGGATCAAGGCGCACTGGGCGAAGAACTTCTCCTTCCTCGACTACTTCAAGAAGGTCTACGGCCGGGACAAGCCCCTCCCCAAGTGGACCGATGCCGACGTCGACGAGTTCATCGCCTCCGATCCCGTCTACGGCCCGCAGGTCACCCTCCTCCTCCTCCTTCCCGCACAATCCGTCTCCTGCTCGTCCGGCCGCCCGTCTAACCACGCGAATTTTCCCGATCCCCCCTGTGTTTTTGCAGCTCAAGGCGATGAGGGAATCCAGGAAGTTCGCGCTCGGCGGGGCTCTCGTCGGCGGCGCGCACCTCGGCGGCATCGCCCTCAAGTACTCCAAGGCCCCGCACGGTATCACCACCAATCGCGACCTATCTAGTAATTTCAACTTGCGCTGTGATTGCGCGTGCATCCGGTGCCTGATTTGGTTGGGCTGCAGGTGTCGTCCTGGCCACCGGCTTCGGGGCGATCTGCGGCGCCGTCGTCGGATCGGAGGTGGCGGAGCACTGGTACCAGCTCTACAAGACGGACAAGCAGGGGGCCAACCTAAGGTTCATCTACTGGTGGGAGGACAAGGTCGCAGGTATCATACCACCTTCTTCGTCTCTTGTTCTTCTCATTCTCATGTGCTTTACTTGCTCTAATTCGATCAGGCCATTTCCTTTGCAAGTGAACACTACATCACAATGATGATTCCGGTAGTTGATTTCCGATGTAAAATTTGTAGTAATTATGAGGTATCAATATTGTGCCCCTTTAGTGAATTGGGAATATTAGTTTGCAATCATGAGATGGTCTATAATACAGTTGGAATGGGCTAGGAATATCGAGTCGTGAATGCGAGGTGTCGACTCTATGCTGTTTGAGTAACTTAGAAACGTTTGAAGAATACAACGAAGTTGTGTGTCAGTTTTTGGTCGTGGACAGTTGTTAACACAACTGATCAGGATAAAGGGACTGCATGATGTTGTTCCATTGAGCTAGCAAGTAAATGCATCGCATTTGAAGGCCTCCTTCTAACCGTGTTCGATTTTCTTTTTGGGTGCTTTTGTGAACAGGAAACCAGAAAAGTTGAGTGGTGTCTATCTGGTCCAGCAGCTTGGCAAGAGTGATGTCCCCCCGCTGGGATTTTTAGTTGCTCATTCCTAGTATTTCCAAATAAGGTGTGTATTGGTTGTGACGATTACGCAGATGGAGTATGTTTCCTTTTGCTAGTACCGTGAGCTCTGTCTGTTCACAGCCTGAACAACAACTTTTGTGCTCTGAATGGTTCACAAACTAAATGCTGATCTTTACCGGTATCTGTTGATCTTTGTCCATTAAAGATTACTTTGCATATTGTAAGTACTGCTTTACCTTGAAGATAATAAGGCTACATAACGTAACCAATTCCCCCCTGTTAGTCTTTCTCAATGGATCATAATTCCTAAGTGATCATTGGTGTCTCCTATGGGATCTCATTCCTAGTAGTTTTCAAATGAAGTGTGCGTGGTTGTATTTTGCAATTATGCAGACGTAGTGTGCTTCCATTTGCTACTACTGTGAGCTCTATCTGTTCACAGCCTAAAACAACTTTGCACGAATGATTAAATTGCATCTCGGAAGTACTACTCTATTTTAAAGATAATAAAGGCTTCATAATGTGATCAAACTTGTTTTTTTCTCCTGTTAGTCTATCTCAACGCATCCTAAGTGATCATCGGTTATGAGGGCCTAAACTTTTGACGTTGTAGTTACTTCCAATGCATCAATGATCTTGATTCCAATGAAGGTCGACCATTAATGTATGATGATATAGCGCTGGAATTGCCATTTCTTGCATGGTATTTAAAATGCATATATTTTTCTTCCATTCTTTTACTACCATGTATGGTGCTATCATGGCATTGTGCTGCATCCTGAGCAATGTTGTGTAAACATCAACATTTCATATGTACATGTTGCCAAAGGACTCGAGTAGTTCATTTTCTGATCTTGGTTGTAGGTCTTCTTTTATTTTCTGTACCATACTTACTGTTAGAGTTAATTTTTGTGTAATATGGGTGGAGAGCGCTGGAAAGGTGATATAAGCATTGAGTTTCAGCGCAATTTGACAGTGTTAATAGTTTTCCTAGCATGACCTCATCACTTTGATATTTACAGTTATTATTTGCACATAGATTTTGTGAGCTTAAACCTGGCAAACTGAAACCATATATTTAGATAGATTTTGCGAGCTTAAACTTGGCAAACTGAAACCAGATATTTAGGTAGATTTTGCAAGCTTAAACTTGTAAACTGAAATCCGATAAAAAAATGCTTAATTCTACAAATGTAATAAACGTTCCAGGAAACAATAGTCTCAATTACTTGAAATGGTTCAACAACAGAGCTCCTCAAGAGTTCTTTAGGGAAAAACAAAGCACCACAGCCCAAGACAAATACAATACTAAAAGACACTTCCTGCGGGAACTTGTCTAAATAAGGTACATCAGAATAGCAAAGCAAACAGCAACACAAGCATTATTAACCATATTACACACTAGTAATGAACACAAGTATCCCCCAGGCCATTATTAGTGTTAGAAGGAATAGCCCATCTCCGAGCCCCTACAAGTAGAATAGCCACTCAGTATAGTCAGTGGGTTAGTGATCTCTTCTAACAGTGGGACTGTACTAAAATGCCCATTCTGTTGATCTGCTACCATCATGCCTACGTCGATCAGACCATTCTGTTCTACTATCTGCAAGCAAAAGCACATATCTGACATCAGTTTACGGCACGCTGCAACATTTTATCTTCATTTTTAAAACTGGCAAGTGCACAGTTCTATGTCAATGGACTGCCAGTACCTTTTCTTGGAGAATTTCGTTAGCAGCTTTCAACATGCCTTCCTGCACGATTAGAGATAAACTATGCTTTTAGTTAGTTATTAATCATTTTATTGGATATTTATAGAGTTAAACAAGATAGTTTGGCTTGCCTTGCTCTTTAGTGCTTGGATCTCTTGGATCATTATCTGCATCTGTTAGATTAAAGATTTTAGATCTCTTGAACAATTTGTTCTTTATGAAATCTGAAGACTTTCAATGAGTTACCTTTGCGGAGCGAATGTTGTACATCCATATCTCTAAGTACCTCTCTAGGGCATTCAGCTCTTCAACAGTCATGTGTTCATTTGCCCTGTTCCCATAGATGTACCTGCCATGGGTTTTAATTTTGTCAAGAGTTAAGTGTCTGAACTCATTATAATGTAAATAATATATGATGTATTCTTATTACATCAATTTCTCGAGTAAACAGTTCGGTTTGGTGAATGAAGCTCTTTTACTTAGTGTGAGTTCAACAATTTTTTTGTAACACTTCCATGTATGGTTATGTTACTTGCAGTGATCTAGTGAATGATACTGAGTGTGGACCAAGTCTGGATAGCATTGCATACTTGTTGCGATGTGAACTTACTAATTGGACATAGAAAGCTATGTTTGTTTATGAAATCAAACTTGGATATTTTTGCTGGAAGATTGTATGATTTTATCTATTTTTTCTTCTAGAAAGGAATTATACCAATCTGTAATGCAATCTGTGAATAGTTTTTACCTCAGGCCCTTCTGCAGTAGATTGATTTCTTGTTTGAGCACCATTGCCTCCTGTTTTGGGTCCTGATGACATACATGCACCAGTTTTAAGTGATAGGAGAGCATGAGGTAAAATGGAGGAAATATTACGAAGTTGCAACTACTTGCCACCTAAGATGTGTAGATCAGGTGTTTATACTTTATACTATTGTCTATTTGATGTATTCCAACTAGTTTTGGGCTAGAGCCTAGAGTTTTCAGTTCCAGGTTTAATCATCTGTAACATAATAGCAGCTCAGATTTTTCGGATACAACTAGCTCTATTTCCAGACCTTTTTTTTCATCACTAGCAACTCCCTATGCTTAATTTACATATGAAACTAGGCACTGATTAGAAATTGGAGTGGGGGCTAGCTAACAACTGAAATGGAAACAGTAAAGGATAACAACTGAAACAGAAACAGAAAAAGAACTGAAACAAAAGGAAAGAGTTATAATCACTAACCATTCTCTGGTCGCCGCAGGCGTTGGCCTGTTCGCCACTAGCACTCTTGTACCTCTCGATCAGCTCCTCCATGGTTCTGTTCAAAGAAATCAATTAACCTCCATGGTATATCAGAGCTAAGCTCAAAACCTTTTTTAATTTGATTTGATGGAGAAGAAGCTGAAGGTACCCGGTGGTGGCGAGGTCGTAGAGCTTGCCGTGGGCGGAGAAGATGATGATGCCGATGTCGGCCTCGCAGAGGATGGAGAGCTCCCTGGCCTTCTTCAGCAGGCCGGCACGGCGCTTGCAGAAGGTGACCTGACGGTGAACCGGGTTCTCGATGCGACGGAGCTGCACCTTGCCTCGCGCCATCGATCAAGATAAGTCTCCTCTCCCCCTCTTCTTCCTCCTCTCCTCCTGTCTACCTAGCTATGGAGAGATCGGTTTGATCAATTGATCAGTCGTCTTCTTCCTCGTCGGTCGGGGTAGAAAGCTTGATGATCGATAGCTCCGGGCTCCGGCTTGCCGGAAAGACAACCTCCCACTAGTTTGGACTAGCTTCGAGGTTGCTCCGGTTTCTCCCTACACCTCCTCCTTCTTCCTCCTCTTCCCCTTATCCCTATCTCTTGCTTACCACAACTCACACTACAACTCTCCCTTTTATATAGCAGATGCTCCACACACTATCTCACTCAACTCACACTAGAATTCTCTCTCTCTCTTTCTCTGTCCAGGGAAATGGAGAATATTATTTGTTTTTTGTCGGGACGATGCACGCATATATTTCTAGCTTTACACTTGGCGATATCTAGCTAGGGAACTGGAGTAGTAGTATATATGTATGTGCTGTTCTTGCGGCCAACTTTTGCATTTGCACATTTGCATAACAACCATGCGTGCATCATGCTGCTTTCCTGATGGCTAAAAATCATCCGATCTGGTCCGTCCATTGGACGGGACGTGTGGATGGGAACATCTAGCAAATAGCTCATCAGGTCAAGATGCATATTCATTTACAGACATGCATACAAGCTGGGAATTGGGATCCAAGGTTTCAGATGACAGCATCGTTCACTGAAAAGGTTTCAGTTCAGATGAGATGACTGCAACTTCTGATGGTCCCCTGCATATCATGTGTGTAATTGGATTCAGAAACACATCATTTATGCTCTTTTGTGTTGTGCACCAGGACCAGGTGTTTAACTAACTAGTTAGCAGCCCAATCATTGAGTCCGTGTAGTTTGAGAGATTGTGATTGGCTGATTAATTTGATGTTAACAAGTTGGTTATAGCTTAATTATGTGCTAGCATCTGATGGGTAACTGGTCAGTAATGTAGTTCAATTCCTGAATAAATGTTCAGGCTCAGGAGTTGCATGCAAATTAGGTCTTCTTAATGCGAGAAATCAGCTAAATCTATTACCTAAATGCGGAGATAAAATAAATCTTGCACCTAATGTTCTGGTGAAGCTTAGATTAAGATAAGAAATAAAGAACTTGAAACAAAAGAAAATTGAGATAAGAGCCAGGGGCGCCTTGGTATTGTGATTTTGTTGGCTTTATGGCCGCACAAATAAAACTGAAATTGGGTGCCTAATGGCTACAAAATTCCTCCTCCATTTTGCTTTACGACCATTTGTCTTGTTAAAAAGATGGCTAGCTTTGCTAGCTTAATTAAAACATGATGCCCATTTGGTGTCATGTCAATAACCCCTCTTTTTCTCCTCCCCTCTCTCTTTTGCTGCACAAAGCATCTTTACCCAACAATTTGCAATCCCAAATGATTCTCTGCCATTTTAAATCCCTCACTTGTTAGTGCTCTCACAAGGTTTTCATCTCTATCACCCTTGGCAAATTTCCCTTTTGGCCCACAGGAAATGGCATAAGTACTCACTGAAAAAACTACAGCTTGAACTTGAGAGGAATACATTGACAAGGCATTCTGTGGAAGAGAGTACCTTGTCCATGAAAATGATGTTTCCTCGTCGAAAATACATCCTGACATGAACATAAAGTAGGTTTTTATATCTTACAATATGTATCAATATAAAGTGGTAGCAGTTCTAGAAAGGTGCCCTTGTTAGTTAGCTGAGGGTTGGAGATGGGGATGAATCTGGAGTGAGTGAGTTTGTTTGTTCTTGTTTTTTCTTTTTTAAAAAATGATGAGCTTAAAAAGAAGCACATTGTTTCTATGATGAGTCACAACTCACAAGTACAGTTTGCTCGACATAGTAGATTAAAAGGTCTTTGATATGTGTCAACATATAATTCTGTTGTTTGGGGATAGCAACAAATTCTCTCCTGAAAAAGAAATTCTGAATTCAGAACTTTGTGGGGGCTCATACATCTATATAACTGAAAGTGCAAACCTTCAGATATACAGGAGTAGTATACTTTTCTGTCAATATTTTTTTTCCTTCAAAACAATTTACAATTGACAAGATGAAAGTTACTGCTTACTATAGAAATCACTTAACCAGAGGGGAAAATTATGAAGTGTGCAAATCACCATGTTCCCAGATGTCAGTCCTGATTCATTTCTGAAATGGGGACGCCTTGAGAAGCTGCCACCTGGTGGACTAGGAGATGAGGGGGACATCTCATTGTGGGATTCTTCATAGTAGATGCTAGTGGTTTTGGGCATAAAGCATGGCCAGATTCCAACTGGCTTTTGCTTAATGAAAGGCAAAGGCAGAAAAAAGCAGAGTGAATGAGTGAGTGAGTGAGTGCTCATTGTACATTCCCAAAAGAAAGATTGCTGCCATCTCTGCCCTGCATGTTTGGCTTATGACACTTGAGGCCTTTTAGATGCTAGCTCAATCTTTTCAGTGTTCTCTATCCATCAGCATGCATGTTCCATCCATCCTCAGTTAAAGATCCATCTATACTCCTACCTAGCGTCAATGGATATGTTAATATTGTGCTAGTTATGGCAGTAGTACTTGGTGAATGTTGTAACTTGTAAGGTGAAAGCTGATGATGATTAGTTTGTGTTAAAAATGCATGGTACCAATCTAGGCTATCTATGATTCCAAATACATATACTGCTAGAGTCTCCAACAACAAGATTGTTTGAACACATATATTTTAAATGGTACTCAAATAAAGTACATTTTGTCACAAATACGCAACACCAGTATTTATAGTTGGAAAGAGTGTTCAAAAGAATATAGCTTTGGTTCTCCAGAAGTATAGCCCTCTCCACACAAGTAAATACAAAAACCAGCATTATTATAACAGAACAACAATAGAGAATCAAGAGCAGTGTCCAGCCAAGAAAGTGAACACAAAAATCAAGTCTTATTATACAAGAACATTGAGAGAGAATCAAGAGCCAAGTCCAGCCAATCATATTAGGTAACATTATCAGGAAAGTGAAATCTATTGATTATATCTTCAAAAGTAGAGTTCATGGCTTCATGTCTACAGATTATTCTACAATGGGAGAAAAAGGTAAATTGCATTATAAATATTATGTTGCTGTGCTAATCATAACATTTGCACTAGTGCTTAATTCATAACTGAGATGCGCAACAGAGTGAAACAATCCATCAATGAAGCCCTCCAGGATTCTTTTAGTCGGAGGCTTGGAGCTCAAATTTAATGGAGCATCTTGTACAGCAATATATATCATAGAAGAACAAATGCACCAGACTGTTTTCTTTCGATTCTTTTTCTGTATGAGGCTAACCAAGCTAGCTTCATAAACAACGCCTTAACTCACCTAACAAGAATCATGCAACTTCGTTTTAACTGACGAAAACCTTGAACATATAATCTACAGTTGTTCTGCGTAACAGTTATAAACATTTATCTCTGTTAGGTATAGCTATCTTTTCATTTTCATACTTCTGTTTGGATCAAATTGTGATAGTACGGTTTCTAAAGCATACTAAAAATGCATCAAACTTTTGCTAATTGTGTACTAAACTAGTCAACTTTCAAGGTATAAAGTTAAATGACATGTATGTAGTCACCTTGCATTGTGCCACTAGCATATAATCTTCTACTATATTATATGCCGTCCATTGATCCTTATATTACATTGTAGTTTCTCATCTTGTGAGTTCTCTATGCAAGGAGTAAAGGTAAATGGTGGATCAATCACATGCACAATCCACAAGGGACCTATAACCTAGTCTAATCTCCCTACATAAACAAACAAAGATTTGCCAGTATTGCTAGTGGCACACTCACTAATGTCTGCCATAGTACACTGAATTTTCTCCAATCTTTGTTATGCATGATCGACGTACAATGGTACAAGACATGACAGCAAAACCTAGTGAGTGATTAGCCTTGCAAAGACTGAAAGAGAGGGCCTTTTTGTAGGATGCAAAGGCAGAGAGTGCATAACCATTCAGGACCACTGCCTTTGGCTGCTCTGAATCTTGGAACACCAAAAGCAACCAATGCAGGGCTTGTTAAGTTGCAGGGTCGGTTAATTAGTACAAAGCAGGAAAAAAAAATATATGCCTGCCTATGAAATGCAGAATTGTCGATGATCTGATCCCTTATAATGAATGATTATGCTGATAGTTTAGCTTTTCTAGTTAGAGACTCTTGCTGGTCCAACAAATGTGGACAATATGATTTGCCCCTCAAACCATTGTTTGGAGAACAAAAAGGAAAAAAGAAAAAGCGAAATGATCTTCTTTCATTTGACTAAGAAACAGAAACTGTTCGAGAGAGAAAAAAAACTAAGAAACAGAAACGCCCAGCATCTATTTTTTTTCGTTTCATTGAATTTACTAGTCTGTCATATACTCCATCCTCCCATTTTAAGTACAACCATAAGTTTTTGTACCTAACTTTGATTGTCCGTCTTATTTGAAATTTTTTTATAATTAGTACTTTGCTCGTGACTTATGTTTTTAATTTTTTTTCAAATTTTTTTTAAATAAGACGGACGTTCAAAGTTAGGCGCTGAAAACCATGATTACACTTAAAATGGGACGGTGGGAGTTACTGCTATAGTATCTAGCTCTTCACTAATCACTAGTCTCCAGCTCTTCAGTTTTGACTGAACTTCCCAGGATATTTTTTCAGTTTCATTGAATTTAGTCTGTCCTATACAGCTATACTAGTCTCTAGCTACAGAAACTAAGCTCTAGAAATGCCCGAATCAATAGAAACTCTAGCTTTCTTCCGCTCAGCATTTTATAAATCGTTAATTGATGCAACCATCAGGGATGATGTTAGTAAGAGACGCTATCAGCATTGCTGCACACACGATATATGTATGAAACACAACGAGCTTGTTCACTATTAGCAATTTTTTTATATTGACGTCCAAAAATAACATGCCCAGTGAGCAAACTGACATGAAGGATCAGCAGAAACTGAAGATTGTAAAATATGACATCTAAATTCAGATTGATAAAAAAAAACTGATTCAGAAATCATAATAGGAAATGAACTACACGCCATTATTTCCCCTTTTCAACTTTTTAAACAGAAGCCAGAACGAGATTTCTGAGTACAAGTCTCGAAGCTTACAACATCTGAATATATGACGCAACCAACTTTACTAGCACAAAATGCAAGACGCGAACACTAGAACCAAACTTAGACAGACCACACCAAGTGTCATTTGAGGCATACAACAAAGGCCTCCAGAATCTAGCGTAAGATCTCTCAATGCATAGCTTGGTTTTGCTACAAAATGGTATTCAACGCCGCCGGGAGCCATCCTCATTCCCCAGTCCAAGGGATTTCTGTGCATTGGCAATTCCCTCTTCATCTGCAAGAGATGCACCAAAAGATTTAACAAGAAACGAAAAACAAATTGATGATCTACACAAGGTGGTGGGTTTTGTAGAAGTGGGCTAGATGCAGGTATCCCTGATTTCTCACACATATTATGCTGCTATAGTATACTACTCCTTCCGTCCCAAAATAACTCAGCGTAAGGATAGGATGTGACATATCCTAGGACAACAAATCCATCCTATCCTAGGCTGAGTTCTTTTGGGACGGGAGGAGTACATATTGATCTGCAAACAACAAATCAGTGAAATTAAGAATAATAAGTAATATTTGCTTATGAAATATTTTTCCCTTGGTATTTGGACAAGGACATCAATAATATATTTAACAACTATAAGCAGATTTATCTCACATAGTCCAGACATTATAGAATGCTCTAAGCTCAGTGAACAAAAGAACTTTTGGTTCCATCTGTCCCTTATTCTTAAGAATACATGGGAATTCCAAGGCAAACAAGTTACAATAAACAAAACAACAAGCAGAATAGGACCATAAAAATAAACAGGGAGCACCAGTAGCATTCATCCAATGTTATACTGCTAATAACATTTGACAGAGCTTACCCCAGAACTGTGTGAAGATCTTGAAGAAAAAGTTCACATTGCGAGAAACACTGTATGCCATCACAGGAGGAAGAGGCTTGACAAGTGTATCCACACTAAATACTCTCCGCAGAAACTGCAAAAACAGCAGTCTTCCTGTCAGATAATTCAACAAATATGCACTGTATATTACTTACGGCAACCAAGAACTGATGAAGTCACTGAAGAGGCAATAAGTATTCAGAATAAGTAATTGTCCCCAATAAGGAAGACGTTTTATATTTATTTATTATCATGGTTCCGCTTCTATATAGGATTATAAATTGGAAGTACTGAATACAACCCATGCACAACGATTCAACATGTAATGGAGGTACTGCCACTAAGACATTAAAAACCTGTAATTGCTTATCCTGCTGCATTATCCCAAACAAATGCAGTGATATCATTTAAACTTTTAAAGTGATCCTAAATACTTAAGAGTACACCGCGGAAAAAGAATATAAGCATGTAGACAAGTACTCTTTTCCTAACAAGGTGGTTTAACATATGTTGTGTGCAATAAAAAAACACAGTTGGCTATAAACATCAAGGACCATATGTCATGGACCATGGTTGGAACTAGTGACAATGCACTGCGGTACTATGGTGTTACTATCCAAGTGGCACTTTTGCCTTTCTGGTTGCAGACCTACAAACACATATTGTGTCCATTGGGGCCAACATATGTGATTGGTGACTTTCAGGCTGTGTGAAGCGCATAGAGTTTGCACAAAACATGGATGAGTACGTCACAGCAGAATTTAGTGGACAAAAAAGGCAAAAAATCCATTCTGGGGGCTTGAGGAAAAACAGATACCTAAATGCCTGTTTTCAGGCTCTGATGATGGGATAGATCAAGTAGCAACAAAAAAAGGCGATTAGGGACTATATAATGCACAAGAGAGCATAAATTTTAATGATAATTCATAACTGCAATAAGTAGCACACAATGCATGGTAGAGTATGCAGAACATGGCCTTTCGATCTAATACAAATATACTACAACATAGTAGTGACATACTCCCTCCGTCCCATAAAAAACGAATCTAGGATTGGATCTGACACATTCTAGTACAACTAGCATGTTTCACGTCAGGTTGGTTTTTTATGGGACGAAGAGAGTACATGTGATAGCATATTCGACATTATATATCAATCGCATTCTAAAGATTTTCTGGAACACAGTATTGAGAAATTAGATCATGAAATTGAAAACTGTGGATGAAGATCAATAGTTCATATCCATGCATTTCCATGAAGATGAAAACATCAAGAAGAGGGCATATACAGATTTCACCATCGTGAGGGATTAAAGGCTACATGGAATCGTGTGAATCCCTTCAGGGGATAACAGTTTATAAGTTTCTCCAGCAATCCGGTTAATCCTCCAGCTCAATTCCTGTGCTTAGGGCGGCGAGGGTACCAACAAAGTGAAATCCTGTTGTTTTGAGACAATATATTTCACATATTTTAATTTGGGCATTATTGTGTTTGTGCAAAAAGTTTCAGGTATCAATTCACCAGTCGATTGAACCAAACAAACTAATCCTGTTGTGTTTGTTTTGACGAATATTTTTCAATTTACAATTTCAATCGACATCAAGCAAGTGTATAATTCGACAACCACCAATAGCGCGACGTCACCAGATAAAGAGATAAAAAAGAAAAAAAAAGATTGCGTGGGGGGAGAAGAAGAGAAAGGTGGATGGGATACCCTGGAGTTGCGCTGGAAGGAGTAGCGGAGCTCGGGGTCGATCTCGTCCTCGTCGAAGTCGTCGACGGCGAGGTCGAGGTCCTGGCGCTTGTTGCGCGGGACGTGCATGGTGGGCGTCTCGCCGGGGTTGCTGGTGACGCTCACCTTGCCCTCGCGGGACAGCCTCGCCGCCTCGTCATCGTCCTCCGCCGCCTCCCCCGTCCTCCACGGCGCCGACGACAGCAGCTCCTTCCTCTTGCGCCCCATCCTCGCCTCGCTCCTCGACCTCTCCTCCTCTCCGACCTCCAAGAAGTTGCCTTGGCGAGAGAGAGAGGAAGGGGATGAGAGGAGAAGATGAGGTTGGTTTCTTCGGGCTCTCATGGGCCGGGCCGGGCTGGGCTGGGCCGTCCTCGCGAACAAGGATGTATTGGGCTTTCGTGGGTCTAATCTCATGCAGGCCGCCAGCCCATTTGAGAATAAACACAGCAATGACGCTATAATCTATATGTTTTGTTAGGAAGGAGTATTGTTTTGTACCATATCGCAGGATCAAGGAGAGTAGTACCAGGGAGAGGCTACAAAAGCAGGGGTATCCAACAATGCAACTCATACCTTTCTCGGCCTTTTGGCTAAGATCAAGTGTAGTATCTGTTCTTATCAGTTTAATATCTGATATGTGGGCCATGTGTCTACTTTGATATTAAATTTATTTTTCGTGGGGAGAGGGTTCACCATAGTGGCTTGCAAAGCGTTGCACTAAAGCTCATGCTAGGCACACCCCAACCAAATCAAATTTAAATGTTTTGTTTCAGCTTGTTGGTTGTTTCAGGTCGATTGCATCAACCTGCACTGCCTTCCAGTGCTTTTGAACCTTTAACATCGATGGAAGAAGAAGATGCAAAGCAATGCTCATCTTTTGCCTTCGAATTTCTCCTCGTACATTTTATATCCCACCTAGAAACTTTGTACCATGGTGCAACATTCTATGATAGTATCTCTCAAATAATTTTACAGCGATTTAAGTGTGGCTATAAACGGTTTATGATCAGAGGAGGGTCGGTGATTTTGACTCCGAACCCCCTAAGTCTACAGTCTCTGAAAAGCTCATCCACACGAACAGTGATGCTTGCTTCTCTTCTTTCGTAGGATTTTTTTAAAAAAAATTTCTCGTGATGTTTTATTTTTCAGCTCTCTTGTCATACGCCCTCGGCGCGAATTTGTGCCAAACATCAAACATAGAGAAGAGCACGCTGTAGGAGATAAGTTGTGATCATTTTCAGGCTTACCTACTGCATCTTCTCCACGGTTAACCTCCAATGGCTTCCCGACCTAGCTCGTCAGCTAGCTTCCAAATCTCGGCTCCATGCTGCCCCTGCACTTGGGTGGCCATCTCCCTCGTCGTCTCACCACGCTCTCTCTGGCAAACACCGCCATAGCCATTCAGGCTGAGCGATCTCCTCGCCGACACCGCCATTACCGACCTCCGGATCATCAACTTAATTCGGAGCTGACAACATCTGAGGACTTGTACCTGCATGACAAGAAGCCTTGCGAGTACTGTGACGCCATTGTCCTTTCCCCGGACAGACATGGAGCAAGATATGATTAGGAACAATATCATCGGTGCTGGAAGCATTCGTTCACTACATATCAAATTCATCACCAAATAACATGTACCATATATTTTGGAGCTCATGTGTAGAGGAATATTATATATGTTGTACAAAATTTACCTTTGTGATGTTAGAGTGTTGGGATGTGGACACGAGGAAAGCATGTTTGCAAATTGTCCACTTCACTTCGGAAGTTTAGTGCTACTATTATTGCTCCAACCAAAATTGAACTCTAAAAATGAAGAGGCGTTCTAATCACCCGAACAATGCATCCCCTCAACAGGCCACAAGAGTGGCCCGAGCTGGGCCACCATGTTAGATGTTGTGGGCCTTTAAGGTCTTCAAAAGATGGCCCTCTTCTGCTTATATCACAAAAAAAAAATACACACACTCTTTCTCTCTCTCTCGATTTCATTTTTTAGATAATGAAATAGAATATTCCGGCTTTTAATTTGATCAAAACGAGTTACAGCCAATTATTACAAAGTTACACTTAAAAAATAGTGTAGTTCAACAAAACATTGATATAAACTACTCTTTCTTTCTTTTTAGTATGCTAGTGTTGGTTCTTTTTTATGCATTGATATCCCAAATACTGATGATGGATTTGCAGGCCCAGGAGCGGCAGGCTACCTTAATTGTCATTGATTTCTTGTCGTGATAGATAGCGATTCCTAAGCTTGGAATTAGTCTTCATAATTAGATAGCTACAGTCTAACTGGCCTTACGTCTCCTTCAGATGTTTACCAGTTAACAGATGCATGCTTCCTTTCGCTTAAACATAATTTGGCGTTAAATTAACTAACCACTGCTTAATTAACCACTTGATTCTTCATGATGCTGCACTCGTACTACTACTACTATTTGTGTTGGTTCCTTTCAGGCAATCACAAAGAGTTGTTTGCAAGCACAAGCAAGGACCGCACTGATCATACCACTAGAAAAAAAGGCTTATCTGTTTGCTTGCAAGCCATAATTAACTGTAACCAAAACAAGACACTAGTGACCATCATTCGAATGCAACCGTCATGCTGAAAAATTAACAACAATAAAAAAAATCAGAATCAACTCTAAAATTAAGGTTTAAAATTTAATTTTAGCTGCAGCCAATAAGTTGAAGTTGAAGAGCAAACAATCAATACATTTTCATGTAATTAATACAGCGAAAAAAATTGTAATTTTTGTAGGAACTAGTTCAAATCCCCTAGTTCCTCTAAATAATCTTCTATCCAAAGAAAGATAAATCTTTCTTCGCAATGCTAGCTAGCTAAGTTCATATTCAATTTCAACCAAGAGAAATAAGACTGTAATACCCGTTGCAACGACGTGTGATGACCGCAGAAAAATCTTAATCATCAGCACTATAAGTACAATTATTACAGCCTTAGTGGCTCGTAGAATTTGTTTGACCATGCACATCTTTTTTGACTCGCTTTTCGTTGCACGGCCCTCTAATTAATCTGTGTTTTTGCAGTGGAAATCTACTGGAGACTTACACCTTGATCATATTGATAAGAGGACGTTGCTGTCAGATGACATTTGCATCTTGGCCAGATGGCTCTGGAGTGGTTGCTTGGTCACATGTATTGTTCGTCGCATTTGTCCTGGAAAAACGTGTGATGATCTGGTGTTGTGTCACCATATTTATTGTCCAATCTTTCAGAAAAAAACTATTATTATTCCTTAAATAAAAATATTATCATTGTCATATGTTGTTGTTACTATTATCCAGAAATGGGTTAAAATGCTCATAGCAATAATGGCATATAGCAAAGTTATTTTTTAATAGATAATGGAAATAAAATTCTCTTGCCGGATAGCTGGATCAGTTAACAGATACATAATTAAATTCTCTTGCTGGAAATCAATAACAAAGTTATTTTTTTATAGATAATCAGTAACAAAGATAGCTGGATGGATGTTGAAAAGGTGGAGATATATTCCAATTTTTTTAGAAAGAAATATATTCCAATCCGGAGTCCAACTTTTGTTTCTCTTGCTGTAGCTAGCTTGTTAATCTTTTCCTCCTATACTAGTACCAGTAATTAATTAATTATTATATCCATAACCAAGCCAATCCCCAATGGATGCAGTAGACCTTTGACCACCTCCTCTTCAAGTTAGAATCTTCTTACTAGGTGCTAAGGTTTTGACAAAACCACAAGAAAATCAAAGCTAACCTAGCTAAGCAAACTGAGAGAACATTTTTGAGTCCCCAAACCCAATCAAAAATCCCAAATTTTATACTCCCTCCGTTTTTTAATAGATGACGCCGTTGATTTTTTCTCACATGTTTGACCATTTGTCTTATTCAAAAAATTTACGTAATTATAATTTATTTTGTTATGAGTTGTTTTATCACTCATAGTACTTTAAGTATGATTTATATCTTATACATTTGCATAAAATTTTTAAATAAGACGAATGATCAAACATGTAAGAAAAAATCAACAGCGTCATCTATTAAAAAACGGAGATAGTAGTGACAGTCAAATTCAAATTCCAAGCCGTCCCAGCACCAAGAGACCTTCTCCAGTACTCTACTGCCTTAACTATTTTTCCTTTTGTATTATACTAACGCGTTTCTCTCTCCTCCCTCTCTCTGACCATTACTCTCTCTCTCTCTTTCTCTCTCCTCTTTTTTTTTTCACCAACCATCGTAATTGCTGACTTTGAGAGACAAAAAAAAAGAAGCAAAAAAAAAAAGAAGAAAAAGAAAAAGGAAAGAGAAGCAGACAGAAGGAGAAGGAAGCAGAGCGAGAGTAGTTGCCAGAAAACCAAACAAAAAAACAAGCCAAGAAAAGGCCACCTCAGTGAGAGAGGGAAGGGAGGGAGGGAGGGAGGAGGGAGAGATCTCCTGCTGCCTCGCGATTTCCGGCGGCAAAAAGGTTCGATTTTGATCCCCGTCTCCGGATTCGCCCAGCCCCGATTTGCCCTTGCGGCGCGGCCTCGCTGGTTTCTGCAAGTGATAGAGAAAGATCCCGATTTTAACAGTGGCAGTTCGTGGCCCGCCCGCTTCTGCTTCTGGTTTTGGGCGATTCGGCGGTTGCTGGACTGGAGGGAGTCGCGGGTGCAGTGTTCTGGTTCGGATCTGAGCGGGTGTTGGGTGTTTTCAACTCTAATTCGGGCGAGCAATGAGGGTTCTTGATGCGTGACCTGATGCGGGAGGCGTATTGGGAGAAGATCTCTTGAAGTTTTTTTTTTTTTGGTTTTGGTTTGTTTGGGGGGTTTCCTTGGAGTGGAGTCTCTTGCCCGGATCGCCACACTCGTTCTATGGGCTGTGTCAGTTCGAAGCAATTCCATGGCGAGGAGCAGCGTGGCGGCGAGGGGAAGCCCCGGCGGCGCCCATCTAGCAACTCTCTGAGGCGTCTTGTTAGTTACAATTCCAGCAAGAGGCATGAGCACTTTGAGGAGGAGGATGAAGAAGGTGTGGTTGTGTCAGCCACCTCCTCCAGTGCTGGACATCGTGTAGGGAATGATGTGAGCACGGCTAGGCTCATCCGGAAGCCCCCCGCGCCGGTGGTTGAGGCTGTGGCTGTGCCTGTGGCTGCATTGCCAGATGAGGCGGCTTCTGTGGCGGTTAGCGTGGTTGATGTGGAGAGGCCAGTTGCCGCGCCTGCGAATTGGAGGCGTGCTCCGAATGGCGCGGCGGAGCAAGAGCCTAGGAGTGGTGGTACAAGGAGTGAGGCGAAACCGAGGATTACAGATGTTGTGCCCAATGGAGTGCAGGGGGGGCATGCGGCAGCTGGCTGGCCAAGGTGGCTCACAGAGGTCGCAGCAGAGGCAGTCCGTGGGTGGCAACCTCGGAAGGCAGAGTCTTTCGAGAAGTTGGACAAGGTTCATATCTCTATGCCGATCTTTAATTTTGTAACAAATTCACTATATTGTTTCATAAAATGTTAGGACCTTGATTTGCCATGTATATTGTGGTCCATGCTTATTAGTGGTTGAGTATCATCGCTCGCTTTATAAGTGCTTGAGTTTACCGATGGCATATGACTGTTATGAGCTAAACTAGACATGTCTCTAGAACTATTTTAGTAATGACATTCTTGATAGAGTGGTGTAGTTTGTCAACTGGATTGCAGCGATTGATGAGAATTCAAATTGCTATTGACCTACTGATTCAATGCAACTACACCTTTTCTCATCCTCACATTTAAATATTTCAGATAGGGCAAGGTACATACAGTAGTGTTTACAAAGCACGTGATCTTGAGAGTGGAAAAATTGTGGCACTTAAGAAAGTTCGGTTTGCCAACATGGACCCTGAGAGCGTGCGGTTCATGGCAAGGGAAATTCACATCTTAAGAAGACTTGATCACCCAAATGTTATTAAGCTTGAAGGTTTGGTGACGTCGCGCATGTCTAGTAGCTTGTATCTTGTATTTGAATACATGGAGCATGATCTAGCGGGACTTGCAGCTACACCTGGCATAAAGTTCACAGAGCCTCAGGTTTCCCTCTTGACATGTTCTTTGGTTTTCATTGTGTTGTCAGTTTCGATGTTGTACTCACTATGGAAAATGTCCATTTTAGGTCAAGTGTTACATGCAACAACTACTCTCTGGACTTGAACACTGTCATAATCGTGGTGTTTTGCATCGGGATATAAAGGGCGCAAATCTCCTCATTGACAACAATGGTGTTCTCAAAATAGCAGACTTTGGTCTAGCCACATTCTTTAATCCTAACCAAAAGCAACATTTGACAAGTCGTGTGGTAACATTATGGTACCGACCTCCTGAACTATTGCTGGGTGCTACTAACTATGGTGCTGCTGTTGATCTCTGGAGTGCTGGTTGCATTCTTGCGGAATTGCTGTCTGGGAAGCCTATCATGCCAGGGCGAACAGAGGTATTGTTTAGCTATTCATATTCTGGACAAACTTGCAACCTAAGATTAACACAGTATTATCTACTGAGATAATTTTGATGTTGCCTTGCATAAAGTATATCAGTATCTGCCATTTCTTGTATTGCACTTCCGGACAAACCTGAATTATGCTGGACTAAAAAAAATGAAGCTGCTGAAGGTGAATGCACCTTTGTTGAATACAGAATACTCGACACTATGAACCTTGCATTTGAGATCTTTTGATCAGTTACTATCTATCAGCTTGTAGTTTGTACAGCCAGATGTACAATTATAAATTAAAATGGTTAGCTCTAGTTTCAGTGTGATAAATAATCACTGCATATTACCAGATCTATTTTTACATGGACGAATACCAATAAAATTTAACAATATTCCACATTAAATTTCTACTTTAGTGTTGAATGGTCATATTGTTTATCATGTTTAATAATCTATGAGTTTGCGATGTTTATTTTTGTTGTCCACATTCTTTCAGGTGGAACAATTGCACAAAATATTTAAGCTTTGTGGTTCACCATCAGAGGATTTCTGGGCTAATTTGAAGTTGTCACGTGCTACAATATTCAAGCCACAACATCCTTATCGTCGATGTGTGAATGATGTATACAAGGATTTCCCTCCTCCGGCTTTAGCGCTATTGGATTGTTTACTTGCTGTAGAACCTCAGAATAGGGGTACTGCTGCTTCGGCCCTTGGAAGCGAAGTAAGTTCTGGCCCTGAAATTTGTTTATTTGCATGCCTGTGCTAAGGAGAATCCATGGTCTCTCAAAAAAACATGTGGAAACACACATTATGTTAAATCTGCCTTTTGTGTCCATCTCCCTGTAAATTTCATTGTCACAATATTCGTTTGATGAGTCTTAATTATGAATCTGTTTATTGTCACTTCTCGTATGATATGTTGTTTGTGAATGGCATGGAATTATTTAGAGAAGTGAAACATCTTTTAAGTTGATATGAGCAACAACATTTTGAGCTGTTCCTTTTTACTTGATGGTAATTCATAGAGATTTGGCTATTCCTGTATAATCTACAACTGGCCTTTTTATTGTGACGCACTAATATTAACCCTTTTACCTTGGACTGTAGTTCTTCACGACAAAGCCTTATGCTTGTGATCCATCAAGTCTACCTAAATATCCTCCAAGCAAGGAATATGATGCTAAGCTTCGAGACGAGGAGGCTAGAAGGTAAACCCTGTGGAGAACTAAAGATGAATTTTGACTAGATGGAATATATGGTATCTATCTTCTTTTGCTGGCGATTTCTTTATTTGACCTAAGTTCATGTTTTGCCCACAGGCAAAGAGCAGCTGCAGTTAAAGGACATGAATCTGAAGCTGGGCGTAGAAAGCAACTTCCAGCACCAAATGGCAACAACGAATTGCAGGTAATGAAAACTTATCTTTAGATTATAAACTTCTCTTAGTATTAGATGATAATTGTCATTCTTAAGGATATCCAGAGTTGAGGGTTTTCTGACGCACTATCACTATTGAGCTTCCAAAATATTATTAATTCCTGCAGAATTTTGAAACCTTATGGGAATTCAAATACTATATGCTAGTTCCCAGTGGTTCAATGTATTCATTTAATACATAAATACATGAATTTGTGTAGTTAGTACTTGGTAGCAGTCTTGCAGAACTAATTTGTGATTCAATGTAATCGACTCTTGACTTGTTTGGAAGTTTACCAGTACAGTAGCTGCAGTTTAAACATTGCAATTAATCACATAGTTGACATTGCAAGATTGTGAAATATAAACTCTGTTGTTCTTCTTTCTCAAATGACTGCTGTTCCATATCTTTGCAGCAACGACGGGTTCAGCTTAATCCAAAAAGCAGCAGTAATAAGTTTATTCCAAAGGAGGATGCTGTCACTGGCTTCCCAATTGATCCTCCAGGAAGAGCTGGAGACAATGTTTACCCTCAGCGTGCGCCTCTGATGCATGCTGGTCGTTCATCCTCTACTCTGGGCCGATCAAGTGGCACTGATCAGAATGCTCAGAGGTTTTACACATCTCAAATTGCTGCTGCTGAGATGTCTACTGCAACTGGTGGGCAGCGAGGCAATGCCACTAAGCTGTCCTCCAACCTTGGGGAGAGTGCCAGGAGACAATATTTGAGAGAGCATCGATCTAGTTCAAGATATAGTCAACTTGCTGCTGCTGAACCCTCTGACAGACCTGAATGGACACACCAATTCCAAGAAAGACCATCATCTTCCCACCGCAAAGATGATGGGGCAGCAAATAAGGAACCTACTGTGGTAAGTTATTTTATTGTCCTATTTGGCTTCACTTGGTCTTGCCTCCTAACATCCATCAGGAGAATGATCCATAGTATTCAAGCCTTGAAAGCTGAGATAAACTTTGGGAAATTTACCCTTAAAAGCATTCTTGGAAGTTATGACCAGTGAACATGTGAGTATGGTTTTTATCAGGGAATGTAGAGTACATGTTACCTAAATCTCTTCACAGAATGGCCCTTTCTTATTCCTGAGAAATATCACAAATGGCCTGTGTCCTGGATATGGAGTGCACTGTTTTTTCTTTGTTCCTAATATTATGAGACATTCTCATTTATCAAGGTCAACGATCTATTTCTTACAGAAGATAGTAATGGAAAAAAATGCTTCCAAAGTGCAGGATTGTATTTTTGTCATATGCTGAGAAATTAAACCTGTATGTGCAGGTGAATGGCGCTAAGAAGAGCAGGATCCACTACTCAGGACCATTAATGCCTCCTGGAGTAAACATGGAAGAAATCCTTCGAGAGCACGAGCGGCAGATCCAACAAGCTGTACGGAGGGCGCGCCTCGACATGGGAAAGGGCAAGAATCACGTCGAGAGAGACCAGTCGGAATCGCTTCTGTACACTACCCAGAATGGCAGACCGTAGGCGAAAAAAACGCTCAGGATCGCGATTCAATGTGTTGTGGAGCCCCCATTTCAGCCATGAAAAACAATAGAAAGTAGCGTATGTTTCTGCGCCGTCAAAGCGGAGAGGTTTCTTTCTGCTAGATGTTCCACCCATTGCAGTGGTTTGGTTTTCACCAGCAAAAGGAAACCTGTTCCTGTAGAGATTCACCGCCTGTCCAAGCTTAGCATAGGGCGTCGAAAATATTTGCTGAAGATTTGGTTGTCCACAGCCACCAATTGTATATCTCGAGAGAGTATCCTCCCCTTGAAATTGATTCTTACACCTGTTTTTTGGCAGATGACAAGAGAAAAAATAATATAATGGAAGTACAGATCATTGGTGCCCTCTGGTGTTTACCTTGTATGTCTTGCTTTTGTTTCAGTTATTTTGTTTGTTCAACTATAATGTTTCACTTGATCCTTGCTGATTTCTGTTTTTTTTTTTGGAGCAAAGGTAAGTCATTCCTGCTATCCTGAATGTTTACAGGCAAGTTTGGGGTCCGATCTCCATATCTACCAACACAAATAGACAAACTGAATTTTGGAAATTTGGGTAAAGCCAAAGTTGGAAACTTGGAATGAGCAATACCATAACAAGTGTTTGTAATTACTAAAATTTTGACATGAATTCAAATGTTCACCAGTTTCTTGGGGGAAATTACCAAAATATGGCAATGCAAGTAGATACTTCCCCTACCTCATAAAAAAACCAATATAGTACTAATGCGATATATTTCTAGTACTACGAATCTGTATATATCTTTATCGAGATTCATTGTAAACTGTGTCATATTCAATCCTACATTTTTCCATTTTTAGACGGAGAGAGTACTTCTGTTAAAAAGGGCACCCTTAGTCCTCATGGATCCCGGGTGATAAACCATTAATAGCAGAGAGAGAGAGAGAGAAACTTTTTTTTTTTCAGTTGAAAAAGGAAGAACACATCCGAACTCCAAACCCCAGGAATCGCCTACTCTTTGGCGCCCTCGCCGCCAAACCAAACGCCGGGAAGCGCCCCGCCATCTCCGCCGCCCCCGCCGCCGCCGTGGTGTGATGCGGCGGCGGCCGTTTGATGCGCCGACCTCCCACCTCGCCGCCCAAGCAGCACCTCCTCCGCATCCGCCGCTGCCTCCCATCCGTTTGGCGAAATGCCGCGCCCGCGCAGGAATCGCCGCCGCCCTCGCCGCCGCACCCGGCCTCCTCCCTCTCGGCCATCCTCTACTCCTGCACCGCGCGGCGCGCCCGTCGCCCCGGCGAGCTGGCCCACGCGCGCGCCGCCACGCTCGGCCTGGCCGCCCACCCGTCCGTCCTCCCCAGGCTCGCCTCCTTCTACCTAGCCCTCGCCGACCTCCCGGCCGCGCGGGCCGCCGTCGAGCAGGCGGCGGGGAAGGCGCGGGCGTTCCCCTGGAACCTGCTTATATGGGGCTACGCCGGCCGTGGGCTGTGGGAGGACGTGATCTTGTCGTACGAGAAGATGGTGGGGTGGGGCGTCGCCGCCGACAGGTTCACGTACCCGTCGGTTCTGCGTGCCTGCGGCGAGCTCCGGGAGGTCACCATTGGCCGGAACATTGAGCAGCGCATTCGGAGGTGTAGATATGGTCTGGACATGTATGTCTGGAATGCTTTGGTGGGGATGTATGCCAAGTGTGGGGAGCTGGAGGATGCCCGGAGGGTGTTTGATGGAATGGCTGTGAGAGATGTTGTCAGCTGGAATACGATGGTGTCCGCGTATGCGTCGACGGGGAAGTCGAATAAGGCATTTGAGCTTTTACAGCAGGTTCCTGGTGCAAACGTTGTCACGTGGAATGCGGTTGCAGCAGGGAATTTGAAGGCGGGGAACTACGATGAAGTGATTAGGTTGGTGTCTCAGGTGAGAGGATATCATGGGACAGGGGTGGATTCTGTGACCATCGTGATTGGGCTCAAGGCGTGTGGTAGGACCGGGTATTTGAGTGTTGGTAGGGAGTTGCACGGGGTGGCTGTTCGTCTATGCTTTGATAGCCTTGAGTGCGTGGTGAATTCGTTGATAACTATGTACTCAAGATGTGGGATGATGAGCTCTGCCTGCCTTCTGTTTAGAGCATGCTCAGTTCGGAGCATCACAACCTGGAACTCACTGCTTGCAGGATTTGCATTCATGGAACAGATCGAGGAAGCTTCTTTGATTTTCAGAGAGATGATCGGTTTTGGTGTCTGTCCAAATGGTGTTACTGTCTTAACTATGCTTTCCCTTGGTGCACGGGTTGGACACCTCTGTCATGGAAGGGAGCTGCACTGCTACATCCTTAAGCATGAGCTGGATAGCTCTAAACTAATGGAAAATTCACTTGTCGACATGTACTCCAAATGTAGACAAATGGTAGTTGCACAGAGAGTGTTTGAACTGATGCAATTTCGAGACAAGCATGCCTACACATCACTGGTTTTGGGTTATGGATTGCAAAGAGAGGGACATGTATCACTGAAGCTCTTTGATGAGATGATTGTGAACAGTATAGAGCCGGACCATGTAACTTTCGTTGCAGTTCTATCAGCATGTAGCCACTCTGGGCTAGTAACTCAGGGGCAGCTACTATTTGCCAAGATGGTTTCTATATTTGGTATTGCACCAAGAGTGGAGCATTTTTCTTGCATGGTTGATTTGTACTGCCGTGAAGGTTTGCTCAAGATGGCTGAGGTGATAATTGACAAGATGCCATTTCAACCAACTGCTGCAATGTTAGCAACTCTTATTGAGGCTTGCCGAATCCATGGTAATACGGAAATCGGGGATCGGGCTGCAAAGAAGTTGCTGGCTATGAGGACAAACAACCCTGGTCATTACAGATTGATTGCAAACATGTATATAGCAGCAAAATGCTGGCCAGAACTAGCTAAAGTGAGATCACTAATGAGCACCCTGGAGCTAAATATGATTCCTAGTCATTCTTTGCTGGAGTCAGAATATGACGTGTGTCCAGTCGAGCAAGATAATTTCCTGAATCATGTCACATATGGTTTGTCATCTGACCACCTGACTGATACTGATTCCTCTAGTAGCGAGGAAGTGAAGTGCAGTGAAGCTTTTGGTGGATAGTAATAGAGCAAGAATGGAATAGGTTATTTTTGGACTGCTTTTTATGTGAAGGCCATGGAACTTTCCGAAAAGTTTCAAGAGGTAACAATTCGAATTCTGATATTTATCCGCTTCATCATTAAGTAAACTAGTTTACCATACTGGACTCTATTTTGCATAGCCAAAAATACCTTATATTTTGAGACATAGGTAGTAGCAATTTATCTGTGGTTTGTAAATTTGTATTTGAGTTGCCTAGTACAACTTTTTTTGATTTATTTCTGCGATATTCTGAACCAGGAGGATGTGAAAGAATTCAAAGAACAAGATAACCGAGGACATTATGTTTAGGGTCTAGCCAAGCAGTAGAGGCATTTGAAGAGAACTGGTAAGCCTAATAATATTCCTGCTCTTTTCATGAAGCGAAATGATCATAGCATCTAATCATTCCAGTTCACTATTTCAAATAGTATTGGGCTCTGGTGCATTATAATCCATTTACTTGCTTTGGCAGAGGTGAAGGATGTTGCGTGCGTCGCCCAAGCAGCATCTCCATCTAGCTGTGCTCCAACAACTAAGGCGTGGAGTTTGTCCATTCTGCGCCACCTGGCATCGTTGCTTCGCTCTTCATCCACGGTTGGTCTGCTCCTTCTTCCCGCTCAATGGCTGGACTGGACTCCTTTCCGGTTAAGAACGCCACGGCGATGAACATGCCATCAGAGAGCTCAGTTACCTGATGATGCTATGCTCCGGCCGCGCTGGAGAAGCTCCTCTCCGACGAGGAGTTCATGGACGCGGTGACCACGGCGTCAGCTGCAGGCTAATTACATCCACTGCGAGCTCCAATCATGTACTTGTATTATTATGTCATCACTGACACAGTGTCGCTTAACTAAATGTTCAACGGATGAATGCGACAGAATTGGGGCAGAATCGATTGATCTGAAATGCAAAATCTGACGCATGCGCATCGCAGGCACTGAATTTAACTGGAGGCTCTTCTCTTCTTCAGCTACGAAGTATTATCAACTGTTGCCTCTCCATATCACAATTACACAATTTTTATTACTGTTTAGCTGTTACCCTTTGACATGTTTCTCATTTTGCTAACGTGTTACTGTCACTGCATATGTTGATGTTCATACCTCTCCTCATCAAAACAGAATCCTAATCACACTTTTTTTCCAAGGTTTTTTTTTTTTGAGGAAAACTTGATAACACTTACTCAATGAAAGTTCAATTGTTTTTACTTGTCTGATATTAAGAATTAAAAAAGTGGTTTATACGTATGTACACAGCATTCACAATTGACTTGAATAAGAGGAAGGATCCGACCTATCACCTCTAGCTCTTGACTTTTACTATCTGTCCGGCGGCTAAGGAAAGACAGCTACCCTTCGCATCAAGTCGGGAATGATCTCAAAGAAAAAGAAAGCAAGGATCATTTGGCCTCTTCGATCAAATAGTAGAGGCAGTTGAAGGGAACTGATAAGCCTGCTGTTTATTTGTTGTGAAACAATATTTCCTGTTCTCTTTCATGAATGGTCATAGCAACTAATTTCTCTAGTTTGTTGGCAATGCTTAAATTGCCAGAATAATCCAGATAGAAGCATCCAATTTCATCTCAAAGCAAATGTCTCTGTTCAATCATAATATTAATTTGTATTTACTATGAGAACAAATATTGCTCAATGCTAAGTTTTATTGCAACTTATGTCACTTGTGTTCATTTCAGATTGAGGATTAAGCTGGCACAACCCTCCAGACCAAATTCCTCACTACTGAAATTTGCAGCAGTAAATGACAGCTTTTGGAATTTGCTCTTTCTCCAACTCTTTTGAAAGCTGATATCTTTCTACTTGAGATATGTAGTACCATACTATTCTTTTAGGCAGCCTAGCATACTAATAGTCAGAAATTATGACTGTTTCTCTTCTGAATGAATGCTGATGAGTTGTTCCTTTCAGATAAATTCAGAAGTAGCACGGCTTTGCCTTCACAAAACACCGGAGTTTCAGATACCAATTTTGCTACTGCTCTGGCTTCCCTCCTCTACTTAGCCACCCACACTGCTCTGGAGTTGGCAACCAAAATGGAAGCCAACACCGGCGGCGGCGGCGGCGTCCTCGTCGTGTCACGCCGCATGATCCGGCCGGAGTTCAAGGAGCTGCCGCCGGAGCATGATACGACGGTTCACCTTACGCCGTGGGATCTCCGGCTGCTCACCGTGGAGAACATCCAGAAGGGCATCCTCCTTCCCAAGCCACCCACCGGCGGCGAGACTCTCGTCGAACACCTGGCGTCGTCGTTCGCTCGCGCACTCGGCCGCTTCTACCCCTTCGCCGGCCGCCTCGTCGTGGAAGAGGTGGATGGCGGAGCGTCGCCTGCGAGCAGCGTATCTGTCTCGCTGCGCTGCAACGACGAAGGCGCTGAGTTCGTCCACGCCGCGGCGCCCGACGTCGCCGTCGCCGACATCGCCGCCTCGCTGCACATTCCACGCGTGGTCTGGTCCTTCTTCCCGCTCAATGGAGTGGTTGCTGCACACGCCGCGACGGAATCCCTGCCGGTTCTGTCCACGCAGGTCACCGAGCTCTCTGACGGCGTGTTCATCGCCATGTCTGTCAACCACGTCGTCGGCGACGGCACCAATTTCTGGGAGTTCATGAACACATGGTCGGAGATCAGTCGAAGTAGCGGCGGCGAACTGGGCATCTCGCCATCGGCGTCGACGTCGACTTCGCCGCCTCTGGTGGTCAAGAGGTGGTTCTTGGACAACTGCACGGTGCCGATCCCTCTGCCGTTCGCCAAGCTCGAGCAGATCATCCCGCGAAGCGAGCACCAAGCGCCGGTGCAGGAATGCTTCTTCGCTTTCTCCGCGGCGAGCATAAGGAAGCTGAAGGCGAAGGCGAACGACGAGATCGCCGGCGCCGCCGTCGCCATCTCCTCCCTCCAGGTGCTGCTCGCGCTCGTGTGGCGCGCGGTTTCGCGAGCCCGCGGCCTCGCGCCGCGCCAGGAGACGGCGTACGTGGTGGTCGTCGGGTGCCGGGGACGCGTGGGCGGCATCTCGTCGGGGTACATGGGGAACGCCGTGGTGCCCGGCGCGGTGAGGCTGACGGCCGGCGAGATCATGGAGAGGGGGCTCGGGTGGACGGCGTGGCAGCTGAACAAGTACGTGGCGTCGTTCGACGAGGCGGCCATGAGGGGCGCGCTGGCGTCGTGGCCGCGGCGGCCGGACTTCTTCTCCGTCCTGAGCCTGCTCGGCGGCGCCGCCATCATCACGGGGAGCTCGCCGCGGTTCGACGTGTTCGGCAACGACTTCGGGTGGGGGAGGCCGGCGACCGTGCGGAGCGGCGGCGCGAACAAGTTCGACGGGAAGGTGACGGTGTACGAGGGGCCGGACGGCGCCGGGAGCATGTCGCTGGAGGTTTGCCTGACTCCGGCGGCGCTGGCGAAGCTCGTCGCCGACGAGGAGTTCATGGGCGCGGTGACCACGCCATGAGTTGCATCCATGCATGCTTCTATTCATTGCGATTTGCGAGCTCAATTGGTTAAAAAAAAACATTCACATCGACATCATGTAATCCATTTATGTCAATTTGTCAGTAGAAAGGTGATGAATTCATCAACAGCTATAGCTGATAGATCAGAGATATCACTGGATTACCTTTTGTATCAAACAAGGATAAATCAATATGTTTGTGAAGTGAAATTTCGAATGGTTTTTAGACGAATTTGAAGGAAAATTGAAGGATGCCCACGGAGGCCGAGGTCGTGGTCAGAAATGCCAGAGTTCAACCAGAGGATTCAAATGCCAGGGACTTTCTGATGATCAATCATCTTAAACTTTCATATTATCAGCTAGTAGATAGTAATTACTTCATCCGTTTCACAATGTAAGTCATTCTAGCATTTTCCACATTTATATTGATGCTAATGAATCTATATAGATATATATGTCTAGATTCATTAGCATCAATATAAATGTGAGAAATACTAAAATGACTTACATTCTGAAACGGAGGGAGTACTGTAGATGGATTCAAATGAGCTTGCAGCTTGTGCTGAGAATAAACCAACAATCGTCTTCCTGTCATCAAGCTGTGTCCTGAACCTGAACCGTGAACCGCGGCCCATCTTCAAGCAGCCTTATCTTGGTGCATAGAACACAAAATCGATTGTAAATTGCCTTTATCGAAATTAGGATCTACGAACTTTCCAATGGTATATAACACGTCTGGTAGCAAATGCTTGTACAAATATTGCAGCAGCTGCAAATTTAGATGGTTGAGATGAGTTTCAGAACATGAATGCCGGGAACGACGGATGGCTAGAGTTGACGAGTCAACAGCCTCCTGGTGGCCCACATGCAGAAAAGTAAGTCACTGCCTCATGGGACCCAACTTGACCTTGCTAATCTGATGTACGGTAGATCACATGATGAGACAGTGTGATTAATGTCATCAACTCAACGTGAACGAAACACAAAATGGATTGTTCTTAGGCAGTTTATATTGTTTGATGTGTGCTGTTCTGAACTCCAAACCTGATTGATGCATGCATGGCACTGAACTTTCTGCAACCTATATACATGATACTATCCAGTATCCACTATTAAGTCTTTGAAATGGATTGCTAATCATTGGCTAATAGCCTAATACTCGTAACATGCTGTCGAATTAAAACATCTCCGGTTGCTGTCACAGCATGCTGCATATGCTGATATAATATCATATCATGTATATCTGATATCTCTATGCTTTGAGTCACTTTCATTATCACAACAAGAATTTCAATACACTTGTACACAAAAGTGGAAAAATGCCTGCTATTCCTACTAAGATATGTTCGTATTATAAAGATTTTTTGTAAAAAAAACAGAAAACATTCGCACAAGGGATGAAAACGACTTGCTTCAATTCTCCCCCACAGCCCAGAATCAGAAAGTATCGTGTATATATGTGACTTAACTAAATGGTTGTGCAAAAAAAAAATCCAGATAGATTATGATAATATAAGCCATAACATAAATATGCAAGATCTACAATTGTATTCGCTATCAGATTAAGTGTTAAAAAATAAACTTGTCTCACTTGATGTCCATAAGCTCATCAATCAGATAAGAAGTTTGCTGCTGTTCTAAATCATCATCATCTGCTTAGCTAGAAGCTACACTCATCACTACGGTTGCAACCAAAAAATGGAAGGCAACACCGGCGGCGTTCGGGTCGTGTCACGGCGCGTGATCCGGCCGGAGTTGCCGCCGGAGCATGAGACGACGGTGCACCTGACGCCGTGGGATCTCCCTCTGCTCACCGCGGAGTACATCCAGAAGGGCGTCCTCCTGCCCAAGCCGCCCACCGGCGGCGAGCACCTCGTCAAACACCTGGCGTCGTCGTTCGCTCGCGCACTCGGCCGCTTCTACCCCTTCGCCGGCCGCCTCGCCGTGGCCGAGGTGGAGGACGGAGCGTCGCCTCCGAGCAGCATCTCCGTGTTCTTGCGCTGCAACGACGAAGGCGCTGAGTTCGTCCACGCCACGGCGCCCGACGTCGCCGTCGCCGACATCGCCGCCTCGCTGTACATTCCGCGGGTGGTCTGGTCCTTCTTCCCGCTCACCGGGCTGCTTCCCGCGGTCGCTGCGGCGGACTCCCTGCCGGTTCTTGCCGCGCAGGTCACCGAGCTCTCCGACGGCGTGTTCATCGCCATGTCGCTCAACCATGTCGTCGGCGACGGCACCAATTTCTGGGAGTTCATGAACACATGGTCGGAGATCAGTCGAAGCAGAAGCAAACTGGACATCTCGCCGTCGCCACCTCTGGTGGTGAAGAGGTGGTTCCTGGACACCTGCCCGGTGCCGATCCCTCTGCCGTTCGCCAAGCTCGAGCACATCATCCCGCGACGCGACCACCCACCACCTCCATTGCAAGAGTGCTTCTTCGCTTTCTCCGCGGAGAGCATAAGGAAGCTCAAGGCGAAGGCGAACGGCGAGATCGCCGGCGCCGCCGCCACCATCTCCTCCCTCCAGGCCCTGCTCGCTCATGTTTGGCGCTCGGTGTCGCGAGCTCATGGCCTCACGCCGCGCCAGGAGACGGCGTACGTACTGGTCATCGGTTGCCGGGGGCGCGTGAGCGGCATCTCGCCGGGGTACGTGGGGAACGCCGTCGTGCCCGGCGCGGTGAGGCTGACGGCCGGCGAGGTCATGGAGAGAGGGCTCGGGTGGACGGCGTGGCAGCTGAACCGCTTCGTGGCGTCGCTCGACGAGGCCGCCATGCGGGGCGCGATCGCGCCGTGGCCGCGGGCGCCGGAGTTCGCCAACTTCGCGAAGGCGGCGGGAGGCACCGCCGTCCACACGGGGAGCTCGCCGCGGTTCGACGTGTTCGGCAACGACTTCGGGTGGGGGAGGCCGGCGAGCGTGCGGAGCGGCGGCGCGAACAAGTTCGACGGCAAGGTGACGGTGTACGAGGGGCCGGGCGGTGCCGGGAGCATGTCGCTGGAGGTTTGCCTGGCTCCGGCGGCGCTGGGGAAGCTCGTCGCCGACGAGGAGTTCATGGGCGCTGTGACCACGCCGTGAGTTGCATCCATGCATGTACAAGCTACTCCCTCCGTACAAAATACTCCCTCTGTTCAATTTTAATCATCATATTTTCAAAACATAAAAATTCATATTTGATCGTCATATTAGGTGGGACTGTGACAAAAATGCTTCGTATACTGCGTTGCGTGTATGCCTTGCAGCTCTATTAATAGAAATTTTGGTCAAGCATTTTATGCAATCACAACTAATTGGACAGTCAATGAGGCATGCAAGGACATGAAAGGTTGATAGTGCTAATTGATGTTTATCTTGGTATTGTTGCACAAGCCGAATATAATGATAAAAAATGAACGGAGGGAGTATAACAATTTTAGGGGGAACGCCTGGACGGGTCGTATCATGGCAGTCCAGATTTATAATACTAGATGGATACCCTGCGCGTTGATGCGGGAGAACTGTGTAATAATATAGTAGATATGAATTCCAAAAAAAATTTCTTACCTACTATATGATTTTTTTCATGTGTTTATATATCTTTGTCCCTTTATCAATTATCCATAGGTTATAAATGGTTATGTTGTATGGTGTGTCTTTTGGGGGAAGAGATGTAATTTACACTTTTGATGAAGGGAGCGTATCCTATGCACACAGGCCCTCGCGTGTACACACCGTGTACACCAACTAAAAATCATCACAAAAAATTCTAGGAAAATTCATACATGTACTTTCAATAGTATTATATCTACGTGCAAAGTCGCATCTTCAAATTCATTCTACATAGAGAATAACAAAAAAGATAAAATTCTGATAAAATTGCAACCTTAAAACTGTCAGATTTTTTATTTTTTTTTGTTATGGCTAAAATATAATGAATTTGACGTTAAGATTTTAACCCTAGGTGTGATACAATTGAAAGTATGTGTATGATTTTTTCTAGATTTTTTGGTGATATTTTTTAGTTAGTGTGCACGTGTGTACACGTGAGGGCCTGTGTGCATAGGATATGTTGCCCTTGATGAATCATCCAAAGGCTAAAAACAATTGAGGTGATGTGAAGAGATGCAATTGAGGTGATGTGGCTTCATGAGAGAAGAGAGAATGGCATTAACTTTATAGAAAATAGGGATTAGAATATGTCTCATCCACCTAAAAGGTGTTATATTTTAGGACGAAGGGAGTACTTACTGCCCATTGTTGTCAATATCATGTACTCCTATCTCATAGGTTGTGTTTAGTTTATGAAATTAGGGAGAAGTTTGGAGAAAGTTGATAGTTTGGAAAAAAGTTAGGAGTTTATGTGTGTAGGAAAGTTTTGGATGTGATGTGATGTGATGGAAAGTTGGGAGTTGGAGAGAAGTTTGGTGTGAACTAAACTGAGCAGAAAAATTGAGAAATTTCATCACCATGGGCGGCATGCAGAGAAAATGGTATAGCCTACCATGTGAGGTGGTGGGTGGCCATCCTTTGACAATGGAGGAGATCAGGAGATCATGGAAAATGATCTCTTAAACTATTGTTGCTTAAACTATGACAAATTTCATCACCATGCTTAGGCTATTCCTGCTTGCACAGTTGCACCAATTAGTAATCCTGCTTGCATGTTATTATAATAGTTATGAACATATTTAAATTACGCTACTGTTGCTGTTGCTTGCACAGTTGCACCAATTAGTATCACTGCTTGCATGTCATTATAATAGTTATGAACATATTTAGAAACATAATAGGATAATGAATATATGATACTCGCTTCGTCCTATAATATAATAATTTAGTATTAGATAAGACGCATCCTAATAATGCGAATTTAAACAGTCCCCTAGTACTACGAATCTAGATAAGAGGTTTGTCTAGATTCATGTATAGTACTAGAGTATTTCTCATATATTGCTAGATCCTTATATTGTATAATGGAGGGAGTATATCACTTCATAAATATACCAGTTTAAATTTAAATTCTATAACTTGCAACAAATACGTAGCACTGCACAATGCTATGGATAACCTACATTGCACATATTCTACTAGTCTAGCATCGTACGGTCTCACACACTCGCCGCGTGGCCCCAAGCGGTATCGCGTCCTCATCACGCGAAGTTGTACAGTAATGCATGATTTCGCACTTCCATTCTACGACAACAACATACTTCTATGAATCCCTTTTAAACATGTATATTTATGTAAAACCAATAAAAAGAGATATATTTTCACTTTTTTTCCTGCCCGCACACTGCGGCTTCTGTCTTACTCTTTCTGTCCCAAAATATAAAGGATTTTGGAGGGATTTGACATATCCTAATACGACGAATCTAGACTGGTATTAAAGTTTAGATTCAAAGTATTAGGATATATTATATGCTTCTGAAATTTCTTATATTATGAGACAGATGGAGTACCGTCTATCGTCTGACATCCTCGACCAGGCCATCGGATGACAGGGGGCGGTGCCCATGTGGTCCTTCACCGGAGACTCCCATTTTCTCCCCCGCACACAAGGGCATTCCCGTTAGTTATTAAGCAAAGATTAAAGGTTTATCACATTTTCTCATCCGCAAATTCTTAAAACACCATTAGAATGCAGGATTCAAACACTGAAACATAATAGAAATGTACCAATAAAATGTCATGCGTGTTGAATTCGGAGTATTACAGAAACCAAACCATAGAAAAGTTTCCAAACTAATGTTTGGATGATACATTAGAAAAACAAGCAGGAACTAAGGCATAACCTCGTGCTCTTTTTAATCAAAACTTTTTTATGGATTGGCTCATTATAAATGGGTGTAACATGCCATGCTCTTACGTTTTAAAGGATTAGGCCCATATAAATAGAGATGAGTTCAATATGGACAAAACATTGGATCTGCTTATGTATACTTAACGCTTGAGAGCGTGTTGCACGTGGTGGGAGGAAGAGACACGGAAGGATTCCATCAGACCTAGGCCCTGTTTGTTTCAGCTTATAATTATTATAATCTAGATTATTAAACCAGATTGCTATAAGCTGGATTATAATAAGCTGATATAAAATAAGCTGTGAGTTGTTTGTTTGTCTGGATTATTGGAGGCATGGATTATTGGGTTTGAAAGTCTAAAGTCTATAATGCCCTCAGCTATCTGTTCGGTTGATGGCATAGGTGGGTAATTTTTCTCAAGTATGTAGGGGCAGTGGGTTTTTAGCCACTCAATAATCTGAAAAAAGCTCTTTTAGAGCAGCTTATTAGATTATAATAATCTGACTTATAGATTATAATAATCTGCTATAATAATCTACTTGTTTGTTTCAGCTTACTCCTAATAAGCTAGATTATAATAATTTTAAGCTAAATCAAACAGGGCCTTAATTTATCCCTATAGTGGACATTGAAGGATTTCATAGGAATTTATCCCTATATATATACAGGAGGGGAAACGGAAGGCAGTAGAGAAATTGCAAAATAATATATAGGGATCAATCCTTTGGTATCCTTTATGAAAAGGATTTCATTGGATTTTTTTTCTTACTTAACAAATCCCACCAAATATTCTTCCCTTTTTCTTCGTTTCAAAGGAAACCTGGGATTATAAGTAGGCAGCGGATTTAATAAGGAAACCTTGGATTATAAGTAGGCAGCGGATTTAATAACGTGCAATTTAAATCAGTGGTAAATTTATAATTGTATGTGTTTTGGATATAGATAGCCATATGGCCCGAGGCCCGTGGCCCGGCCCAAGGCACGCCATTTTGGCCTGGCCCAAGCACGGCACGGCCCAACTCGGGGTCGTGCCCGTGCCGCACCCTCGGCACGGTGGGCTGGCCCGGCACGGCATGACCGAATTAAAAAAGTAGAGGGACGTAAAATAGACTTAATGAACCATATCAGATAGGGCCCAAAGAGAAGAGGAATACAAGATAGACTTATTTCCAGCCATATGGACCCAGCCCACAGAGTTGAGGGAAGAAAAATAGACTTATTCTGTGGAAAACCACGATGGACCGTCGTGCCTTTGGGCTGGCACGCCACGGCCCTGATCACTAACCTCGGCCCAGGCACAGCTGGGCCTGGGCCGTGCCGCCCGTTTGGCCATCTATAGTTTTAGTTTTGGATACTGGAATATTGACACCACTACTATTTAACCCCATCATTGTTCTCTTATATTTCATCTTTTAGCTCTTTTAATTGTGGATCTCCCTGTGTAAAGTCGGGTAAGCCTCCTCGGATGCCCTTTATCATATCAAATCATTCATTCACGATTGTACGTTACTCGTTTGTTTTTCAAAGACCCCGTACGTAAAGCGGACTGCTGAGCGGCAAACATGGAGGCCACCGCCCGCAGGGTGGATCAAGTGGTTCAAAGCTAGGGCGGCCGGCGTAGCTAGATGGCATTCCCATGGCCTGGATGCTCTCATCGATGACATGATGGAGGCCCTTGCTTGCCGGGATGGGATGTACAACTTGCCGGCCGAGAGAAAGTAAGTTAATTTCCCGAGAGAAGTACAACTTTGGAAGCAGGGTGGCATCCAAAGATGGCATATATACTGCGCCGATTACCAGAGATGCCATACAGCTTAGCTCCGGTTTTCATGGTTTTACTTTACTCTATACCCACCGATCTTGTAATCGTGTAGCTCATGCCTTAGCGAAGCTGATGACAGGCTGGGTGAGTGGCATTCAGTCCCAGCTTGTATCGAGCACCTAGTGACTGAAGGTTGTAATTCTGCAGTTTCTTGATGAATGAAATGAGCTCTGAATAACAACAACAACAACAACAACAACATAATAATAATAATAATAATAATAATAATAATAATAATAATAATAATAATAATAATAATAATAATAATAATAATAATAATAATAATAATAAAAATAATAATAATAATAATAATAATAATAATAATAATAATAATAATAAATAATAATAATAATAATAATGATTTTTCCTCTTCAAGCGTCCTCTCATTCGCTTTATTGCATTTTATCTAGATATAAAAAAATATTTTAAATAATATGAGATATATCAGTTCACAAATATGCGTGGTTAAATTGGATTTTTACAAGCTGTAACAAAACAATGAATTAAACTCTGACTAGTATCCGTGTTCATGGTTATATTTGTTAAAGACAAATTTAAAGTTGTGTATTCGCGGAGTTATATGCCATATGTTTAAAAATTATAAATACTAGTAGGGTGTCCGTGCATTGCAACAGGGAAAATCACACCAAGTGAAATGATGTTAAATAATCATTGGGTGTAAATCGGATGTAACAAAAACATTAATATAGAACTAATGATAAGTATGTCACATATTTATAATTTTCACATCTTTATAGTATTCACATGCTAGTACCACATATAACAAAATTAATGAATGGAACGGCACATTAAGGACCACAAATTAGAAAGTTTGTCTATAGTTTCATCTACTTCTCATTCCTAATGCTTATAGACAATTGCTAATCATATATTTAAAAAACTAAATGGTACCTAATCCTTTTGGAAAGGAATGGATCTGCATTTGCATGCTGAGAAGCAATGGTTAAAGTTGTTTACAAAATTCTACACAATGGTTCTCATTCTATAGCAAAACAAATAACAGAACGGTTCCCATGGAAGTCAGGGTTATTGCGGAAGAAGTTTGGTGCTTGACAATCGCCTCAACACCCTCATTTCCTTCTAAAGTATACTATTGCTCACTTTGGAACAACAATGAACCAATAGCAGCTATGCACAGGGAGCACCCGATCAGACCTTGCTCCTACTGTTGCTAGTGGTAATACTCCAGAAGCTTCAAACTGCTAGCCAAACAATTGTAAACAAGCTTGCAGTCAGGATTGGATTTTACAACTTGGAGCTTGCAAACGAAAGGTGCAGACAATATTAAGAAATATGGATTATTATCAAATGTGCAACATTTGATAACAAAAAAAAGCTTAGGTTTCCAGCCTCGTTATCAAATGAGCAATATTAAGAAATGTATTTTGTTCGCGGAGAGCCTGTTTTAATCTATTTTCATGCAAGCATTACTGGGAGTTTTTGTCCTTCGACATTTTGCAATGCTTTTGGATTGGCTTCGAATATTATTCTTCGTCCTTAGTATTTTCAGTATTTCCAGTTTGCACAAATTACTGAACAAGTGCAAAATATTTTTTCATATCATTCACACAAGGAAAACAGGGAAAATAGTTTGTTTACCTTCGATTCTGTTGAGGATCTGAAGACGTCAACCAGAAACAACAGGATACGGGCACCGAATTTCTGCTACTTACCTTCATGAAAGTACCTACGTAGTGAAAAATCGCAAATCAGGCTTACATGATAAAGATTCCATTTTTTCGCCAGTTGATTCCAGATAATAACATATAAGCTATAACATGAGTGAGTTTCACACTATTCATCATATTGCAGTATATTTATTAAGATTTCTTGTTGATCCTTTTAATATAGCTTAATTCATCAATCATTCATAGTCAAATAGTGTCTTATCACACAATCTTGACATTATTCGCTTCTTTTGAAAAGAAATTTTGGTTTGACAAACTTAAATACTGTCATGTCAAATTCCCACAACCTTAATTGGATGCTCTCGTCAATGACCTTGACCTCAAGACCCTGAATTTCCATAGAACAGATCAATATGAACCCTTACTATTGAGAAACCACATGCTTTTTAGAGAGTGAAGCATACCTCTCCCTGTCATGCTTTCTTCTAACCTCAGCAGCAGTTAAGTTTGTTACATTGGCCAGTGTGCCTCTTCCTATAACATGTGGCCGGGAAAACTCAAATCAAACCATTATGTGATCAATAACTTGGTGTGCCTCTTCCTATTAATTATAGATAGGCAGTGAAGATATAACTTACGAAAGAATAGACTTGATTGTCTTGACAAATCTGGCATGGAGTTCCCATAATTTTTCATTGTATTAAGATGACGCCTCCTATTTGTGCAGGGTTCTACCAAGGTTTAAGTCACCAACTGAAATAGCATAGAGCATGCAAGTCAGAAACTGAAATAACATGGTTTAGAGGGAGGATCCAGTCTGTACTGTATGCTCAGGTCACAGCCACCTCCAGAATAATTTCCAGGACTACAAGGGCCAATGTCCTGAAAGCGACAATGTGTTGATCCAAAGTTAGTTGATCAGTTAAGGAAGATAATTGGGTCTTGCTGTTTGTGTTACTATCGAATGTGATGAAGAAACATAATGAATGGAGATGGATGAATTTGTGAGAAGAAAAAAAATCTTCAGTACGCTAATAAGTAAATAGGAGATCATTTTATCCAAGGACACAAAGATATAATACATCCGAACAGAACCTCAAAAATACCACTGATAAGTATATTAAGGAATGCACAAATCATATTCCTTCTCACACTGGCATGAAAAAGAGCAAATTTAACAAACTGAAATTTAAAACTCAAATAAGATTTAACTAATCTTATTTCGAAGCTCTTTATGGATGGAGCAAATCAGTAGTCAAATATTGCACTAACCAATCACAAAACCATAAGCACACATTGCAACTACATAAATAGATTCATCCTAAAAGATATGACTCAAATTTCACACTCAAATCTTTATTATTTGAGGATTTATGAACAGAGGACATCACCTTAACATATAGTCTCTGCTTTGCTGCTCCATGACCAGCATAGTGGCAATGGCTCACTCATCACAATGTTGCGTAGTGCCCTAAACCACCAGACACTTAGTTTATCAGCATGCTACGCAGAAACAAGTTGAGTAAAATATAGCCCGCTTCTACAAATCATCCCAGACAATCATGTTAAGCTGGCAAACATCCATAGTGCACTACATATACAAGTTCCTCCATAGAGAACTACCTGAATCATGTATGCGTAGTAAACATCCTGGTAAACTCTTCCTAGACAAAACATGGCATATCACCAGGCTATATTAGCAAGGATTAACACCTAAGTGGTTTCCCTGATCATCACGACTGTAACGACTATATAATAACACAAATAAAAAAACAATATCAGCTTCGTCTGTCTTATGCTTGAAAGCTAAAATTAAAATTTCAAAACTTAATTTTGAAGTTGAATTTGTTGTATTTTGTCGTAGTTTATTTTACAGTATGCCCTTTTTAATCGGTAAAGGCACGCATACAAAAAGTTTTTTTTTCAGTTGCTAATCCACGAGATAGATTAAAGATTAATATAAAGAAAAAGAGAGAAAAGATAAAATTATTTAGCACTAAAATATCACCACATTCTTCGTAAACCATCTAATTCCAGATTACTCCATATTCTAGTATCATGGAAATGTAATGCATATTTTCCTGTACTCATACGAAATATGCAAACACGCTCAAATCTAACTTGTCAAAGCTTGGAAGGCTCAATCCAAGAGAGCTATGATTTTCAATTAGTCACAGGAACTCCAGTATCCAACTTTAAAAAAAAACAGTATACAGTATCTGCACAATAGCTTCATGCCAACCAAAGTAACTTCAAAATGCAACCCTCTCAATCCAACACCAGTATCTAGTATCTACACAATAGCTTCATGCTGACTGCAGTTACTTCAAAACGTGACCCTCTCATTCTGCAATCCACAATGACTTGATCTTTTGAGCTGCATTTCAAAACCAAAATTAACCAAAGGATCTTAACACCTGAAGAAAAAAAAACTGCAGAAGCGAGGATCACCCAACAACATTCTCAGCTACTTTCCAGTCTTTGAACGTGCATCCCTAGTTTTCCAGCTTTGTGTGTTTTATCCGATAACAATAAATTGATATAGCAAGACCAGCCACGCTATCAATCACCTTTAGAAAAATGATCTATAGAAAAAATATATTTATGTACTGTGTACCTCCATATCAGGAGAATCTTTGATTGGATTTAAAAGAAATAGCAAGTTTTATGTACAGGGGGTTCAGATGTAAACATCTTACAAAATATAATTTTCGATGCAGCCAGTTGCACAAATACTGCTAGAAAATTAATGGCATTCAAGTGAATCACATATTTTAGGGAACAAAGGTGCAAAGCAATCGCAGAATTTCAGTATAATAATATTCAACATAAGATATTATCCTCCAAAGATCAGATCTTATAGGTGATTTATTTCACCGTCTTCAGAAAACACCTAATACATACAAAGCCATACGTGAACTAAACTGTGAAGAAACACTCAGCAGTAAGAATGGAATTTAAGCAAGCATATTGTGGACGGTTAATTAGTCACATAATATACCTTTTCTAATCCGTGAGGACCTCTCTAAACACAATATTTTTTTGTGTATGTTGCAGCCTGTTTAGACAATTCCTTTCCTTTCTTCTCATTGTCCTTCACGCCAGTACGCTTAGACTTTTTATTTTGTTTCTTGTCTTCTACCGGCATCGATAGTATTTTTATGTTTGTTCTAGAGGTTGCTCTAGACAGCGCGACGTATAGTTGACCATGAGAGAAGACAGGCTGTGGTAAGTAGACGCCTGCATTTGGAATGGTTTGACCCTGCGCCTTATTGATGGTCAATGCAAAGCTCAATCTAACCGGAAATTGCTTCCTCTTGAAGCGAAACGGAAACATCTCATCATCAGAAGGACATAGAGGTATCCGAGGAAGGAAAACTCTCTTTCCAGCATGCTGCCCTACAACAATCTCCGCGTCAATAGCATTTTTTCCGAACTGACGAACCACCAGCCTTGTCCCATTGCAAAGCCCGTTGGCTGGGTCAATGTTCCTCAAAAGCATGATGGGGCAGTTTATCTTCAGCTTAAGCACATGCGGAGGTAGCCCATTTGGAGTTAGAGAGTTCAAGAATTCTGGCGGGTAATAGTTATGAGGGTCATCCTCTACTCAATCAAAACTATGATATGTCATCACATCCCCTCTAAACCGCTCAATCATCTTCATGTTTATTCGATCGACGAACTCATTCCGAGTGGACAATATGGCCCTACATGTGATGTAGTTTGGGTCCGTCAGGTTATCGTTTAGGTTGGGGAACACGGTATCGATGAGCCTTTTGAGGTCTGTTTCATTCCCTTTGCACGACACGCAAATATCCGAAGGAAGGCCTATGAGTCCTTCCTTGTTCACCTCCTTGGTTCCATTCCCAACTCGAAGGAGGTAGTCCGCAAACCACGTGTCGCTCTACGCCCTCATATTGCGAACAAGCTTCAATTGAACCATACAATCCCAAAGATAGGACCTGCGTAGAGTGGCATCTGTTATCTGAGACCTAGTGCCCTTCCTAATGACCGGGAGCACCTGCCTGAAATCCCCTCCAAACACAATCGTCTTCCCTCCAAACGGAGAATGCGGGCAACCCATTATATCTCTCATGCTCATATTGAGGGCCTCAACCGCTTGCCTCTTTGTCATGGAGGTCTCATCCCATATTATAAGCGACGCCATCTGGAGAAGCTTCGCCGTCCCACTTTGTTTGGTGAAGCTGCAATAAGACCCTTCCTCAATGTTGAGGGGGATCTTGAACCGCGAATGTGCGGTCCGGCCTCCAGGCATTATAGAAGCTGCAACACCCGACGTCGCGGTTGCCACCGCTATATCTCCTTTGCCGCGAACCGTAGCTAGCAGCGCCCTATACAGGAAAGTCTTCCTCGTGCCTCCTGGGCCATCTACGAAGAAAACACCCCCCTGAGCACTGCCAACTGCATTCATGATTTTGTTGAATGCAGACCTTTGCTCATCATTGAGCTGGTCTGAGAGGTTCATATCGTCCGTCTCCACACCAATGGATGACTCCTCAATAATCTCTCTGGGATCTCCTCTGGTACTATCATGTGATTCGTCAATTTCAGGGAGCGGAAACGATGTGATTTCCTTTCCCATTGATTGTAGCATGCCTCGGATATCTATCAGCACCATCTGTTGGACAACATGAGGGCATGTGTTGTTACGCTTGTAGTCATCAGACATGGCATCTAGATGTTTGTCCCAAAGACCACGGACATCGCTAGGTTCGCAATACACCAATATGGTAGCGAATAACCTGCGTAGCGACAGTGGCATCTGGAAGACCCCGGCCTCCGTAAGGCACTCGTCGAGGGTGTTGTCTGCCTCTATAAGACCCCTTCTTTCAGCTGCAGCACGGAACGAAGGCATGACCACGCCATCAACAATACGTAGGTCTTCGAATGAGGTGGAGCCTGCCACATGGTTTAGCAGCACCCGAAAATAGTAACGCTCCCCCTCTGCCGGGTGGGCACACACAATTCTCCCGACCTGGCCTCCTTTCTCTCTTTTTTTCCAGTATTTACCTGGCGTCTGCCAAGTAAACCACATTGGGAAATCCCTATAAAGGATATCTCGAGCCCAGACATGCTGCCTGTTTGCCTCGAAATACGCTGTAAGCATCGACCTGCCTGCGTCTTCCTTATCAAGAACATCACGGAGATCCTTGTCTGCATCGGAAGCCAACATGTGCATGTTTGGCAGATGAAGTTGCAACTGCCTCACAGACGGCGAGATGTGGCATATGTCAAACCCATATATACGCCACAAGGCTTCTGGAGGGGTCACCCACCTCGCATCCCTGTAGCGCTGAATCTCATCGATTTCGCCGTTGTTATCTGCCTCGTTTATGGATATCGAGGCCCTCTCGTGTCCCTTGTATAGGTATTTAAAGAGGTACTTTATTGCCTTGATACTTGAACAAACCTCGACATTCATGTAACAGTTGTACATCCTTAGAAGATATGGATTGTACGGGACAACCCACCTATTATCGAGAGGGTGGCCTCTAACCATCCTACTCTTGCCGTCATTACGTCTCCTATACAACGGGTATGAATCCTTGCCTTGCGAGGTTGTAGGGTTGAACTCTCGTGGGTAGTTGTTCCTACACTTTCCATCTCGCATGCATTGGCATTTACCATTGAGTGGACCACAAGGGCCATGCATCATATGCTTAACAACCATATCGTACAGCTCTCTATACTTTTTCTTATCGGGAAGCTCAGCCGAGATGATGCAGTCATATTGGTCCGCAGATGTTAGCTTGTATCGACTACTCATGATCAACAAGAAGTGTGCATGCGGCAGACCCCTCTTCTGGAACTCAACATAAACATGTGCAATAACCTTGCCAAGAATGTGTTTCTCGAACAACTGCTTCTTTAGGTCCTCTAACTTGGCTCGAAAGACACAGACCACAAGATCAGGACGATCTTGTGGTGTCTGGCCAGGCTCAAGCTCACGAGTAATTTCATCCCACTTTGGGTTGCTTGTCATTGTAAGGAATACATCTGGCTTCCCATACTTCTGTACTAAGGCCATGGCATCCATGTAGCGGCGCTTCATATTTCGGCCACCACCTACGAACGACGCTGGCAACACAGTCCGTTTGCCGACCGCGCTTGCTCGACTCTCCCCAGCCTGGATGCTGTCCATTAACCCTTGATATAGGTCGGCCCTTATCTCCTTCTGGTTGTTCCTCACATAGTCCAGACGGGAGCTCTCAACCTTGATGTACATGTCAACAGCGAACTGCTGGAACAGGCGTCCCCCGTGAAGTATAGGATTGAAAATCCCACGACGCATCTGGAATTTGTAGCAGTAGTAGTCCCTTACAGAAACTCGTATCCCGCTGTTACAATCTGCACGTGAGAAACGTCTGGGTTAGTGCAGTCATGTAACGGACAATTATCAATTGTTTTAGTCAACACAGTACGAAGATAAACTTACTAGGATCATCGCCATGACGCGTGTTTGCAGCCTCCATGGTTATTTTGTCCTTTGGAAGACCTTGATGCCAACCACTCTCTCCTCTAGGGAAGAACAAAGGATACGAGAGTGGATCGTAACATCCGTAGAAAGGTTGGATGCATTTACGGGTACGGTCGTTACCGTATATTGTCACGCTAGGCTCAAACTTCCTTCTCTCGTTTCCTTCAACCCAGACAGCAGCGACCTCAGTTGTCACCGGCACATTGTAACGCCTTTGGTCCAACCTATGATCTAGATTTAGTGTCACGCGGTAGTTCGCGAGGTCATCAGCCTGCCCCAGACTTCTAAATGTCTCCGAGTACGGGTTGTTCCAAAGGACGTCTGAAACAGTCCTGATCACATCCTGGTCAAGGCTCGGAGAACGACGGAATCTGTGACTCAAGGTTGGATCGTCATCGTAGAAATACAACTCGAGATGCTCTGGACTAGACTCTCTAGGACCGAAAGAATGTATGTTATGATAGATCTGAACATGGGCCCGAAATGTGTACACACCCGAGCTCATGTTTGCAAAGGCCTTGTCAAGGCTTACACCAAGGGTAGTGAACGAGAAGTGACCGTTGAAATATCTAATGTTATCCCGGAAATGCTTGGCATCTGGATCCGAGCTTGTCTAGAGCCTCATCAGTTCAGGGGGTGTCTCGTTTTCTACAAGCTTTATCTTGCCATCCCGACAACAGAAGCCCGACGGTTCGTACTGGAACCTCTTGGCGCCACAATGTTTACAGTCAGGCTCAGGCTTCAGAACATTTGTGCTTTGTGGGATGTTGCTATACACACAGTCAAATGGATCAGGAATCGAAGAGGTCGGTGCTTGCGTGTCGTCGTCATCGGATTGTACCATATCGTCATCCTCATCATCGCCTGGGATTGTTTAGTGGGAAGTAGTTTAGTTTCAAATATCTACTGAAGTGAAAGAGAGTTTCAGGTATAACGACGATGGTACCTAGCCTAGCAAACAAGTAGTATTCATCGTCGGTGTCATCATCCATGAAGGAATCCATATCATCTATAGTGGAATGAAAAGTTAGTATGCGGAAGGTTACAAATTGCAAGTATGAACGATAACATATATATATGATACCATCCTCGAAGGTGCTCGATCGTGCAAGATGATCTGCAGCATGCTCAGCTTGCAGGTTCGATGTAGCTGGCACATCACCGGTTGTTTCCAAGCAAGGCGTTGGATCTAGCAACGACGGGCTGCTACCCTCAGGGCACTCCAATGCAATTGATTCAGCACATGGTTTGTCACGCCTAGCTGCATAGAGTGCATTACGTCGTGCCAAAAGAGCAGACCTTTCCCCTGGAGTAACACTTTGTCGTCTTGACCTAAGGCGGGCATTCATATCATGTATTTCCACATCTGGCATATTTTGCCTTGCTACCCTACGTCGGGCGTTCATATCTAATCTTTGTTCTTTTGTTAGTGATTGATGTCGTGATCTCTGCCGGTTCACCTTAGCTTGCTTCTGCTCCGTTGTAAGAGTCGCAGGCTTGTCGCTACATTGAGGTAGCTTTGACTGTAGATGGTCTTTTGTAATACTGGATGGCGCACACACCACTTCATTATCTATTGATGTGCCAACATAATAAGAAGATCTATGTAATTGTTTGCTCGCCATAATCAATAACAATCTTAATACACATCTAATCTGTTCGCAAAGAGGTTTTTTGTTGACAATTTGGTAGTAACAAACATATTATGAAGAAATATTAGTATTACCTAGAGAGATGTCGTCATTCTGATCATTGCCTTCAAATATACCACATTCATGCATTGGGCTATGTGTATTTTGGTTTCCACTTGTTAGGATTGGATCATAATGAGTTTCACTTCCTGTTGTAACATACAGTAATATATATATATATATATATATATATATATATATATATATATATATATATATATATATTTGGGTTGTTTGAATTACGCAGCTCAAAGGTACTTCATTGGGACCATAGTGAGCTACATTGTTGATGATTGTAAATGGGAGACGTCTAGGTGTGATGTTGAGATGGGAAGCTTCACTTTCTATTAAAACATAGAACCATCACGTTATCAGACTGTACACAACAATAATGGCATTGCATTCCGCCCTCTTATAGCATGCGGAATGTAATAATATGTTATTCTTACCTTGATGCAGTGTGGGAGAATCATTCACTTCCATTTGGCACGTCGTTATATCAGCAGCGCTTATATTTGTAATATCGCCAAGTGGGGCTGTTCCGACGCCGCGAAATTAGAAGATTGTTTGGCATAATTGGCAGAATATCTTTTCATTAGTACCGATACATATTACAGCAAAGAATAGAGAAATATATGAGGCGACGGAGGATCCTCTGGGTATTAGAGTACATGAAGATGGAGATTATAATTGTATCACCTTCTGCTTTCATGCCTTGTTTCCCTATTCTCACTTTGTTTCTGCAGTCATCCTATAGTTATATCTATGCATGCTAATATATGCTACCAAATGTGCACGAAGCCACAAAATATACTGAAGGCAGTTGTTTACCTCTTAACATGGGGCCATATATTTTTTAGTAACATGAAATGCAAACAATAATCTGATGCGAACATCCATAACACTAAAATTGCATCATATTGTTTTCCTTTTTGTGTTTTTTGGTGGCTGGTACCATGGAGCATGCAAAATATCATTTGTTTGTCAGTTTTTATAAATTCTATTTTTTTTCTGTGGTATACTTTCTAACAAGAAGAAAGGCAGTGAGGGAGCAATGGGTGAGGAGAGCATCATAGAGTAGAGACCGAGGATACATGGAGTTGAGCAAGAAGGCTAATAGTTTTTCTTTTTTTCTAAGGTGGAATGCCATGTGGGCTAGCTCTGTCCAGCATGCGTGATTGTTATCATTTGATGAGGCATTTAACACACTTATCCCACACACTTGCAGTAAGTATTTTTTTCTGCCTTAAATGGTTGCTTGATTAAATTTATGGTTATGCATTGCATTGTCTGGCATTGGAAGTGTGTGAAAGCTAAAGGAAATAAGCATGCACCCCTTCAAAAATAAGATGCAATAGCTGTTGGGTTCTTCATTCATATTCGGTGAAGAGATGCAAATCAATAGAATAGATGGCTTTTTTGTGGATATCTTTGGTCACTCGCTATGTGGGTTAATCAATAGAATAGATGGCCCAAGATGAGTTGAGTTGGCTTGTAGTTACCTTTCACAGCAGCACCAGATTGATTTCCTCCTTGGCATTCCTCCTTCTTTTGGCGCCTCTTCTCACGGGCCTTTTTATTCCTCGCCTCCTTCTCGTCCACACTCAACAAAGCGTACCTCTCTCTAGCACGTTTCCTTCTTAATTCAGCAGCACTGAGATTAGTAATGTCTGAAAGAACTCCAAGGGGAGGATCACCGGCTGAACCAAGAATGGAAAAAATATATGAATGGAACAAATAAGAACATAGGGCAAAGGTTGAGCTATTGACCTATTATTATATTTTTTGAAAAACTCACCTGATCCTGTCAACGATGTCGGTCGAGAGGCCCCAAAGTTGCTATCCATTGGAACCCTGAAATGCACAAGTCAAAATTTATTAGAGTTCAATCCAGTACAAACCATCAGGCAGAATCCCAGTGGTGCTGATGGTAGTATTATAAAAACGTTGAAAATTGGCAACACACAGTAAAGGAAATTAAGCGAATTAATTGGATATACCTTCAATGCAGGGAAGGAGGTTATGTGGGTGGGAAGCAACTGTTCGAACTGATATGGTAATGAAGGATCGCATATATATATATTATATGTCAGTACATTCATTTATACGCCTACCGAAATCATCCGTCAAAAGTATATACCAATAATATATACACAAGAATGATTGCAACGCTGCCCTCCTCCAATCATCATGTCATTAGCAAAACAGTGAGGTGGGTTGGAGAAAAAAAGGAAGTTCTGCATTTGTAAACTAATGATTTTTCAACCTTCATCTTTCATCTAAAAATATTGTTGTATTCCTAAGCACTCAAGCATGCTACTCTTGACACCATAGTTTTTCAATATAATTAACCTGAACTGAGAGTCATCATGATAAATATAGAACAACCCGCGTAAAAAGCATGAATCGTTGTTTGTTCTATAGCTCATGTGTCAGCTGATTGAAAGGTTTGGAAGTGAGGCAGGCACATGGTAACCGAGGTATTATTTCATATTCAACCTATGTACATGAAGAATTATAAAAGAAACCATACATGTTGCAACTGATCTGTACAATATTCAAGTGCATGTTCATTTGGTGCTCATTTCCCCAAAGCAGATTGAGTCCATGGATGGAGCTTCTTACTGGACATTTCATCGAACATGCGGCGGCCATATTGTCGGGCGACATGGTGGGGCAGGAGGGGATAGGAGGGGATACATACCTTCAGATGACGGCGTCTGTGACCACCTTGAGCGGTCGAGGGCGTCGAGGGGCGAGGAGGCGGCGCAGGTCGAGGGCGGTGGGGAGGCGAGGGGCGGCGGCGCGCAGTGGGGACGGCGGCGGCACGGGTGGAGAGGCGAGGGTCGCCGTCGCGGTGTGGGGACGGCTTCTGGTGGAGGTGGAGGGGCGGCGCGGCCGGCGCCTCTCCGGCTAGGGGTGGAGGCGTGGTGGGAAGGCGATGGGCGGCGGCGCGCAGTGGGGACGGCGGCGACGCGGGTGGAGAGGAGAGGGGCGCTGGCGCAGTGTGGAGACGGCTGCTGGTGGAGGGGCGGCGCGGAGGAGAGGCGAGGGGAGGGTGCGGGGCGGCGATGGAGGCGCGCGGAGGAGGGGGCGCGGGTTGCGGGGCGACATGGCTTTTTACGCTTTTTTGTTCCGCATCGCGTGTACCTCTTTTAAATTTTCGTCGCTCCAAACTAGTCTACGTTACTACGTTGGATCGCATGTCTACTTTGGCTTCACCATCACTAATCCAGATTTTTTAAGTAGTAGAGATTCAGTGCCATGAAAAAAATACATTCCATCTAGCAAGCAATATTAAGGCCTTGTTTAGTTGGGAAACAAATTAGGTTTGGTTGTCACATCGGATATACAAGCACACATTTGAAGTATTAAATGTACTCTAATAAAAAAACAAATTACAGATTCCGCTTAGAAACTGTGAGATAAATTTATTAAGCCTAATTAATCCGTCATTAGAGTTTATTGTAGCACCACATTGTCAAATCATGGCGCAAGTAGGCTTAAAAGATTCGTCTCGCAATTTACACGTAAACTGTGTAATTGGTTTTTTTCCACATTTAATACTCCATGCATGTGTCCAAACATTCGATACGATAGGTGAAAAGGTTTTGTTTTGGGAACTAAACAAGGCCTAAGAGCATCTCCAACAGCCTCTCCAAATCGAACTCTCCAAACACCCATATAGCCAACTCTCTATCTGATTTAGCTAGTCAAACTATATACTTACTCCAACAGAATCTTTATTAATCCTCTCCAAAATAAAATCGGACCCACATGTGAGTCTCTCTCTCCTCTTCTTCCTCTCTCCCCCCTTCTTTCTCTTTCCTTCTTTTCCCCCTTCCTTCCCGTCGAGGCGGCCGACGCATGGCGCGGTGGTGCGGTGGCGCGGGGAGGCGGGAGGCGGTGACGGCGACAACGGTTTGGGGGGCGCGGCGGTGGAGCTCAGGGCGGGGATGGCGATGGTGGCAGCGGCTTGCGACGACGACCTCGACGACGACCCCGACGATGACCTCGACAACGACGACAACGCCCCCGACGACCTCGCGAGGAGTACAGTTGCTGCGGGCCACCGTTGGCGAGACGTTTTGACTGGCCAAATCTAGCTAGCCAGCCAACGATTTTGGTCTGCTGGATGGCTTGGCCATCCGGTTAGCCAATCTGTTGGACCTCCTTTTTTGGTTGAATAACCAAAATTTGGCTTGGAGAGGCTGATAGAGAGGTTGTTAGAGATGCTCTAACATCTGAGAGCTCGACATGCATTTATATCATGTCACCAGCCAAAGCAATCACAGATTCATACCTTGATATAAACTCCTAAGCTACTACGTACCATTAGTCCAACACGTACGTACCACTGAGCTCGAGAGCTAGTCGAAATGGAAGGCGGCGTCCACATCATGTCGCGGCGCATGGTCCGACCGGCGGCGGAGCACGCTGGCGAGCTGCCGGACCACGAGACGGTGCACCACCTCACGCCATTGGATCTCCAGATGATCACCGTCGACTACGTCCAGAAGGGCGTCGTCCTGCCCAAGCCTCCCGGCGGAGTTGAGCACGTCGTCGAACACCTTGTCTCGTCGTTCGCTCGCGCACTGGCCCGCTTCTACCCGCTGGCCGGCCGCCTCGCCATCGCCGAGACGGCGTCGCCTGGTGGTGTTCCGACCATCTCCATCTCGCTCCGCTGCAACGGCGAGGGGGCGGAGTTCGTCCACGCCGTGGCGCCCGGCGTCACCGTCGCCGACATCGCCGACTCGCTCTACGTCCCAAGGGTGGTGTGGTCCTTCTTCCCGCTCAACGGCATGCTTGGCACGGACGCCGCCGTGGAGTCCCGCCCTGTCCTGGCGGCGCAGGTCACCGAGCTCGCCGACGGCATGTTCGTCGCCATGTCGCTCAACCACGGCGTCGCCGACGGGTTCACCTTCTGGCACTTGTTCCGCACCTGGTCGGAGATCAGCCGCCGCAGCGATGACAGCGCCGACCTCGAGCTCTCCACGCCGCCGCCGGTGTTCGACAGATGGTTCGTGGACGGCATCCCAATGCCGATCCCTCTACCCTTCGCCAAGCTGGAGGACATGGTCCGGCGGCCTGTGTACACGCCGGTGGAGGAGTGCTTCCTCCATTTCTCGGCGGAGAGCGTGAGGACGCTGAAGGAGAAGGCGAACGCCGAGATGGCCGCCGCCGCCGCCACGGCCACCATATCCTCGCTCCAGTCGGTGCTCGCGCACACCTGGCGAGCTGTGTGCCGAGCCCGCCGCCTCGCGCCGGAGATGGAGACGAGCTATGGCCTTTCCGTGGGATTGCGAGCACGGGTCAAGGAGGTGCCACAAGAGTACATGGGCAACACGGTGGTGGGCGCCGTCGCGAAGGCCACCGCCGGCGAGCTCCTCGACAAAGGGCTGGGCTGGGCGGCGTGGCTGCTGAACCGCGCCGTGGCGGCGTCGGGCGACGAGGCGAGCGTGAGGCGCATGGTGGCGGCGTGGCCGGAGAAGCCGAGCTTCATGATGGTGGCGGACCTGCAGAACGCCGGCGTGATGGTGATCTCAGGCTCGCCGCGGTTCGACGTGTTGGGCAACGACTTCGGGTGGGGGAGGCCGGTGGGCGTCCGGAGCGGCGCCGGGAACAAGGTGGACGGGAAGATGACGGTGTACGAGGGGCGCGGCGGCGGGAGCATGGCGGTGGAGATTTGCCTGGCACCGGAGGCGCTCGCGAGGCTAGTCGCCGACGAGGAGTTCATGAGCGCGGTGACTGCGCCGCCGCCGACACATCACTGACGTCAGTGGCTGAACGGCGACACATGGTTAATTCTAGTACGAATCTAGACAAAGGCAAAACAAATCTAGTACGGGATGTCCACTGTCCTATCTAGATTCGTAGTTTTGTAATGTCGCATTTTATATTAGATTTGTTTTTATGAGAGGAAGAGAGAACTATGTATTTTATTTACTAGGAATAAGTCTACTCCATCCCTGAAGTATTAGGGTTGGTCTACTTCATCAGCTGAATTATTAGAGTTCATCAAACTTAGTATTGTGAGAGTACCAATCAATTTTAAAATTATTATTTACCATTTTAAAGCATGTTAAATATGCAACTGAAGGTTGCAACAAGTAAAAATCCCTCATTTTGATGTCTACCACCCATCCCATGAAAATTCCTCATTTCCTAACTGGATTGGTCTTTTTTGGGATGGAGTAGTATTTACGAGTACCATTAAAAATATCTTTTGTGGGTTCGGAGAAGAAAATTCCGAACCACTATGGGTACATTTTAATCAGGAAAAATTTACGAATATACTTTTTTTTTAATAATTTACGTTTATATGCTTGTATAGGAAGGATTTGCATAAATATACTCAGATCCCGCAGCTCCAAAACGCGAGACTAAGGGTCCGCGGGACGGTCGAGCAGCACAGCGACGGTCCCACGGCTCCAAAATGCAGCACCAAAGTAGCCATCGATTTATCACTGGGCGGCACTGTTTTTGGCACTGTTCAGGTCTATCACAAATATTGTCAAAATAATTAACAAAATATTGTCAATCACATATTTTTATCTAGATAGTGTGATTGACAACTCACACTAAAGGCATCGAATCATCTCCATCTTTCTTCTTCTTCACCCACTGCAACTACAGTCATTTTGCTAGTGTAAACAAAAATATAAAGGGAATAGCATATCTAGGTGAATTAAAAAAATACATACTTATTACATTAAAACTGTAGATTACGGTCTTACAAATTTAGACTGAGCTTTAAGTTTAGGTCTATCACAAATAGATAAAAATATGTGATTGACACATATAAAAACCGATGAAACAATCAAGTATTGTTGGCCTAATTTTGTACGTAGATGGGCACACCTCGCTCTTCTAAGTTGGAACGACAGTCTGCCTGTTCCATACATACCTCATCAAATTAACCTGCCATCCCTAACACCAACCCGCAAGCCTCTCTCATCAAATTATCTCTTTGAAAAAACAAACTTCTGACGGCGAATCTAAATAAGTGCATATTCAGATTTATTCCCCGAGATTATCTTTTTTAGAAAAAAGAGTTTGAAGCATCTCAGTGCTTTGATAGCGTCATTCTGAGACTGATTGGGCATTCGGGCCAAGAAGCTATTTAAAAGTCTAGTCAAGAGGCATCCGTATCACCAAGTCTCGGGCCTTGGGTCGCTGCAAACAAATAAGAACATACTACTATGTACCATGTGATAATCCACGCTTCGCTATGGAATTTAAAGATTAATATATGTGAATTATTGTATAATGCATATTGAAATGTTGTGAAATGATGTGGAGAAGATATGTGTCATACTTGTATAAGATTTATAATGTCCTAGAAATTGCTAGTGGATGATGAGATGATATGTTTACACGTTAAATTTTAACTTTTAATACTTGCTAGTGGCTACAAACTATGTAGTTAGATCAGCAGATACCGTCACCAAAGTGTTGACAGATCGTGTCAGCAACGACTATATATGTTTGTCTTTTGCTCCACTATACCAATCTTCTTAATTTTATTTATTGACTGCTGAGTGCAAGTCTTAAGTCTTGCTAACTCACACGCCGTTCGTGTCAATTTTGGGGTTCCATTAGGGGCATTAATTTTAATTTTTTAGGCTCATTAATTGTAGGTTTTCCTTTATCACGCCTTTGGCAACCACATCGGCTAAAATAAAGAGATGATCAAGACAAAACCAAAGAGATAACCAAGACAGGTCAGATGCGAAGTTGCTAGTCTCCCAATGGTGGCTCACATGTACTCCCTCCATCCCTAAATAAACACAGCTATAAGTTTCTGTGTCCAACTTTTATTATTCGTTTTATTTAAAAAAAATAAAAAACATAAGTCATGTATAAAATATTATTCATGTTTTATAATATAATAACAATAAAAATATCAATTATAATTTTTTTAAATAAGACGAACGATCAAAGTTAGATATGAAAACTCATGATTATGTTTATTTTGAGATGAAGATAGTATAATTAAGTCGTAAATGCAACGATCTAAAATACTAGTAAAAGACTGAGAGATGGGAAAGTCTCGTGTTCTGAGCTATATATTTTATACTAGTTCTATACATCTACAAGACGCATCCTGACAGCCAACATAGCGTTTGGTTTGCAATGTTCCAAGTGCGGCTATATCATTATGGTTTTATTCTTTAATCCATTATATTTTAATCCGTGTTTTAATAAAGCATATGTTTTTTTCATCTTGTTTTTAAAATGTAAGGCAAACATAACAATTTCTTGATTGTTTCCCTTGTGTCCCTATTTATTGTATATTCTCCTCCTAAAACACATCTGGCTAACTACTCTTCTCTATTTCCAATGTATTCAAATAGGGACAGTATATTAATTTTAACTCAAACTTTCCCTTGGTTTATATACTCTTCTTAATCCTTTGTGCCCACTCAAAATATGCCTTTTATATAATGAGCAACCACATTTAGTCCGGAAGGTTTAGAAGACCACGTTTGTCAGAGAACCAGATAAACATGTGCATTATTTAGGGTTTGTTTGGATCCCAGACAAACATTGCCACGCCACGGCGTGGTTCGCCACAGACCTGTGGCAGACCTTTTCCCCGCCTCAGAAAACACGGTGTTGTAGCGAAAATACTGTAGCTGTGGTATTCAATGGCTACCAACCAAACATCCCATTAATCATGGTGGTTCCGAATTCGGCACAATCATAAAATTGTATTTTAGAAAGCGAATTATAGTTGTATTTGAAATTTAATTTTGTTTTTAAAATCTAGCTCCACACAAGATATATATTGTGTTGGAAAATTTAGCTGTTGAGGCCTAGCTAGATTCATTTGGCGGCCGGCTTACTTTTACTGTAAGGCTCGGTTTTGATGGAAAAAATATTTGTTTTGGGGTGTCACATTGGATATACGGACATATATTTGAAGTATTAAACATTGTCTAATAACAAAACAAATTACAGATTCTGCCTGTAAACTGCGAGACGAATTTATTAAACCTAATTAATTCGTATTAGCAAATGTTTACTGTAGCACCATATTGTCAAATCATGGCGCAATTAGGTTTAAAAGATTCGTCTTGCAATTTTACACGCAAACTGTGTAATGGGTTTTATTTTATAGACCACATTTAATACTCCATGCATATGTCCAAACATTCGATGTGATGGGTGAAAAGTTTTTATTTTGGGAACTAAACAGGGCCTAAGTTAATCAAGTGCGTGTGTTGACTATGCTAACCATGATAGATTATATGGAACATATAGGGAGAAAAATGTGTTTTACGTCATTGAAAAACCTAGCTAGTTTACTGTATGAACTTGTACTTCATTTTTTACTTTTTATGATTCCCCTAAACTTACGTCGATTGTCATCATAGGTTATACTCTTTTTAATTAGCAAATGAAGATGTTGCTAAGGTGGATTTGTGCCAAACAACTACAAGTCGTTCTCTCTTATCTGGGAGAGGTATACACTTCGTCATAATTAAGATATACATAGCTATAGAAAATAGATATCAAAACTAAACTTACAAATTAGAATAGTATTGAAAGCTTGTTTTTGTAAATTTAGTTGCATTCTATACCTGATTAGCCAGAAGGTATATATCACTATCTATATCTTGTGGACCAGAAAAGTTTAGCTAGCTCATTGCCAATTATAAACTTATTTTCTAATAATCAGTTTAATCGGTTTAATATTTTTCACTCAAATAATGATAATGGGAGGTATACACCTCGGGTGAGAGAACCATGCACGGAACGAGGTTTCCTCCTATCATAAAATTGTTTATCAGTTCAACCTAGGTCTGGATAACGAGCCAGCTCGGCTCGTTAAGGCTCGGCTCTTTAATGTTAACGAGCTAAAAGGCTAGCTCGGCTTGGCTCGCGAGCTGGCTCGTTAAGCTCGTTAGGCTCGCCAACAAGCTATATCTTCTTAATGACTTAATATCATATTAATAATTTTAAATTTAACATTTTATTATGTATTAACATAATAATAAATACTAACTACTATAATACTCACTAAATATGAATAGTTTTGATGTAATTAAAAGACTAAGTACTAGTCAACAAACACTAAGTTCATGAAGATATGGTGATATTTTATACTAACGAGCTAAACGAGCAGCTCGCGAGCTAGCTCGTTAAGCTCATGAGCTAAAAGGCTAGCGCGACTCGACTCATTAAGACTATGAGTTCGAATCGATCCGAGCTGAGCTTGCTACGAGCCGATCCGAGCCACGAGTTTTGAGCTTTTTGTCCACCCCTAGTTCAACCGGTTTATTTTTTGCTCTTAAAAATAATATGTAGGGAGGTATATGCCTCTAAAGGATGGGATGAACCCTTTTTCTGTAGTTAAATTATTTTTCTATCATATACATAGAATTATTAAAAACGAGATTTAGAGGGAAAGACGTCCCTCCAAATTGTGAGTATATTGAAGATTGAATACGGGATCTCAGGGTTGAAACTACACGTCTATTACCACTGCACTCAAGTGCGTCTCCATATATACATACATAGAGTTATTATTTGACCGGCACTATGCTCCACTGCACAGGGACCGAAAGAGTCAAATATTGCAACAAAGTTTGAAATCCTCATGTCAACAATGCAGTTTGAGTCTAATGCTTTTCTTCTTGGATAGTAATGTTTTAAGTCTAATGTTTGAATTTAGTTGCATTCTATAAAATCATGACGTCAGGCCGTTGGCCTAAAAACATAATCTAGTTTGACGATGGCCAGGCGAAAATTATCCAGTTTGACAATAGCCTCCATATAATTAGGGTTGTTTAATCCGGGTTTCCTCAACCGTCGTTTAAAACCAAACACCAGCATATGCTAGCTTAATACACCCGCGAGTGCGTGTGCGTAAAATTTCAGTGGCACCTTTTCGTTTTGTCTTATTTTGATTACAGCGGAACAGTTGCGGATACAGAAATAAGAAATAACAGGTGGGGCTGAATAAACTAGATAAAACTTAAATA